GCAATAATACAACTGCAAGCACGGGCCGAAACTATCCCCGAGAGAAAAAAAAATGTTTTTTCGCCATGTACGCGAGCCAGTTTTTCGAGCTTCATCGGTATTTACATATTGAATTCGTGTACAATCCAGCGCGCGGCTGTGTCTGATTCAACTCTCAACTTTCACGTGTCTAGTACCTTTGATTTGAAAACAATCTACGATTCGCGACGATCAATCACGGTATTCGCATTTGTACCTTCGTCGTTATTAACTCGGATTTGTGCGCCTCAATTTTCAACGGAAAAATTGCTTCGCGAATTCTCGCTGTTTCGCGTGTACCCTGTATTTCAAACAATATAGGGATGAATATATATTGAGTCACAGATGCACAAAGTACAAAAGGCCGGGAAAAAAATTCTTCATAAACGGGATAACGTATATAGAATCAGTTATTTGCAACGTTATATTTCTTTCACCAAAAGTCGCGAATGACGCACATTTAGCACGTATATGCTCCATTCAAAAGCTTTTTAAACCTCGTTGAAGATCGTTATTCTACGTAAACAATGCGCGAACCTGTTGACAGATCGAGAAGCTGAACCAACTATTTACAAACATCTCGGCTGGTACAGCTACGGTGTGCATATGGCCGATTCTCTGTGAAATCGAATGGCCAAAAAATTTTTTTTTCTGCAAATATGAAAAACTTGCTGTTCCCGATGTCAGAAATGTCCCCAAATTTTATTAGAATTTTTGGGACCATCTATCACTCTTTTTCAGGGGCCATTTTAGGGTTTTTTTGAAATTCATGAAAAATCACAAATATTAAAATAATTCCTGGATTAAAGTAGAATGATTCAAAAGTAAAAGTGCCCAGCAACTTTTTTGTTGGAAATTGTCCAAATTTTCAGAAAAAAAATATGCCAAAGTGATTGGAACAATCTAGGTAAATGTAAAGCAAAAAAACTGCAAAAAAAACATAAAACAAGAAATCTACTCGAGTTCGAACCGGACTTTCATTTCCTAAACTATGTAAAAAGCTTCCCTAAGATGTCAACTAATGCCTGATAAAGTTTTGTAATGGGTCTTAAAGTTTAACTCAATGTAGACAATAATGTATGGCGAAAAACGTGCAAAAAAGGACTGAAAATGGCTGTTTTTGGTGATTTTAGGCATTTTAGGCCCATTTTTGACCTTTTTTGCACGTTTTTCACCACACATTGTTGTCTACATTGAGTTAAACTTTAAGGCCCATTACAAAACTTTATCAGGCATTAGTTGACATCTTTGGGAAGCTTTTTACATAGTTTAGGAAATGAAAGTCCGGTTCGAACTCGAGTAGATTTCTTGTTTTATGTTTTTTTTGCAGTTTTTTTGCTTTACATTTACCTAGATTGTTCCAATCACTTTGGCATATTTTTTTTCTGAAAATTTGGACAATTTCCAACAAAAAAGTTGCTGGGCACTTTTACTTTTGAATCATTCTACTTTAATCCAGGAATTATTTTAATATTTGTGATTTTTCATGAATTTCAAAAAAACCCTTAAATGGCCAACTTCAGGCCCCTGAAAAAGAGTGATAGATGGTCCCAAAAATTCTAATAAAATTTGGGGACATTTCTGACATCGGGAACAGCGAGTTTTTCATATTTGCAGAAAAAAAATTTTTTTGGCCATTCGATTTCACAGAGAATCGGCCATATATATAAGCTCGGATCGGTACGAGTTATTTAACGCTTTGTTGCTGAATATAAACCCGGCCGATGATTTTACTGGTCAATCATACAGCAGTTCCGTATTTTCAAAGCTGGCCTATAATTCGAGAGCATGGGGTATCAATTTTGAGCGAAAAAGCATGGGCAGTCAAGGATCCGGCAAGCTCGTTTCACAAATTTGTTTTACATGTTACGACGGGCAGCGAAAAAGTATCGATGCCGAACGCCCCAGCTTGATCCTCGGCATTGGTAAAGCCTGTTAGGATTGCCCCGAAAGGCCAGCTCTCGTACGATTTAACTCGTAATTTAATCGAAAGCCCGGTCGGACGCTTAACAAGCACTTTGGTCGATAGCTTTTTCTGCAGTCGTTCGTGTTTTTTCATTTTCAACTCAAGCACACGCAAACATATGTTCCAATTGGTGACAAAAAGTAAAAAGGATGAGGAGGAAATTTGAAGGATAAGCGCTCGCGTGCCATCGCGTCGCCGTCTTATCGGCTCTTCGTTGCTCGCGGTACATGGTCGGTCGAATGGAAATTCGCGTTCATATTGGCTAAGGGCCGGCCAACATTTTCGGAGGGAGTTCGTGGAGCCGTTCGCGAGCAGTACTCCGAGTACGAGCATACGGCAGAAATGGAGTTACTTGTTAATTAGCGCGCGCGCGGCACAATCGATTGGAGCTCGTGCGAAGCGAAACTTGAAGCGGAAAGCTCGTAGATTAGTCTCGAGCTCGAATTTTACGGCTACATTCTGTATGTGTGTGTGTGTGTGAAAGTACGGATTTTTGCACTGTGCGCTCAAACTCGACCGCGTTTTTTACCCTAGCTCCGTTGTTTCTCCTTTTTTTTTACCTGACGGGGCGAGCTCGTTGACTCAGTACGTCGTCGCGCCCCGAACTTTGAGAGCTGACATCAACGGAATATTCGCTCACGCGAGTGTATATATATGGCTACGCGTGCGCACATGCGATATATTACGTGCCAAGCAATGGCAGTAAGTAGCCTTCCATGTTATGCTATTCCGACGCTGCTGTTATAACGTATACTATTTAATGGACGCACGAGTCCCCGTGACTTGCTTCTTTTATTGTCGTTTTTCTGTATATACATTTATATGCTACATAGAACCGCGAGAGACCGTATAGTTTGCGCTCGGTGCGTGCAAATGAAACAAAAGCAAGCGAACGTCGTGTGAAACGCCAATGCTTATACAGCGTCGAGCTTAACACGCGCCCATAATGACTGATTAAGCCGAAACCGTTCGTGGAAACGCGCGCCGATCGTCGTGTTTCCGATGAAACGGAGCATTGTGCCGAGAGCAGTTCACGGGGGTTCGGCGGGTCGTGTTCGCATTCGTGCATGTGTTACGCTGCGCGCTTGCTTCTGCGCAAAGCGCTATACGAGCTAAACACAAAATATTCCCTTTCGTATAAACTTGTCGTCTTTCTACATTAATAAGCAGTAGCTGTAAGAAGCTTTCGATGCAAATTCTCGGAGCTTCCGATGTGTACAAAGGGAAAAGTTGAGCGAGCGGGTGATTGTGCGCGAAAAGCTCGCGGGTATTCAAATGATGCGCGCGGATCCGCATCGGGGTCGGAAAAAAATATCCTCCTACCGTACAAACGCATCGCTTTGAGTTTCAATCAAAATTCCATGACGCGCGCCTATGCTTATGTGTTCTGTACTAGATGGTAAAGCGATACACCGACTCGTAGCTATGCAAGCTGCGTCGTTTAAAAATAGTCAAAGATGAAAAAAAAAAGGCGACAAATGGTCAAGCCGGAGCTGTAGTTCGGAGCATCGGATGCCGCCAACGACGCGTTCGTCGTCGCTCGTACTCGAATATAATTATTGTAGTTAATTACGAAGCGGAGAACGAGCGAGCTATCCGCCCACGATAAGGCGATAAAAGATTATAGTCCTCGTGCGGAGTAGAGGAAGGAGCGCGGGGAGAAGAGGAGTGCGGAAGCGCGCCGCAAAAACAAATCGCGCCCGAGCTTATCGGCAACACAAATATTGACAGTCGAAATAATAGCCCGAGAGAAAGCCAAGTGCGTATATTATATATCGTATATAACGCGCGCGTATAAAAAGAGCGAGACAGCCGTGCTGTATATATGATACGGGGGGCGGTCGTTTTGGCGAGTCGTGCGGCCAGTTAAGCGGCATTGTTTTTAGCCTGAGATCAAACTGTCGCTCGTTTTTTTATTATACGTTACTCGTTTTACATATTTACAGCGTTGAATGGCTATCCGTTAATCAATCATGCGAATTTCATCCCGAGCGTATACGATTTTTACTAGAAAATCTATAATATCGCGTATCTCGTAGTTGGGTATAAGTCGAAAAACACGTGCTTGCGAGAGAGCGCGCGGTAACGGCAAAAACGTCGACGCCGCCTTAGCCGCGACATAAAGACAACAAATGTGTCTTGGGCGAATTTTTCGAGCAACTTTGGAGAGTATAGTAGTAGTAGGAGGAAGTAGCAAAAACAGCTGACGCGAAATATAGAGCCGCCGTGAAGTATAGGCGAAATAAACCCACGCTCCCGAGCTTCTTCCGCACAGTCACGAGTCGGCTTGCGCCACCGTCTTTTTATCCATCACATATATACAAGTTTCTCGCCATCTACTTTCATCTGACGCGTAGAGGAGAGTAGTAACAAACGCTAATGCCAAAAAATTCGAGATACGCGGGCGGCGATTCGCACAGACAGATAAGCACGCGCCTGGCCTGCTACTCTTTGTAAACAGAAAATCATCAACGTATGCATTTTTCTCTCTCTCTCTCCTAGAAGCAGCTGAGTGTGTGTGTGTGTGTGAGCGAGTTTGTGTGTGCAGCGACCACGACGGCGAAGAGTCTCGTTGGTAAAAAAAGCGAAGAAGCGAAGGAAGGGGTGAAAAATAGCGGAGAACTAGGGCGCGAAGTCGAGCGAGAGAGCAGCAGCGAGTGGCGATTGCAGCGGCGAGTACACAGGACGTCGAGGACTCGAGTGTGTACGCGCGAGTGTGCATATGTGTGCAGGCGGACGAGAGGAAGACTGGGTCAAGGAAAACGTAGGCCTCCGTTGGCAAGGACGCGGCGCCGCGTTGCGTTCCGTCGTCGTCGGCGCCGTCGACGAGCGAGTTTCGGGAAAAATCGCGCAACGACCGCATGGACGAGCGAGCACGATGTTGTTTACGAGAGAGAGCACGCGGTGAAAAGCGCGGCTTTGGCGAGATTGGCAGGCGCGAGCGCACGCGAGGAATCGGCAAGGGGTCGCTGGTCTCCGTAAGGGCCTCGTGACAATCTTACTGCTGAATAAATACCTGAGCCTCGTACGAGTTGATCGGCGATGTCGCGTGTCCCGACCTGCAGCGCTGGGTGCAAAGTTGGATTTCGTCCTCTAATTGATCGTGCGAATCGAGAGTAATAGTAGCACTCGGCAGCAGCAGCAGCAGCGTTGCCGTCTTGTGGCGAGCACCAAACACTTATTTATGTTTAGATATATCTATATACACACAAAAAACACACAGCACTGACAACGACGACGATGATCTCTCTGTTGCGGCTAGGAAACTCGGAGTTACGGACGAGAGCAGTGAGCGCGCGCGGCCAACCGCCTATATACTGTTCGGTATAGAGAGCAAAAACTGAGTCGTACGTGTGGCTATTACGTACAATGCCTGTGTGTCAGAATGTGTACACGACGCGTTTGTGTCTCTGTGTGTCTCCGTTTGCTCTGCGAGAGAGTATAATTCGCACGACGACGAGAGAAGCAAAGATTGATATATTCGTGGACGGACGTATGAATTGAGTTGCGCGCACTATAACCTCTCACTCTTTCTCTCTCGTGTGTCTTTTTCTTTCGCTTGGCTCGCGATGCTCGGACGCAGAGAAAAAAGCTCGTCGTTGGCCACGAGCAGCAGCAGCAGCAGCGGACGCGAGAGCCAATTTTTTTATCTACAGCACACAGCACAACAATTATACGCTATACACTATAGAACGTAGCAGCAGCACGGACGTCGGCGCTGGAGCGGCTATGTTTTCGGTATATCGGTACTTATTGGCTTCGTGATACCTACACACAGTCGCGAAAATAAGCACAGACACACACGCACGTACACATATGAGAGCACTGTACGACGCACTGCTTCTGCTATATGTCGTCGTTTGTTATTGTTGTTTATATATTGCGATATTTTTCCTTCTTCGTCCTCTCGGCTCTTGACTCGCTATTGTTGTTATTTTTTTGCTTGTATTGTTGCCAGCGGATAGAAGAAGTTTATTGAATCTGTTGTTGTGGCACTTTCGAGTTGCTCCCAGCTCGTCGTGGTTTACAATTTCCAACTCAAGCTCCTTCGACCCTTTAAAGTGTGCGTATCCATGTGTTACGTAAACATCTAAACATATAAAGACAAATATGACGTTTAAGAGGATATCATGTAAGTAAATATACACGAATGCATATGGAATAAATCGCCGTATTTTTTAACGCAGAAGAAAATGTCTATTTTGATAGCTGGTAATTTATAAAATGTTAACTCTAAAAAACTCCAAGTCTAGTTTTCTTCACAGGAAAATTTTTGCAGAAAGTAATATTTTAGATGTTTTCTTCAAATAATTAAAGTCCATGTTTTCTATTCATAGCGTGAAAAAGAAAAACTAGACGGCGTGCGTAAAAATGGCATGTTTACTCCGTACTCGTGTACTTGAATTTTGAAGCAAAGTTTATTTTTTCTCGAAAAAGCTCATAAATACACACGTACGCGTGGTAAACTCATGTATAATTAATATTAGATAATTATGAATGTATAAGCGTATACAGCACTCTCTGCTGTAGGTAGTACATCACGCGCATAGATAAATAGAAAATAGATGTATGCATATATTTGTGCAGTTGGCTGTGCGCGCGGCTGGATTGGATAGGGCGAGAGGATAGGATTGCATACAGGATAGAATATACGAGGGAGGTAGTCGCGTGCATATAAAGTGGAGTTGTTGTGGCAGCGAGCACGAGGCGCGAGCGACCTGCCTGTGTTTATCTTACAATTAATACTGTTTTGCCGCGGACTCTCGGACTTTCGGAACGCAATTGAAAAAATTCACCACCTCGCGCGTCTAGTCTTGGCACTACGATACGACTGCGGATGCTCGTTAGCTTGCATACAATAATGCCTCGATGACATCTTAAAAGACGCGCTTGTATATCTTTCTGTGAGTGTTTGCGAGTCTCAATAAGTTTGACAGAGCTACATTAACTTTGCGTTAAAAAGTTACGGTCCGAGTCCAAAGACTCGGAATCGTACGTCACGTATGCCGTGCGAAAGAAAGCGTTTGTTTGTAAATAAATTGGTGGCGTCTCGCGGTCGAGTATTTTCTTTAGAGATAAGCGGCCGAGATTTATTGGCCCCTATCGCGTGTAGATTACACGCTGATCGGCCTGAAGGGTGCGAATTGGCAGGTGTACGCAAACGCGTAAGTCGGCTCACGGATCATACACACGATGAAGCAGGTCTCACGACATAGACGAAGGCGAAGACACACGGAAAAATGCTACATGCAACGACGGTGGGACGCGTGACAACGCTCGAACAGACGACACGGCAAAAAAGTATACACACGCGTGTATTATGTATGTGGCGAGCAGCGGGTAAATAATAAGTGTAGGTATCTCACTCGCGGAGTCGCGATCGAGACGACTCGACGACACTGGCTCAGTAGTGCAGGCACCTATAATAGTCGTAGCACTCGGCGGCTCGTCGTCGATGCACATGCATATTTCGCGACACGCTCGCACACGTATAGCACACACACACACACACACACACACACACACAGGCGAACGATGACAAACACAGACACGCGACGCAACTCGCGCTTGTACGAGTGGACAATAAGTGCACAAGTCGCAACGCGTGCTCAGCAGCTTACGCCTAATATACCTATGCATGCACTCGTGTACTGGCCAAGACGCGTGTGTTGCATGTCTGTGTGTACACGGGAGAAGGTGTGTTACAGCGAAAAATTCGAGTCAAGCAGAACTGCACGTAGTACTCGACGATAGGCATAAACGTGTGTTTATACGAAGAAAAAAAAAGTCTGGGCGTGCGAGAGACGTGGAGGATAAGTAGAAGTGTGCATGCATGGCTGACTTTAGTACGTATGCAGGCTTATCGGTGTGATACAGTTTGCAAGCAGGTATAGATCAGAGCGTGTCCGTGTGTGTGAGTTTAGGATAGGTGCGGTGGTATATATAGATATAGATATATAGATATAAAGTGGCATACTGCTGGCGCACACTGCTGCGATTCTCGAGTCTTTGCTTATGTATTCTGGTGGAGGCACACGAGACGGCACACGGCACACGGAGCAGCGAGTACACCACTACACTGACGCTTGGCGTTGGCTATCGTGTGTATACTATAACGCTTGATATATATGCACCGTGTATATAAACGTGTGCGCTATGTGCAGTCAGCAGTGCAGCAATAGCAACACAGCAGCAGCAGCAGCAGCAGCAGCGGCAGCAATGTGACGACTACTCGTCCGTTGTATGTCGCGCTTACTGCTCCGCTCTCTCTCTCTCTGGCTATCGTGCGCACGCCGTTGTTGTAGCATATAGCTATCGGCCAATAAATATATAGCTATAGAGAGGAGCAGTCAGCTCAGCAGTGTGTTATGTACTGCTATATAGGTAGAGAATCGGTGCTATACGCTACTAGACTAGCCCCTGCGCGCGAGGCCGCACGACTCGACTCGACCAAACTGCGCTGCTGCTGCTGCTGCTGCTGCTGCCAGTTGGTAGTCTGCTGCGCGCCACTATTGCACTTGGCTTTTTATCGCTTCATCTTTTTTGCTCTCGCAGGGCGAGCTTGGCGCCCTTCTTCCGATATATAGCTATATTATATAGCTATGTATAGCTAGCTGTACGTGGCAGGCGTGCACACGAGCTGCTCACTAGACTGCTAAACTATAAAATATAGTAGTAGGCAGTTTTAGCTACCTATAAATTGAAGTAGTAGTAGTAGTAATCTCGTTGTTGTTCTCTCTCGCTTGGTTCGCGATCTCTTGGAGCCAGAGCTACAACGAGTAGGTATACACAGCAAGCTTCCACGCGGCCGTGTCAGTGTCGGGCAAGGCGCGCAGCTCTCTCGACTTTGCACAGTCCCCACGCGATTCCGCAGTGTGACTCGTTGACTCGTTCGTCCGAGTCGAGAGAGCTGCTGCTTTAGACTCGGGGAAATATAGCACATTGGCACGCAGTGCGCATGTACGGCCGTGGCTCGGAATCGCTCGGAGTTTGGACTCTCAGCTGCTGCTGCAGACTTTCTGCCTTTTACCATCTCGCGATCGTGCCGACTTCTCCTCCCGAACACCCCCGAGCATCGTCTCGTACACGCGCGGGCCGGCGATACGTATATACTCGTGTTCGTGGTCGCGTGCGCGAGATCTCGCGTAGCCCTCGTGTTGTATAGGTAGCGAGCGAAACAAGCGCACATATACGGTGGAAAGAAAAATTGACCGCTACATAAGTAGGTACAGAAGCTCGGCGAGCTTTTTCTTTGGCGAGCTCGCGACGAGACTCCGATCCGCTCCGCTGCCTGCGCTCGTGCGGCTTTTATTACGACACGCGATCCCCTCATTAATCTTGGCCCACTGAGCGCCGTATAAGCAGAGCTAGAAACGAGGCAAAGAGCCGAGAGGTAAAAGTGCGGAGCATCGATGGCCATCGGTCATGCGACGATAACTCGTCGAGTCTAAGTAATAGCTGGCGACTCGCGCGGACCCGAGCTTGCGCCATACTCGTAGCGCCATTATCTTGTAATTGCCGATGCACGCGGAGCAACGATATACGCGCGCATTTCTCTCTCTCTCTCCCTATAAGCTCTATCGGCTTATTGGTTGCGATCGCACGCAACGATATTGCTCGCGGTTGGCCCGTATTAAAATGCGCTCCGAGATAAATTCAAAATTTAGCAGGTAGTAGTAGGTAGCTGCAGCCGCAGGTCGGATAATCTCGGAGCTTTCGCTCGAGCCTTGCCGATCCACTATACGTATACGCGTTTCTATTAGTGTGGGTCGAGCTACTTGCAGCCTACGTAACGCTACGAGGGAACGGCCAAAAGTTGGCAGAGAACCGCGCAGCTACTCCACCTTTGCCTGCACTTCTCTTGTTCGTTGCTTCTCGACGATCGCACACACAAAAACTTTTTTATTTATATATGCCATGCGGCACTCGAAGCGGCATTCGATTTCTCGCGCGAGCTATTGTTCTCCGCCTAGGCATTAGCCAAGGTGTCGTTCGGTCTGTATTATTATATACTTTATTATGTACCAAGACTGGCGAGCGCCTGACGCACTCGAGCTAGCTTCCTACATATATTTATGTATACATAGACACACACATACACACAGAGTCAAAGCAATAAAGCAGCCTAAGGTGGCTGCTGCTTTTCATCGTGTCGCACTTATTGATTAAAGTCCACGTTATATTACACGACGCTACCCGACAGCTCGTGTGCAGCTCGCCGCACACTTTTATTATATCATCGTCGTCGTCGTCGTCGTCGTCGCTGCCGTCGTTATTATTCGTCACGATCTACGCGCAACTTTATGTGACGGCTCGTATTCTCAGTCAACCTCTCTAGGCTCGACTTAGCCCCTCATGACGATCCAAGAGCCTCATTACTCTATATATTATATCGGCGAAATTCTGCTGCAACATGACATGAGTGGGATGTTTTGATTTTTCGAAGCTCCTTCGGTGCATTCCATCGCGCAGCTTATAAGCAAAACCACCTGTGCTAACTCATCGCCGTAAGAATTATCCAGACACCCTTTAGCCATAAGTCCGTCTTTCGATTTATCTGCCCGATAAAAGCGATGATCATCGATGTGTGAATCATTCCATTTACATGACGTACCACCTGGAAACAGCTAATAAATATAAATAGTCGAGCTTTACACAATGTGGAGCATCGATAACGTAGCAAGATTGTGCTTTCGATCCGTCTCGTTAATTATTACAACGATATTTTAATCTAATGAAACGTCGTCGTTACACTCGGAATAAAAAGTTACAACGCATAGAAGCTTTTACGCCTGTATGCGCCTTCTGGAGCCGCAAACGTCACGCACGTCCCAACGAGGAATTTTTGCTCATTTCGCTTTATTCAATTTTATATGTGCACCAGCCGAGAGAATCGGAATGAAGGTAGAAAAAGAGAGGAGCAAAATAGATTTCAAGAGCACGAGAAGAGGGAGAGAGAGAGAAGAGGCCTCTGCGCTCGCGGCTAGGTGTAATTTTCCTTAACGGGCAGAACGTCTACGGCGTATACACGTACACACACCACAAAGCGATTATTATCCTCGTTCGCCGGCATTTCGTTTATACGCGCGTGCAGGAGTCTTATATAGCATCGCAGCAAGTCGAGCGACCGCAAGAGAAAAAAAAGAAGCCCCGCACAATTTAATATAGGCGCGGGCGCGTTTCGCAGTCGTTACTTTATACGTGCATAAACGAAATGAGATTTAATATTTGCGAGTCGCGCGCGAGCTGGATCGCAGTTTGCCTATTTTGGTCGACTCTCTTTTTTCTCTCTTTCTCTCGCAGTTTGCAGTCGCGCGCGCGTATATAAAACGAATCTCGTAGGCGGATGAATATCGTAAAAAGACCGTGAAGCTTTTTCCCTTGAGTTCGCTCGCGAGAGAAATCAACGGACGAACGTGTGCGGATTGTCCAAATATTAGCCTACATCGAGGCTCTCGGGCACACGTGTGCGAGCGCGCGACCATTAGCTCGCTAATGAATATCGGCGTAATTAAAATTTGCTCGACTTGCGTGCTTGCGCCGTGTAACGATGTACGCGTTATTGCTGCGGCTCTCGTGTGATATACAAAAAAAAAAAAAAAAANTATACTCTACTAAAAAAAAAAAAAAAAAAAAACAACGTCGCACTCGATAGAGTAATAAATGAAAGCGCGCCTTGTGTGCGATTTCGAGTTCAGGGAGAGAGGAGTCGAATTTCTGAAACTATTCTATGTAGGAGCTGCGACGCGTACATATATAGAGTTGAAAATAGAATCAGCTGCGTGATCGCGCGCTGCAGCTGCCATGCATTACTGACATTTTGCCAATCAACCATAACTATATATCGATAAACGAGCAATATTGGACTGCATAATGTGTCCACTGTGTGTGTGTGTGTGTGCGTCGTACCTCGCAGCTATATAGGCTTTGTTCTATAATAAACTTTATAAAATTATCGCCGCGCGAGTGTCTCATCGATGTGCAGTCGCAGCTACCCTTCCTCTTCCTCCCTCGTCCCGAGCCCCAACGCCGCTCCCATCTATTTGCGCGAAACATAATTTAATATCAAACGAGCGCGTGAATGCAGAAGAACGGGGCACCTCCGCACAGCCTTCGAATGCACGCGCTTCGTTTGCTCTTCGCTCGAGTGTCTAACATCGTTCGTTTCATGCAGAAAATACCAATACCTAACGAATTAGCTCCCAACGATGGCTTTTACGATCCGATTCTTTTTCGATTTCACCGCGAGCCGACCGATTATTTTTACTCCAAACGATCGCCACGGCCATCTACGAGAGAAAATCATGATCTTTGACTTTTGTCGGTGACGTCAAACGAGTCTACTTTGTGCGCGATTTACGTGCGGCCCGCGCGCACTAACCGATGCCCCGCGAGAATCGGCATGTCTGTGTAATTTTATGAGCAAACGATACATCGCCTGACGCGCTTCTGTCAAAGCTTCGACTCGTACGCGATATTAGCATATTGTGTCTCGTGTCGGGCCGACGTCTCAAATTCACTTCTTACCATATTTACAATTTCAACTGTACGGATTTTGGTAGTTTTTGAAATGTCAACGAGGTTTATAATCCAAGTTAATTACAAAGTTAGAAAAAAATTTGATTCATTTTTCAACGACCTGATGACTTTTTTCAGTACTCATAATTGTGTTTCTGGACCTTTTTTTTTTTTAATTTTTCATTGAACTATGCGCTTGTGCACAAGTAAATAAATTTCATTGAAAATCATTTCCACAACACCTTGTACAAAAACATATTTATCCGGTCAAGCACGTTGAAACTAATGATGTGACAGACTTGACTTTTGAAAACGACGACACGCACTCGTACCAACCTTGGACATTTCGAGCCTACACTACATTTTGTGTCTCAAGCCACAAACTCCTTTTTTGAGCTCGCAATTTGGTTATGTCTGTATCCCCACCAATTCACGGGGTCTAACTACAAGACAGTGCAGTTTTTGTGAGACGCCGGCCGTGTTTATAAAACTTCTACTTTGTGCTGATAATTTAATACAGAGTACGGCATCATGAAACTTGTTAGGTAAGCAGTGCTGTTGCATTTTTTTTCCAAAAACATTATTCAATATCTAACTTTCGATTGTTTGTATACAAACTCCATGTTTTTTCATATGTTTCTAACCTCCCGATGCTAATTTTTTTTTGCTGAATAACATTATTTTTGATTCAGATTTTTGATGAAACTCAGTCATGAGACAGTTACCATAGAATTGAAAAATGGAACTCAGGTTCATGGCACCATCACTGGTAAGAAGATCTTTAATGTTTTCGTGCATACAAATTGTATTTTATTTAACACCAATTTCAAATTTCAGGTGTCGATGTAGCCATGAACACACATTTGAAGTCAGTAAAAATGACAATCAAGAACAGAGATCCAGTCCAACTGGATACACTTAGTCTAAGAGGAAACAATATAAGATATTACATTCTTCCTGATTCGTTACCTCTTGAAACGTTACTGATTGATGACACACCCAAAGCCAAAGCTAAGAAGAAAGAATCTGCTAGAGGTAGAACTTTTAATCATTTTTGTGCTCCATTGTCATTTTCTTCATTCCATGCTAATAAATACTTCTTCTTATTTTTAGGAGCAGGAAGAGGTAGAGGACGTGGAGCTAGAGGTAGAGGCGGTCGTGGTGGAAGAGGAAGAGGCCGAGGCAGGCGATAATAGTTTTATTATGTCATTCCACGAGTATTCTGTGAATGTTCGGATAAGTTTGGTGAAAAATTATTTATACTTAGTAAAATATTTTTTGTATACCAAACAGCTCGAGTTAAAATCAATTTTTCATCACGTATCGAGTGATTTATTACCCGTCACTTTAAGTTCTGTAAAATTAAATAAGAAACACAGCGATGTACAAACATTAAATTGTATTTCGTGATAATTGAATTACAAAACTATTTTTAAATTAGTAACAAATGTGTTATCAAATTATTTTAAAGAAAAAATGTGTTTCCAGTACAAGAAACAGCATCAAAGATAAAGGTGTTGTTGACAGGCTTATACTGGTGTGTTATAAATTTAACTGCTTCTTGAGCAGCTAAACCTCCAACTGTGGCTGAAACTGAATGTAATTCTGCACCACCGTATCTACAAAACTCATGCACATAATCATCCTTGACTACTGGACCACAACCCCATTCTCCTAATAACTTTGATATGCAAGCCTGAAATCAAATGATAAGTTTTAACTTGAATCAAAAATATCTATAATTATCAGGCTTTACCTTTAGTTTTACAATATCTGGCTCAACATGATCATCAAATTCACCAGGATAAGTGTTGTACTCATCTATAAATTTATCAACTCCTCTCAACATTACATAATGTACCATAAAACTTTCAGGATTTTCCAAGCTTTCCACTAAAATTAATGATTTTAAAGAGACATGATTATATGATTTTGTACAAAAGGTATTACTTGTTAAATAAATTACCTATTTCATTAACATTCAACAATTTAGGATCATATTCATCTGCTATACAAGTTCCTCGTTGAACACATAACTCAGAAGCATGTCTACAATATAACTTGACATCTTTTTCAGGAATTGAATCTGAAGGTTTACCTAATTGTCTAAGTAACTGAAGAGTTCTTCTCCAAACTGCTTCAACATCTAATCCTGCTTGTTTATGGTACCTAAAATCAATTAATGAACCTAAATTTCAAATATAACTACAAGATTTTAGTATGTGAAGCTCTATAATTACACTTGTTGAAGAGAAACAAATTTTTCAGTATCAGCTACCATATCTGGCAATGATCCTTTCTGGGGTAAAAGGCCATCACCTTCATTTTCAACAAAATCTCTGATAGCTTTTGCAATTATCCAGAATGAAGTACTCTAAAATAAGATAATTTCAAAAATACTACATTTTACTCTATAAATGATAACAAATGAAGTATATACCTTAGAATTCAAATTAACGCAATTATTATCATTCAAAATTTCTTTCACCCCACTAGGTACAATTGTAGGACTTAAACAAGTATTAACAGCTTTGATAGCTTCTTCAAAATTTTCTTCAGATAAGGGCACATTTTCTTCATCTTTTCTAATACCATCTCTAAGCATTTGTCTAAATTCTTCTTTTTCAGCATAAGTCTTTGGCATATCTCCTCCATGAGTACTTCTCCATTTTTCTAAATACTTGTAGAGGATTATTACATAAGGTGTATGGGAGTGGTCCTTCAAGTCCATACTTTCCAAATCAATAGCATCAAAATGTTTTTTTAATGCTTCAAATGGCTTGTCGAGTCTTAAATCAGACTTTTCATTGTCAGGGTGAGTTTCTACAACTGTATGTTCTTTAACTTGAACCCTTATATGTCCAACAAATCCTATTGTTCTACATGCGATTAAAGGAATATCTAATTCCCACAATTTTCTTGAAAGTACCACTAGCGATCTATGAACACGTTTATAAAAAATGTATATTATACAATTCACGAAGACATTCGGTTATGGAATAATAAATTGAAACATTACTTCTCTGGCATTGCACATGCTATTACTAGACTAAAATTGTTAAAGAAGTCAGGACTGTTATTCAAAATTTGTTCGGGTCCTTCATCAATGAAATCTCCTCTAACATCAGAATTCATTTCAACAAGAAGTTGCGTGGTAACTTGAGCACGAGATTTTCCTAAACTATCGGAATCTAAAAAAAAGCTATTTAAAATTTTAATTTTTGTTAGATTAATTTGTTATAATTTATACTTCATTGACCATAAAATATATTTACTTTGAGCCTATATCTTCATCTTTAACTATGTGTCCATCAATAATAGTAAAAGCTCCTATGCCTGGCAATACAAGAGATTTCATGATTTCTGTGCCTAAAGCATTTGCATTTATCAAGCAAATATGAGCACTTTCCAATAAGGCTTGACCATGATCATTCCATAACCTGTATTATAAAATTGCCTTAAATTTACGATGAAATTGCGAATAAATAATTGATTCTCAATGTTTGAGATATTACTACTCAACAATGAAAATTGCAAGAATGTAAAAAAAACATTCACTTGGGAATCACTACAATACCTCAATTGACGATCATATTTTCGACTTTTTTCCGATTGTTCGGGCGATTTGGGGGCGGGTGAAGCCATTGCAGGAATAAATATTATTTCTTATGCTAAAATTGAATATTACTCCATTAATCCAGTCAATTTCAGACTTGAGTATGTTTATTTTAATTATCCGACTAGATCTCAGATGTACAGAATGACTTCCCGAAAGTGATCAGCTAACCTGACTTACGAGCCGGCACAAACGATTTTGAACTGAAATATAGCAGAACGGACGTTGGGTTATTTACATGAGCGTCAAACGTTTTGTAAAATGACGAGGAAATAAGGATGAGGATGAAATATTGATGAACCAACAAACTTATTATTATTTAAAAATTTTAATAATTTGTTTATTCATATTACTTATAAGAATAATTTTTTTTAAATTTTATTTAATGGAATGTTAACTTTAAAAGGACTGATCTGCATTCATATATTTTTTATATAAAAAACTATCAGTGCAAGTTACATAGTATTACATTTTTAGAAATACATTGGTCATAAATATTTTATTAACAAACAAATTTTTTTATAAAATGATTTGTTCACTGTACAAAATAAGTTATGAGCTTATAATTACATAATTGAGTTTTTATAAATTGACTATCGTTTTTTATACATTTACAAAAAAATGTACTAATTTACTTTAAATTTATTTTTCACATTATCTATTTTTACGATTGCTAATTACATTTGGATTCGCTTCAAAATCAGTACCATTGTGAGGTAGTTTTGAATGTACATAAGGAAGTATCCATGTTAAGTACCACCTTTCTCCAAAAACTTCCTTAATATTATCTATGTAACTAAAACTATACTTGTAAATACCTTTATTTTTTTCATTAGCAGTGCAACCTAATAACACAGAGTTGAAATGATAAATGCAAAGATTTGCAGAAAATAGCATACCAACTATAGTTACAATATATAACATAAGATAAAAATGCTCTATTGAATCATCAAAACCAAATACAAATATTGCCAAAGGAAACATTATTTTTATAATACTTATTGGAAATTCAAACTCTATCCTGTTCCAAATGAAATGATTGTTATAAATTAATGAATACAAAGCTCCTATAAATATGTAGAGGATAAACATCAAAAAATATCGTTGATTGAAATGTCCTATGCAACATCCAGTAAAAATACAATGATGATCTCTTTTCAAAATGCAGGTTTTACAAGTATTGCAATGCCAAGAACGGGGTGGATGAACTTCAACACATACAGAACAAAATCTCCATCCATTTTCAGCATTTTGCTCAGGAGAAGGAATTAATACCCCTTCAGAACTAGTATCAGATAAAAATGTGAAAGTGATATTTCCAACAATGTTTATCATAATAAAAGTTCCAAAACAGAAATGTAGATAGTATGCTGAAGTTCCAGGTGTGTAAAGCTCTGGTAGAACAATCCACAGTTCAAACCAATAAATCAATGGCACAATTATTAATAAGAATAGCATGGACATAAAGTCCCCAATGGTTTTTGGCCAAAGCTTTTTTCTAACACGCATTGTTACTATTTATGACTAATTATTATAATTATTAAATTATATAATATAATTATATTAAACTGCACTGTATATTTTTCAAGGGATCTCGTGACAACGCACAAGTTTACAGAGCAGAAGATGTATACATTTGGTTTGTGTACACTTCGTGAACTGAACCAATAATAAAGGTAACTTAAGTACCGACTTAAAATCATATAAAATAATATTCGCGCATCTAATATTATATAAATGAACTACAAAAAAACGTTTGTTTTTGTTAATTTTTATTCAGATTTTACCCTTTATAGTTATGTGGCATCTTAAAAAAAAATTTAAATGATTAACGAATTAACGATACTTGAATTGAATCTCTTGAATTTCAACATTCCCCCCTTATTAAACGTAGCAGACGTTTCTATGGAAACGCGCGGATTCACTCGGTTATTGGAACCGTCATTTTTATTTGATATTTTAATTTGTAATGAATTTTTATTTATTTTGTATTAACTTTGCGGAAAATCCGCTGAAATGGAAGATTTTACGAGCTCACAATTACAACTGGTTTTAGGAGTAAAAGAAGGTAGGAATTATTAGCGAGCGATATTTTTATTGAATGCTTAACCTTTAACTGATCACTTGTTGATACACAAACAATTTTTTCGCGGGAAACGAGACCATACAAGTTTTGCTCGTTTTCACTGAAATTAAAAAGAATTGATGCGCCGATTTTTAGGATTTGTTTTTGAATATTTTTCGTGATTTTTGAGTACGAATATAATTTTTCAGGTTGCAATTTTGATAGGGTGCAGAAACCAACTGTCATTATTGCTACTCTAAATGGACAATGTATCGAAACTAAAAAGATTCAACCTGATTGCAACCCACAATTTTGCACAGATTTAATTTGGGAAACCGATAAAAATGGGTTTAGACGGTATAAACTAACATTCAATTCTAAATAATTTTGTTTTTCATGATGAATAAGGTTTAGTGACTGATTCTAGGATGAGAAGTAATCAAACCCCCATAAAAGTTGAATGTTATGCTATAAATGAAAATGGTAGTAGAGAAAAACTTGGGTACATTTTATTGAGTGTACGATGTGCCCAGATTATTCAACCCAATGGAGAATCTAACATAAAAACAAATTGGCACAATATTTTAGGAGTCAAAAATGATTTCAACAATTGCAAACCTAGACTATTAATGTACTTGATCATTAGAGAAAAAGAAAATAAAAATGCAATTATTCCAAAGGTGAAAAAAATTGTTATAAATAATTCATCAGTAAAATTTGTCTAATAAGACCATAAAAAATTAATTATTTTTATTTATAATTATGCCAGGTTGACAACTTCAGCAATTTACATCCACTCAAATCAAATATTGTACCTTTGTGGTTGCCAGATGAGCATTTGATTCAACTAGGTCCATTAGAATTGTGTCAAGATGTATTTCAATTATATATTGCCACACATGCATTAACACATCTAACTTCTTTTTTTGATGAGTTTCCTAAAAGTGAAAATAACAATTTTGTTATTGTTTTAAATATTTTGGGTACCTTTATTCGCCTTAAACCTTTTAAAATGGAGTCTGATAACATATCTATCAATGAAAAAATTGTTATTAAAATAAGAACTTCATTACCTGTTTTAAGAGATTATTTACTGACTAGACCACATTTTATAGTCAAATTAAAGCATGAAAATGTAACAATTGGTATTTCGGAAGTGAATTTAAAATCATTAATTAAAGTGGATGATTTACAATGTTTTATAGAAATGGAAAGCAATTATGTACCAGTAGAGTTTAATTGTATTTTTAAACATGTGTGTTCAAAAGGAGGTAAAGGAGATTGTCAAGGAGGTATGAAATGAACTAGAATTATCATTAATTATTGTCAATTATCAATTAAAATAATTTTTATTAAATATAATTCTTTTAGGTGATGAATTTACAACAATGCCTTGTTTGAGCATTTCTGTTAAATTAAAATACTTCCAGTTAAAAAAGGTTTTTAATGGAAAAACATTTCATCCTCTTTCACCTTCTGTAAGACAAAGCAAAAGTAATGTAGCACAAATTTCAAATCACAATAGCTGTTCAAATGGATCCACATCTAATGTAAGTTGAAATAAGTTTTTTTTAATTTTCTAAGGATAATATAAAATAATGTCAAGATTTCATTTATCTTTTTAAAAACTAATATTTTAGGAACACTCAGAACTTAACCCAAATCAAAAAAGTAATAGAAACATTGATAAAATCGATCACAAGATGTGTTCCGTCCCAAGAGAAAAATTATATACTCTAGACAATGGCAATAATACAGCTGAAGCACAAAATATTCACAGAAGTTACAGTTTAAAAATAACTTTGAAAAATATTACATTTCTATTTTCAAAAAATGATGTGCAAATCGTGGAGTTCAGGTACAATTTATTTTATTGAATTGATTTTTTTGATTGATATATTTAAAACACTCTAATGAATTGTAGATTTTATAACTCATTGGGTGAAATTATAAATAATGCTGTTAGTCACGTTGATGGGATTTCAGCTGATAAAGCAATAAATCTTAAAGATATAAATTGTAAACTTCATTTCATTTGTACTCCTGATCAAATATTCAAATTGCTAGATACATTTGCTCCAAAAATCAATGTATGCGATGCAACTGCAATTGAAACTAAATGTCTTGCTCAAGTGGAAATAAACTTTCAACAACTTTTGGACAACAAAAAAATTGAATGCACTGAATTGGTTCATTTAGTAGATTGTAGTACTCATGAAAAAATTGGCAATGGATCTGTACATATTCAGCTTGAAGATCACACTATGACAGCATTGAAAAAAGTCAACACAGGAAATTTTGGTATTTGAAAATAATTTTAAAATATTTGTTTATCATACTAAAAAACATAACTTAATCTCAAATGTTTATTACTGTATACAGAAGATATACTAAATAATAGTATGGCTTATAAAATTATTGATGAACTAGAAACTTGGAAAGAAAGGCAAAAAGATATATTTAAAAATGAGGTTGAGTTATATTAATAATTTTATTTTATTCATTTTTAATAATTGGTTTTTAATTATATTGTGAATTTTTATTTTTTAACAGTTACGTAAAAAAGAAGAAGCACATTTTACCTTATTGAACGAAGAATGGCGACGACGCAAGGAATACTTGGAGTCCAAATTAACTAACAGTATGCAACAGTGTAAAATTTTGGCCAATGATTTAACTAAAACGACAGAAGATTTGCGTGCGCGAAAAATAGAAAGTTTAGAAAAAGAATCTAAATTAATTCAAGCTAATGATGAATTGCAATGGAAATACGATCGCAAACTACAACAGCTTCAAGAGGCATTGCAGAAAATGCAAGAAGAGTTTACATCAAAAGTTGGTTTTCCAATAAATTTTTTTTTAAATGGCATGTTAACTTGTAATGTATACCATTTGAATGAATTTTTATTTTATTTTTACTATTTATAGCTAATGAAATTGGAACATGAAAATCGAAATTTACTCTCTCAAATCGAAAATTTGACAGTAAAAAATCTCGAGCTTGAAAAATTCAAAAGAAGACAAACCGAAAACGTAAGTACAATGGAAAAATCTTCATTAACAGAAGAGCGAACCAATTCGGTCCTGCAGCAATTGAAAAATCTTGAGGAAAAGTTAGACAATGCTCAAAAGAATAATGACTACTTCAAAGAAAAATGGAACCAAGCGAAGAAAGAGATTCACAACATAAAAATTCAAAATCAATTAGCACTGGAATCAGAAATAAAAAGTAGCAGGCAGGAATTACATAATACAACGTAAGAAATCCAAACAAATAATTGTTTTGCGCTAATTTTAGGCCAGCTAATTTTATTTATATTTTTTTGAATTTTAGTTTAGATTTAGAAGAATTATTAAATGCAGACACAGCTGCATTGAAACATGATAAAATGGCATTAATTAATATACAACAAGAAATTAACAACTTAAACTCAGAATCGCAGTTGCAGATCCTAGAAACGAAGGCCAATAAAGATCACCAACATTTATTCGAGTCTGCTATGATGAATCCAGATTTTCATCTAAACTTGGATGGAGTGAACTTTTCAAACTCGGATTCGGCGTCAACGAGTACAAGTTCTGATCAAAAATTACGCATGCTCATAAAACAACGCGATAATCTCGTGAATTCTGGAAATTATTCTAGCAACAACAGTATTATAGTGAAATTAAGTAGTGACATAAGGTCTATGCTTATAAATAGTTAACGTAAATTATTTTGTATGAGTAAATTTTCTACATGGCTTCGACTCGACTGATCATTACCGGCTGATACCTGGCAAGTGGTAAATTGTAAGTTATATATGCAGGTGATATGAAGATCGATTTTTCGTATATGTACATAAAAAATTAAATCTATATTTACTTATTATACACGACTAATAAAAAATTGTTCATTAATATTTTGACAGATGTTAATCTACTTTGACTTTGTAAAAAAATGGCACGATATCCAACGAGACTTTGTAATCTAGAGTTATAGGACCAACCCATGCCTGATTCCAATCGTTTCCGTTTTTCCAATATCCTTTAGGTAAGTAAATCTTTCGAGCGAACGAACCTTCTTGAAGAATCGGCGCAATTATAATATCATCGCCGAGCATAAATTCTGCAAAATGAAATGAAAATAATATTAACTGAATGTATTAGGACGCCAACGGAGAAAGTATTAAAAAAAACTTACGATCATGAATTTTTAATGCTTCTTCATCAGTAGGATCGTCCCACCATAGAGGTCTATTTATCATAGTTCCTTCTTCTCGAGATTTTTTCATGAGCTCGATAATTCGGGGAACTATATTATCACGTCTAAACTCAAGCAATTTTAGAGTTATTTGTTCAGTCTGAAACACGCCGAAAGAAATATTTATGAAACTTAATTTAGGTCAAGTTCGTGAATTTGAAAAACGATGAAGGGTTACCTCGTTATCGTAGAAGGAAGCTGGCCAGGAAAACTCCACCGTAGGCATGAAGAGAACAACTTGGAGCCACCTAATAAAGAGCTCCTTGGGCGGCTTGTTGTCTTTATTTGGCAAGCCTTTGTCATCGAAACGGTTGACACCGTTGAGGCCCAGACCACCGACCGGGCCCGGCGATACGAACGTGTAGCCCTGCAGATTCAGCACCAAGCAATTGGTAATGACCGAGGCAAGTCCGTTTGCCTGTCCCCAGCTGCTCTCTTTGGGGCTCAACTTTATCCTGATGTTCTGATTCTCATTTCTCCAAGAGGTGCGAATCTCGGTCATGGGGCCGAGATGCTTGTAAACTATTTCAGAGAATACGCGCGGATAGTGACCCGGAATAAAATATGATTTCTTTATGCTACTGACAAGAGGACTGAAGGGCAGCCAAGACGAGTCGCCTCCGACGTCAAATTTGAAAGAGTCGATTTTGTGCTTAGCGGCAAAGTCCTGCACTCGTTTGACCCACCAATCGATAACCTGGTCATTCGTAAAGTCGATCAACGCCACTTTTTTGCCTGAAGTCAGAAATCACGCGTTTTTCCTCGATATTTTGTCGTAAATCGTTTGCTTGTATTCACGTGGCTTACCTCTGAACTCGGTGATATGTATGCCACCCTTACTGTTCTTCAGGTAAATGTCAGTCCCCAAATTGTCTGCGTAAGCTGTACCCTTGTTCTCGGGACAGTCTACTTCGATGAACGGATTAAGGGATAACTGTAGATGGAAAAACTCTGGGTCGATGTTCTGGGTGACGTTTTTTGAGTAGAGCCAGGATCCGTAGCACGACTGCCAGCCGTCGTCGATCTCGATTATTTGCTTGTGCGGCGCGTGCAACTTTTGAATAGCCGCGGCAAACGTCTCGACTGTTTTACTGCTGAGCTCGTCCCTCATCACGGGCCAAGTGGAGTAACTGGTTCTACTGATCAATTGCGGATCCGGCAAGGGTATTTTTGGCCAGCTCTTCGCAGCAGTCGGCCTAAAGTTTTTCACGAAAAACTCGTGGGCCTCTCGCGCATCACGGAAGAAGCCGAGCTGCCATTTCAGATTGATTTCCGATTCAGACGGGTACGGTGGCTTGTTCTTGGCGACGAAGCACAACTGGCCGGTGTGGCGATTGTTGACGTCGAGGAAGAGCGGCACCTGACTGTCGACGTGTAGGTAGTAGCCGCGGCTCGAGAGGAAGTAGCGCTCGGCGATGGGCATCTTGTCGGTGGGCACGTAGGCCACGTCGCCGAACGGAACGTGCTGCGTCGGCCAGACCTGATGCTCGAGCGTCGGACCGCCGTAAATCTGCTCGCCCTCGGCCAGTTTGATGCAGTCGATCAGCTCGTCGTCGCCGTGCCTGCTGGTACGGCTGACGTTGATCAACTGCGAGCCCATGTGGACGTTCATATCCAGGCACGGCTTGTTGATTTTGTCGCACCTCACGCATATCGAGTTGTGGGTGCAATACATCTTGGTGAAGGCCAGATCTTCCTTTTTCACCTCTCTTTTGTTCTGTATCTTGGTGAAGAACGAAAAGTACATCAGGTTAAAGCCTTTGAGCTTTACGTCGATTGTATTATGGTTCAGCTCGACCCAAATTTTGTGGTTGTTGTACCACAAGTCTACATAGAACCGGCGATCTTCGGGTACAACGTAAATGGGCTTTTCCATCGGCTGTGCCTCATCCATAAAGACCGCCAGCAGCCAAAACCCTGCGGAAAGCATACATTTATCATTTCAAGCCAATACTTAACAAAATTTAATGAAACCTAGTTTGAAGTTGAAAGTTTTCAAGTGTCCGATAAAATTCTCTCGGATCACGCAGCTTCTCTCGATAAATTTTGAGTGCTTTGGTTTTTCCTAACTATTATGATTTGATTACAAAAGAAAAATAATGATATTCATACCAATCATCAGCAAAGTCTTCATGTTGGCTCGCTTCAGAGTCCACACCCGTCACGTTGGAACGATCTTAAAACGACCCCGCTTTTTGCGGAGCTATTGGTAGCTTCGTCTTCAAAACAGCAAAAGAATTATACTATTGACTTTCAACGTCTGTACCGGCCACGATCGATAGATTCGATCTTTTATTCTCCGCCTGATTTTACGACTGATCGACTCGACTAATCACCGGCATCTATAACAATTTGGCAAATTCTTATCTTCCTCGTGGGCTCTGCCGATCGACTGTACGGCGAGGATCGTGCTGATTTATCGCCTTCTAAAGACTCTCTTCTTATAACAAATGAAACAAAGAAACAAAACCAATATTTGCAGTTAAATCTCTGGATATGCCGATTTATTGATCGTGTTCGGTCGTGTAACCTCAGTGAGGCATGTGGCGCGCTATTATTAAACATTGCATGGGCACCGAATTTCATTAAATCGCTCGTTAGCGCGAGAGTAACGTTAAACATCATTAGCTTTACATGTAAGTGAAAAAACAAAACGATAAGACTCGGCCGATGCCTATTATGATGAGGCATCCAATAGCTCTCATTACAATTTCTGTGTCTAACTGATGCACATATGAGATAACAAATTGATTTTCAGGTACCCTCCAGTGATTGTTAAAATAATACTTTCAGTTTCGCTTCAATCCAGTGTCTAGGATATATGAATCATTTATTGCGATAAGATAAATTGTTTACGACGCATTTTCATCATCAGAATGGCCCGTCGATTTTTTTTCATAAATTAAAGGCAGATTTGGTGCTTAATAAACTGATCTAGTTGTGGGATTTATCAATGAAAATGTGCAATTTTTATGTAACCAACATTAAAATGATATCGTTCTTTTTTACATATATTTGAATCGACTCAATTCATAAATTTATTATAAAAATATTGAACTCGAAGCACTCTGTATCAATATTTGCAAGATTAATATTAGCGAAGAAATTCTTAAAAATAAAAATCTCTGTTATTAAATGTCGAAAATTTGATAAATTATTCACAGATGTCTCACAGAAGCTCTGGCAACAAACAAATATTGAAATTCATACTGCGTAGAATGTTGTATCTGATGACAATTTTCCTGTTTATAAATATTCTCAAAAACTGCACGCAAAGAAATACACCCGTTTGATAGACAAAAGTTTCACCGATTTATACTATACTATTTATCAAGAAAGTTATTTTTCATCAATTGATACGGAAACAATTTAAATCAAAATTATCACGGCAAACAATTGCACAAGTGAGCTAAAAATGTTTGGCATGCTTCATCAAGTTTTTGAGAAAACTGAAAAAAATGTGTAAACATTAACAAAATATTCATCAATTTGTATTTTGATAAGTTTGCATTTTGAATTTAATAAACAGAGCAATTAGCAAAAACGTAACTGTAATTAAAGACTACTCTTGTATTTAAAATATAGTGAGTAACTTTAACGAACATTTCATAATTTGTTGAAATAAAATAAAATTTGTTATTCAAAAACAAAATTAATCAAATATTAATCAAATGAATTTTTCATCATAATAATAAAGAGCTCTTTACACGTGTGTTCTCATTTTTTGTACTTTATCATTTTGATTCTATATTTACATGAATCAACAAAAAAGTTGTTTACCAAGTAAAATATAAAGTAAAAAAGTTACTATAGAGCATGTGAATACAGTTGTAAATGGTTTCGGAAATAAGAAAAAGTCAGTGTACCTGATTAAAATTGACACTTGAATCCTTCTATGTTAAAACTTTTCTTGTTTTATTTATTTATTTATTTAAGTTACTGTATTGACGAATATTTTTTCATAACTATCGTCGGGTCACCATTAAGGGATAGTAAAAATTACAATCGTCAAACTTGAGTTACACAATGAAAAAAATCACTTGAAAAAAATAATTAATTTAGAGTTCATGGATTGTATAGAAAATAAATCAAAGATGTAAACGTAAATTTTTATCAGCGTTTAACCAACTACATAAAATCTCTTTCTGTATTTGCTCGCATCAAAAAAGGTGAGTGTTTCATGGTAATGTTTAAAGTTAGTCGATATATTTTTGACACAATTTCGCATGACCTTACCCGTTTATGGTTTGTCATGGGTCAAGGACGTATCGCATGAAAAAATATCTCCGAGTGGCCTGCGAGCATCGGAGCAATTAAGTTTAGTTTATGGAATAAGGCAGCAAAACATCAGTCGCGATGAGTCACGAATCTGGATATAGACAATAATATCGCGGTTTTTTTCACTGCATGACGATCGTCGAAGACTGAAATGGCATCACCCACGCAATCACCTTACGATGTACGATTCGATCACAAAAAAATCGGTCTCCCACGAATGAGTAATAATAATCGCTCGGAGTGAGCTTAAATCGCGACACGATCGGAAACTCGTCCAGAATTAAAAAAAACAACAGCATAGAGTTGCATTTCGCGATAGATCGTCGTCACAGTCTATTTAAGTGAAGTATGTAAGATTTTTATAAGCCGCTCACAAGCCAATAGTACAAGGTATCGAACCGATAAGATAAGTCCGGCGAAAAGTATATAGTGGCGGAACGGCCGAAGATGTGTCAAGAGCAAAGCAATATTCGCTTCCCCCGAATCTTCTCTACATAAATATAAGCAGTAGAAGTCGGAGGCTGCGTGAGAAGTTCCGCAGAAAACAGTTTAATTGTCGATCTGCCACGCCGTCGAGATGAAGAGCTTACTTTTGCTGCTGGTCGGCACGAGCCTGTTCGCCGCGGCCCACTCGTTCTTCTTAATTTACAGTCAACCTAACTCGGGTAATCACGACCTGATTGTCGGAGGCCGCGAGTACAACGACCGACTCATCTACAGCGAAAATGTGACGGAGAGCTTTCAGTGGTCCGGCATGAAACTCATCATCAATCGGACCGTGGAGGCGCCTCCCAACTTCCAAGTGACTCAGGTCAAATGCATAAACGCCGTTCAGGATGGCACCGGCGCCGAGGCGAACATCGTCAGCGGTGGACCGGGCCTCGGATGGGTCACCATTCGCTTCAAGAGTCAACGCTGGCGCGGCATTTACTTCGGGATCGAGGTTTACGCCAGACCGACCTATTAGTGATATCCTCGCCATCGAATGTGCCTCGTTAAATTTCGAGTGACGACTGCACATGCTGTTACGACAAGTGAAAAGTTCAAACGAATTAATAGTTCATTTTATGTCCACATAAATCTCACCACTTCAATCAGTTTAAAGTGATAATCGTTTGTTGTTTATCTTGTTATGTGAATTTTAATTGGACGAGAATTTTTTGGGACAGCAAAAATATGTTTATAATAAAAATTGAATAATCAGTTTCCTGCGCCAAGTGTCAATATGAGCTCATTGTAAGAGTCAAGGTTACTCCATAAAATAACATCTTTTTATCTTACTTTGGCTGATCGATTCTCCAACTATCAAACTTTTTGTATCGGATTGTAAATAAATCGTATTTAATTAGTACAAACTTTTTCTTTTTCTATCAAGCAGCATTACTTACAAGTATTGTTATTTTTATATTTGCTCTTTTATTATGATTTTATAAATTATTACATGAACTCTAACAAACCTTTCACAAAACCCATCTAATTATCTTTTGAGTCTTTCTTGTTGATCAATGAAAGTTTCAAAATTTTTATAACTGTTATAACGCAGTTTTATCATTTAACAATTGTTGTGAATGTCAGTATAACAAAAATTTTCTCGAAGAGAATCATTTCTTTCTTGTTGACCTATATTTTTCATCATATTCTATAAAATAATGATTATATATACTACTATTGAGACAGAAACATTTTTTAAACTAAGCATAAACAATATCAGGAGATAACGTTGCATACAAACTTGACACAATTATCTCAGATAAATATGCTATAATGTGCAGTATGTGCGAACATCGATTAATTTAATGGAATAAAAAGTCAAGGCTTCGTTTAACACTTTCGAAAAAAAAGTTCGGAATTTGATAACAATTAACATTCAAAGTATAGAAGTTCACACGTTAAAAATAATAAAACATTAGCTTTTTCAGATGAACTTTTTACAGCAATAGCTTTTCTATTCAACAGGTTTTCAAAGATGTACTTCGCTACAATGCAACAACATGCTTTAAGATTTTACCCAACTCAAACATTTGCAATCTTCGCGTGTTTTTCCTTTTATTTACTCCTCGAGGATAAAACTAAAAAATTGTTTTATTTATTTCAAAAAAATTAACAACTTTAGGAATCACCTTATTTACTCATAAAAAGCATTTTGAAACCGCTATTATTAGTCAGTAACAGAAATAAAAACTTGTGGAAATTCTATAAAAAGGCGAAAATTATTGTCGAAATAGCAATAAATTATTATAAATTCAAACTTTAAATACTCATTATTATTTATTGTCTCGAATTAATTTAATATTAGTTCTCTTCATACTTTTCAGTTTGACGGTTAGTGACAGTCTGAAACTTGTGATTTCGCTGATTCGGTAAAAAAATGTTCAATCATTAACTCTATAATCGACGTTCTTCGTCATCCAAGTTTTTATTTTTGAAGCTCTGAAAAGATTGTCTTAAAAAATATTTACAGGTGGATATTTGTAACTTTATTATCGAATATAAAAGATAAACAGGCTTTTTGTAGATGGAAAATTGCTTATTTTAATGATCAATACAATTATTTAATAATACTCAGTGATCGAAAGTATCTTATTAACTCAAGTATTTAAAAATGTATCTATAATCATTGAATATCATAAAATAAATGTAATAAGGAATAAAATAACTAATCACTCATTTATTGGGTCAGTTACTGTACACAAACTTACATTATTTCGAGTTTGTATTTCCCGCCTTATCATAGGAGCCTTATATGTGTTTACCATCGAGAACTTAGAGGTCGCTAATGCAGAACATAACGGCAAAAACGTGAGCCATATGCTGTGGGCATGGACTATGGAGGCAGCTCGGAGAATCAGAGCTGAGTAGTCTGCATGTGGATTTGTACGAAAGAATTCTATAGAATACGATATTGAACACGTGCGGAAGCAGGCCGTCGTGCTAATACAACTTGTTTTTGACTAATTGGTCAAAGTGTCAATTGACAGTTGACATCTTAATAAACATGACCGATTTTGCCAAAGCTCAGCTCCTGAAATACGGATGGACTGAAGGTAAATGATAAAAAACAAATGTTTCTCTTCTTTATTACAATTAATTTATCACCAAAAAATTTAACTTTCTTTTCTTTTCTTTTTTTAATTATTTGAATGCTTAATTCAAAGGTTTTTTCAACAATTACAATCAATCTACACAACTACCTTATTTTATAACCTAAAAATGGAGTATTTATTTTATTAAAGTGGAAAATATCTTTTTCAGGTAAAGGATTGGGAAAAAGCGAGAATGGTATAAAAGAGGCAATTAAACCTGAACTCAAGTTCAATACACAAGGCTTAGGGCACAAGGAAACTGAATACGAATGGTGGGATTCTGTATATGACAAGGCATTGAAAAATATTGTTTTGTGCAAAAAAGATAATAACGATGTATCTCTAAAAGTATTAGCCAAAGATGAGTTTAAAATTGCATCCACTGCTGCTGGTATAAAACCAGAAAATGAAAAAAAGAACTTGCATCTTGGTACATTTACAAAAGCTTCAACATTGCACAATGGAATTGTAGTTCCAGAAAATCCAAGTGAATTACCAGAATTAGAAGATGAAGAAACTAAAGTTAATGTAATTCCTAAGATGACTGACGAAGAACTTTTTAAAGCTTGCGGAGGTAGAACAGCTCATAAAGGAGCACGCCATGGTTTAAATTTAAATGGTAAACTTGCTCGGATAGCCGAACAAGAACAACAATTACTTGCTGCTCATTTTTTAAAATCAAATGATGTCAGCTCGAAGTCAACGGAAATAAAACAGAAAAAAAAGAAAAAGAGGAGGAAAGAGAAATTAATGGAAGTTGAAGATTGTACTACAGCTCTCAAAAATATTCACATGTCTGATGATGATGATAATGCAGTATTGCCACCTCTTGGACCTGCAGATGAGGAACATAAAGTATCCAAAAAAACTAATAGGAGAAGACAGAGAAAAGTAAATGATTTAAGCCACCAACTTACAAAATCATGTATGATAGATGATTCTATTGAAGCTGATGATGAAAAATCATCAGATACCCCAAAGAGCAAATGTAAACATAAGAAAAAGAAAGGAAAAAGAAAACGAGATGAAGACGCTATAGACAGTGATACAGGTGATATTACAATGAATGGAGAAACTGTAACTGAACCACCAGCCAAAAAGAAATCAAAAAAGAAATTAATCAGTTCAGATGAAGCAATGACCACTGACAAAAATAATGTTTTTGAAGAGGGAATTGATGTTAGTTTAGATGCAACTGATGCTTCAAGATTACATTGTGATAAATTGAATTCCAGAATTAGACTGAGAAAACAAAAAAAAATCAAAAGAAAAGAAAATAAAAAATTAGAAAGACTTTCAGATCTTCTTGCCGCTTCTTTGAGTGTAAGTGCAGAAGAAGTTAAAGAGAAAAAAACAAAAACTTTTTTAAAGTCATGAAAAAGTCATGGTAAATTAATTTCTAAAATTTCATCGAAGTAATAATAAAAGTGTTATTCTATGTTTATATATTAATATATAAGGCTGACTAGTTTCAAATTTAATTTATATTAGTTTAAATTATATATGTATATATTTTATGCATGTATATAATATGATATCATTTAATGATGAATTGTATTTGTGTATATTACGAAAAACAATAATTTGTAAATAGTAATCGATTTCTAAGTATTTTTTTTTACAAAAAAAATTTGTTAATAAATTTGAAACATTTAAAATAACATTATTCTAATTATTTGAAGTATGAACCCTACATCCATTTTAATGTTGAATTGTTACTATTTAAGAACTGCTCTCTCAATCTAAGGTAGATATGCAAGCAGATTTAATGCGTGTTGTGTTGATAACATGAAGCACGTGGAAATAACCAAGCAAATTTTCGGGCAAAGGTAAGTCAAACAACGATCGAATCAACATTTTTTCTTGCGATCATGTTTCTAGCAGAAGTCATATTAGCGTGCGCCTACCTATCGTATTCACTCTTCATGTGCACATGTCTCGATCAATGAATCATATAGGCAACAGAGCAACGAGTTCATTAGCTTGTCTGCTCGCTGCGCAGCTTCGGACGGCTGCTTTCTGCCAGAAAGTTTCTGGAGTAACTTTATAAATAGAACACCCTCAGTAAGCACATCTAGCAACCCCAAAGCGAACTTTCCAGCATCGTTATCGATCCGAGCCAAATATATAGACATATCCAACGTGCACCTGGGAGTTGGCAGTATATTGCGAGGCTTTATATATATACACACACGGCCTGCCCATGTCTATTCTATTCAACGGCACCCGCACACGTTCAGGCGGACTTATCAGTGCTCTGGCCAAGCAAATAAAGCTCGTCAATCTTCAACCCTTGAGCAAAATAACTGTTCGTTTTGATCCGTTTCACGAGAAAGCTCTTGAGACACGAAGTTTTCTTTTCCATATATCTGGACGGAGAGTTGCTGCGACCAATTATGATTGCAGTATAAAAACTGAAATTGCGTGTGACAGATCTGATCCAACAATTGTTTGCAACTATCAAGGCAGTGACGAAAAGCTCGTATTCAAGTCAAAAGATCTGACAGCTTTAGAATTACTTAAAGTATTTAATAAACACGTAAGTTCTAGAGTAGAAGTACCTACAGAAGAACCCACTTTACCTGGTAAAGCAAAACAAGGCAAAAAGAAGAAGTTCTGAGCTGATTATTTTTGTTCAACAGTGTTAGTTACTTGACTAGTCAATTGCAAACATGTCCAATAATAATGGTCCCAACAATGGCTACAGCATCAAGCTCATTAACACACTTTATCGACAAGTGCCAGCATTCACTGATATTTTTGATGAAGAGACTTGGTACATGTTTGTAACTTGTTTTGTACTAGGTACCATCTTGCTTGTTTTCATATTATCCAGATTTATTACCATCAAACCTGTTGATTAATAAGATACAAAAAACTGTTTGTTAGATCAAAGTTTGTACTTTAAATATTGATTCTTGAATAATCATTTGTTACAACATGGATGAATAATAAATCTCTATACCATATATCATCTTGGTTTCATTTATTTGTTTAACGTCTGATATAATAATATATTTTTAACTAATAAAGAAAACTCTACATGAAAATGTTTATTTCAGTATGTATTTTTTTATTTTCTCTTATTTTTTGTTTTTTGAAAAAAAAAGTTATTAGTAAAACATTTGTAACAATTCACAATATTTCATTAAACTTAATTATAATTGGAAAGTATTGTCCTGTGAAATTTCTTTTTGTGCACAAGAAAACAATCTTTGTATATTTCAAAATTTAAGATTCATGCATTAAATGTACAACAAACCATACACTAATTTTGGAATCATAATTAGCTCTATTCATTTCAACGAATAAAACAAGTTTCATTTGCAACTTGGTACAAAAAATAGTTATCTGTAACTTCTAAATAACGTTGTTATAAAATTTAGAGTTTTGTTATTAATAAAGCTTGAAATTTAGTTATTTTAAAATTTTGGAACACTTCAATCGCAAATTCACGCTGTGTACACATTTAAATTACAGCTGACTAATATTTCAGTAATCAAAAAAATAATAGCATGTTGTTAAACGTGGATAGTGAATATCATAATAATCTATTCATATTTATTATTTTTACAACTCATTCAAAGTACATTATCTAAGGCCCCCTATTATGTATTCAACTATATACTACATATATATATATAAATTTACTACAAAAAAACTTTGTTTAAACTTCATGCATACATTCACATATTCAAAAGATTTTAGTTCAATTTAACTCAATTATCTTATAAGATTTAATCGAATGTAAAATTTACTTTAAATTAAATAAAATTCTTCAATAATATGTAAGATTTTGAAATTTTAAGAACAATTATTGAATTATTGAACTTTAATTTGAAACTTTTTTGGGATATTTTTAAAAATAACTCAAATGAATATTTGAATTCAATACTTTAGTCTTATTAAGTTAAGCATTTCCTCTGTCTGATCATGAAAAACTATCAAGGAGATATCAAAGTCAGGCCAAAATGAAAATTTTCAAACACGCTTTCTGAGATATTCATTTAATATTTTTTTCAAAAGCTATTTAAATGTCTAGAAAATAACAAAATTTAGACATTCATTTTGTAGAGAAATATTAAGTGGTATCTCAGAATACTTGTTTGAAAATTTTTTTTGAACCTGGATTTGGTGTCAACTTAAACTAGATCTCAACCTATCCATTAGGTTTTGACTATTTACAAATGTATGTTTGCTTAGTTTCTATCTAAGTTGCAAGTCTCTTTGGTGATAAACAATTATTACACTGGACTTGGAAAACCTTATCTAATGACAATTTTTATTGTGAATGAATTGACTCAGCTAATCATACAATTTTAACAAGTGTCACATGAACATGGAAGCATTTTTCAATTATTTTCATCATTGCTACAGTAATGTAAGTTCAGTTCTCATAGAATTTCATTTTACGTATTTAAGTATTTATAAAATTTTATCTATATTTAACTAAATGATAATAAAAAAATATTTCAATTGAATGTTCTTTATCGAAGTTATTTTAAACAAAAAAATTCTGTTTATAAAGCATCGCAATTTGTTTAACAATCAACCTAAATTTTACATTTACTTTATAATTTAAACTCTGCATTTTTTATAACATAGCAGCCTTAATTTTTGTTCACTTGAATTTATTTCACTTTAACAATTTTCAATCACTCGCATATCCTGAACAAAAATAATTAATTGGAATGCAAACATGTATAGAACTACGAAATAATCATAATAAGTAAACGGACATTAATTTAAAAAATGGATATTACTTGGTCAATTGTGAGTTAAAGGTATTTCATAGAATTCTATGCATTTTTTACATTAAAAATCAATTACTCATCACATTGACACCAATACATTTTTGGTATTCAAAAATTTTTTTAATCTAAAATTTGTAAACATTTTCATGTTATCAAAATAATAACTATTAAAAAAAAATAAAAAATTATAAAAACAATTAGTAAATGTAGCAATTCCTATTTTCAATACTTAAACAATTACTTTGTTCTAATATTGTTGGAATAAAATTTGATTCAAAATCAAGACAGTTTATATTTACATATTAAAATAATTTGAAATATTTTCAAAGCACTTACAAGGACGCATTGTTTCTTAATATCTATCTTTACTATGATCTTTGGAAGTAAACAATGACTCATTTTTCGTGGTAAAACTTTCGCCTTTTTATAAGATTGTTAACTTATTACGATTCAATTCTATTAATAAATTAACGGTTTCCTTGCTTTTTGTACATCTCCTTACTCTTATTCCAATATAAAATGTATTCTATCTAACACTAAAAATTATTTCAATTTGTAAGGTAAAATCCTACATGTAGGAACAATATTTTATGAAAAATATAAATGTATTACCGATACTTTAAGTAAAAAAAAAGTTACATCAACACAGTACGTAAATATCATATAACACAGATATGGTATCAAATTATACTAAAATCACTGAATTTAAACTATTTGTAATAAAATACGGAAATAAAGACTCGTAAAAAAAAGCTTAAAAATTGTACATCTTAATAGTTAACGTAATAATATCAAAATACAAAGTTTTCTTAATATCAAAATTGTGTCAAATGTTATTGACCTCTCTAATTTCAATTGCACACACTCACATAACTTTCTACACAATACCCAACAGGAGTAATACAGCAAAACATACGTTATCACTCTTAAAGAAGCGTCATCTTCGTCATTTACAAAGCCTAATAAAAAAGTTTTTTCCCTGTATAATCGGTTTTAAAATATAAATTATGTCCATTTTTTTCTTTTTAGTTGGTAAATTCAAGTGCACCTATTACTGAGAATGCGACTTTTGACAATGAACATACCGATGTGCCTTCCCAAACGACTGGCTGTGGCCGCTTTTTTTTCAGCTGCACTACGATGAAGACAGTTAACCGATGAAGGATCGTTTATTTTATTCCAAGCCGTGTACATACTAGTTGCATTGATTTTGTGAGCTGTAATGGATTCACGCAACGAACACACGTCGAGCTTGCGAGGCACATAACTGAAGCCATAATGATTGACAGGTCTTACGCCAGCCCGTTTCGCACATACACCTGTTATATATACATCTTCAAGGTGTAACAAAGGCGTCATCAGAGCAGATTTGTATAAACGATCTGCTACGTCTATACTCATAACGTAACCCGTGCCTGACAGGTAGTTAGGGTATGTCCGCTCCGAGTACATATATTTAGGCGAATACCTAAAAAATAAAAATTTACTTTGATTGTATTCACAAATTTCAGACCATTTCTAATGTTAGGTTTTTCGAAAATATTTAGACTAAGATTATTAAGACAAATTTCGACGCTTTTAAGGAAGAGTAGCACGTTTCTATATATTTTATTATGTAAACGTGCTACTCTTCCTTAACAGCGTCGATATATGTTTAAAATGAATGCAATTACTGCTATTACCATTTATTTCTAGGATCTGTGATAGGTCTCGCGTTACAAATCAAAGACCCAATTAAAGTTCCATTGCTTTTAACTCGCCTTTTCAAAGCTTTTACGAGAGACGGCACGTTAACAAACATGTCATCATCGGTTTTCATGAGGTACGTGGTATTATTGCAATAATGTAGTGACCACTTCAACATCATGGCCGATTTTAACGTTAAGTTGTTGTATGTATCATGAAAGCTTTCTTGGATAACATCGTTATATAAGTGACTCTCTTCTACCACATTACCCTAAGGTGACAGAAAAAAAGAATATGATGGTCAGTAAAATGCGCTAAAGTTTCAACTCTTTCAATAAGAAAACTTACATTAAGAGTATCATTATTGCTTATTCCTAAGAGAAAAACTACTTTTACTGAAGAATTGTACTGTGTTTCCAAATGTGTCTTGTTTGCCCAAGTGTTTCTAATGGCAGTTCGAGCATTTATATTTGACACTGCTGAACATACAACAATGAGCAAATATGTTGCTTCGCTACAAATACTTTTTGGATTTAGAATGATAGTTGAATTTTCTGGATGAATGTAAGTACCCACATCTCTTGATGTGTTGAAACCCCAGCCTCGTAACTGAGCTGTAATTGAAATACTATTAAAATTTCAACTTGATTTTGATGATCAGATTCATACCATTTCACAAAAATTGTATAGTTCAAGTTAATTCAATTTGATCAAAATATTAAATGATTTATAATACCTATTTTATTAGAAATGGTATGAACTGTATCAGCATAAATTTTGTAATTTTACACATTTAAAAAACAAAACAAAAACAAAACTGTAAAAGCTTACACAAATGCCAAGCTTTATATCTACAGTCATTTAAATGACATTTTCACAAAGTAAGCTTGCACTATCATTACAAATTTTGTAGCAAGGAGAACCATAGGGTATTTTTTGTCAACAATCATTAATAATAGCTTTATGATTTAAATGATTGATTCATCATTAGTAATCGAAAAAAGTTATGTTAATTAAAATTTCCCAACACCATTTTCCAAACCACCAAAAAAACATTAATTGAATTGAAATCCATTTAATCTTTACATCAAGATTAATAGTTACATAAAAATGTTTTATTTACTTACACTTTTTTTATTAGTTAAATAAAAAATTTAACTGAAAATAACGTTAATGAAAAGTTAGTATAGCATTATGGACAGTTGCGTACCTACAGAGGACATGAAGCGTGTACCTCCCAAAGATCCCACTGGGGACGGAGTCTCACCTAAACCTGTGAATTGACCTTGTGCAGAGTGATATGCTGGAACATACAGTAATCCAAGGCAAGCTAAAATTATAAAACCAACTGCCATCCTTTTTGCAAATGACGATTTGCCTTTGGAATTGCCATTGTGGCCATTTGCATTTCTGGCAGCTGGCAGTGCTATTGGTAGTAATCGATTTCTGTCCATCTGTAAAATGTTTATTTTTTATGCAATCAAAAAATTGTTGAGACATAAAAATTTCACTTAAGAACCATATATGTATTAAGACATACAATATGCTAATATTATGTCTAAATAAAAATATCATGGCAAATAATTACTACAACATGAAAAAAATTCACGTAACAATTTGGTTTCTTTAATAAATACGCGTACAATTTTTAAAGTTATAATTTACAACTGATAAAAGCATATAAGAACTGATCAATAAACATCAATTAAATTATGAATCATGCAACTCAAGACAGAAAGTAGATATCAAACAGAGTTCAGAATATTGTATAAATAACGCTTTTATTTTTATTACAGCTCAATTTCAAATGAAAATTGAATTCAAATTTTTTAAGCTCACGTGAATAAAGTATCGTCCATAAAATATTTGTGGCAAAATTGAAGCAAACATATGAAATAGTTTTTATTTTAAATACCTTGTCTGCAGAGAGAAGTAAGAGTCATTCGCAAGTTGTCCATTTACTTCATCTTGGAACAAATTCTGTAAAAGACAAAACGTTAATGCAAGGATTTACATAAGATAAAAAAATAGTAGAGCCAATCAATCTTAGAGATAAATAAGATAAGTATAAAGTCTTGAAATAAATTTACAACGAGCAGTGCAATAAAAAGTCCGACACAAGTTATGAAATATTCCAGGAAGACGACGAGTGATGAAGCGTGACTCGCATTAGTAAGAATATAAACGCTGAGTAGAATTAGTATGAATCTCGCGAAAGCAATTGTAATCATAATAGTATATATGAGACATGGTAATTTTAGCACGTCTATATAAGGGTCAAGCAGGAGGATAATACGAGTCAACTCATGAAGCAAAAGTAAAGCAGAACGAACCATTTGTCAGGTGATGAAAGGTCAGGATCGCTCGTACACTACTGTTGATTATGGATGGCAATGCTCGGTCGGATTGTCGTTGCATATTCTATCAAAAACCCGCCGCGTTCGTGGTTTATCTTTGTCCGACAGTGGCAGAGCTTATATTATAGCCGCAGGTCTTTTTCAATAGGACTCGTCGAGACTTCCTCCGGACTTTTTAACGAAGCGAGTCGCGCGCGTGCGAGATTGACGCCAACTATTGTTCACCGTTGATACGATATACATATATGCACATGCAGTATCTCGTACAGCGAGCTGCGAAAAAGTGCAGCGAGCGATCAGCGCGAGATGCGAGAAAAAAACGTGCATACTTTGCGGTGGCACGGTGTCGACTGTCGTCGACTGATCGAGTGTCGACTGCTCGGCCCAGCTCTGCGTGTGTGCATATTCATGCTTTGCTATATGCAGACCGCGACTCAAACGACGGACACGGCAAACATTATTTTTCGCGCGCCGCCTGCACAGAAATCACAATAGAGTTTGCAAGTGCCGCGGCTGTCGCGTTGCGCTCTCAAAGCTTGGCAACTTCTGCTCCGACTTTTTTCGCGCCTCGTTCAAGCTTATACTTCTACTTTTCGAGCTATCTGCCCGAAAGTACGTCAAAGTATATGTTATGAGTATTTTGAATCATATACGTCAAATATTTACTCGATTTATCTATAGTTCATTAGGACGTTTTGCATTCCAATGAATTTATAAAAACAGTATAATTATTTTCAAAGTATAATTAACTTAATATTTGAGAACATATTTATGGCTATTGCAAGCAACGACTCAAGTAACTCTTAATTTTCTGCATCAAAGATACTTTTTTTAAAAGAGGTAAAAAAACGTATTATTTTTTAAAATAACAAACTATATTGAATATGAAAAAAGCAAATTGTAAAATGAAAATGATTCAAATAATCGAAATTTGTAATGATGACATTTTTAACGAAGTATTTTAAATTAATAACCGAAGACAAAAAAACTTCATAAAAAAAATATAAGATTCACAAATTCATTTGATCCTACAAATAATAAATGGTTTTTAATAGAACATATTTTCCAAGTTTTTTTATTTACAACGCAGAAACTTGTTGGCTTGCGATTATTCTTTTAGAATGTGATTATAATTAATAACAACAATCAATAGTTAAGTCCAATGAAGAGTCTTTAAAACCTGAAAAGATTTTAAAAATTATCGAAACTATTAGAACTAAATGAAAATCTCATGCCGATTTTATGAAAATTCAATTCTTCGTGCAACGTTCTTAAAAAAATATTGTAATTGTGTCCAATAAGTTGTTTTTGATTGGTTAAATGTTTCTTAAGATCCTCTTGCGTGAGAGGAAGCTGTTAAATTCGCTTAATTATTAGAAAAAATCGACCGTATCCAAAAGCGATTCAAGATAGCTAAATAGTGTATTAGATTGTATCTTGCAGTAAAAAAGTGTACTTTTTACTGCTACAAGATTTAATATTTTTCTACTACGTGTAAAACCAATTCTTCCGTAAATGAATCAATACTTTGAACCCTACCTTTGAGCTAGCATTGGTCGCGAGGATTCAATGGAAGTTTCAGACTTAGCAGCATTTTCTTTCTAACTGTCTAAATTAGGTGAAAGCTGGAAAATATTAAAATTTTCATTAGGAAATTCTAATTGGACCAAAAAGACTAACATCGAGAAACAAAAAAAGACGAAAATAACATTCAAAAATCGATATAATAATGGAGACAAACTCCTACCAAATAAAAATAACTCTATGCTTGCTATGTCAAACTATCAATGAACAAGAATCAATCGTTCATAAGTGCTTCTCAAAAAATTCGTGTTGAAGTTTTTATTTAATCGATATAAGCTTTATGAAAAATAAATTAAGAAATTGAAAAATAATCGAAGTAAAATAATCTTCAAATGATAATTTCAGCAAGTCTCAGCTGATTTTATTTAAAATAATCACCTGATTTTTGAAAAATTTTAAAATATGTTTTGAACATTTACAATAAAAAAAAGTTTAAATTCGACACGAATTCGACAAAATTTAAATATCAAAATCGAATAGTTGAATCACTAGAATTATACTGAATATTAATTAAACCACTGGGTAAATAAAACATATCATAAAAAATATATTTTAGTAGGGTATCTGCCCAACGATCGATTCGACTACTTTGCATCCAATCGTAAAGTTTATAATCATAGGAAATTAATTTTCAAGTTAACTTTATTTACATGCAGTTATCATCAATATAACGATTGAAGTCTGTGAATTATGTAAAAAAAAAAAAAAAAAAAAAAAAAAAAAAAAAAAAAAAAAAAAAAAAAAAAAAAAAAAAAAAAAAAAAAAAAAAAAAAAAAAAAAAAAAAAAAAAAAAAAAAAAAAAAAAAAAAAAAAAAAAAAAAAAAAAAAAAAAAAAAAAAAAAAAAAAAAAAAAAAAAAAAAAAAAAAAAAAAAAAAAAAAAAAAAAAAAAAAAAAAAAAAAAAAAAAAAAAAAAAAAAAAAAAAAAAAAAAAAAAAAAAAAAAAAAAAAAAAAAAAAAAAAAAAAAAAAAAAAAAAAAAAAAAAAAAAAAAAAAAGATTTTTCTTCATCTTTCTGAAGATTTGACTCGTTAGACAAGCATTTCAATTCATAATAAGCAATCTATCAACGCGAAATGAATTTTACATAATTAAAACTTAACTGTTAATCCAAGTTAACTTTTACATTTTAGAAAAAACACAAAAGCAGTCATTAATAAATATGTCTTGTGTATATGAATCATGATAATTATACTAATGTGATGTACGTTAGTTTTTTTCCATTGAGTTTGGGACTCCAAATTACTGATTTAATTTTTAAAAAATTTGATGTAAAATGTATTAATATGAATTGCGTGAAAAATATATTTTTTTGTAAATGTTCTCTTATGTATCCAAGTTATACAATACTTCGTCTAACCCATAGTATGATGACTTGATACTCATAAATGTAATGTAAGTTGCATACATTAAATATACCTGTATATAATTTTGCCACATCAGCTTTCGCGAATGCCTTTTTCAGGTTATTCGATGGCTATGTGTGACTGTGTACAATGTATTATTGACTGTATACGGTCCCAGCGTGTCGTATACCTATACCTATAATACATGACAACTGTCAGTGTTCGAATCTAAAACCCGAAAACATAAACTTATACGTATATGGTTTATCACAAATCACGAATTAACAATTCACTACTTTTTTCAAATAGTTGGCGTTTCAAAAGTTCGAAGAAACTTATAAACATATGAAGTCGCAATGAATCGCATGAGTTGGTACATAAAACTAATTGAAACATGATTTGATTATCAACTTAATTAGAAAAAAATCGTTATCAGTGTAAAAGGATAAGAACCATAGTTAAGATTCGTAATCAGATAATCAAAATTTTGTAATTTTCTTTATTTCTACTAACGTTTTATTGTTTGAATAGAAATTTGTTTTTGCATTTTCGTGCACAATATCATCAAATACTTATCCAATACCAAATATCAAATTGACAACAGTTAACCTTTTTAATTGTAAACTTTATACAGTAGAATTAAATAATGATTAAAGCTATTCTGGTTTTTAATAATCATGGGAAACCTCGACTTTCCAAATTTTATCAATATTTTGTAAGTTATATTTGTCAAAAATTTTTTGAATTACTATAATATAGTAACATTAACTAGAGAGTAATGGATTTCTTTTATTTCCTTAGAATGAAGATATGCAGCAACAGATAATAAAAGAAACTTTTCACTTAGTTTCCAAGCGAGATGATAATGTTTGTAACTTCTTAGAAGGTGGAAGTCTCATTGGTGGTTCTGATTACAAATTGATCTATAGACATTATGCAACATTATATTTTGTCTTCTGTGTCGATAGTTCTGAATCAGAACTAGGAATATTAGATTTAATTCAAGTTTTTGTAGAAACTTTAGATAAGTGTTTTGAAAATGTTTGCGAATTAGATCTTATTTTCCACGTTGATAAAGTACATTACATTTTAAATGAGTTAGTTATGGGTGGCATGGTATTAGAAACAAATATGACTGAAATTTTAACACGAATAGAAGACCAAAATAAATTGGAAAAACAAGAGGTAAGATCTTTACTTTTAACAAAGAAAATATTTTTAACGCATCAGTACCAATAAATTGGTTTTATTAACATTTATTGAAACTAACAAATTTTACAGCTTTTGGGATAGTGGGTATTGTAATTTATTTTATTGATTAAACTCATAATTTTAGGTTTTTACTAAATCTGGACTCAATAATTCAACCTGGTCTTTTACGCACATGGGTCCCTTACCTTGAAAATCTATTAAAATTGTGATATATGTAATTTATTTGAATCTATGATTGTTTCAAGTTTTTATATGTAAATGAATTTACAGATTAATTTTCATTATTTGATTACTTAAATTGTGTTATTAAAACTACATCTTTTATTTTAAGAAAAAATATTAAAATCTAATATAGATTATACTTAATTTTCAATAGTTTTTTCAAATCTTTCATAAAATCATATTTTATTTACAGGCTGGTATAACTGCAGCTCCAGCGAGAGCTGTCTCTGCGGTAAAAAATATGAATATTCCACAACAAATCAAGGATATGAAACTGCCTGATTTACCACAAGCTATAAAAGATTTAAAATTTTGACCTACCATGAAAACATTGCCAGCTAGTTGATGGATTTTAATTTTTTGCAAATGATTATTTTAAAGAAATATCAAGAAGTTATTAAAATGATCCTCTACTCTGCCCTGTACATATACAAAATTATGATCAGCCCTCATTATAATTAGGATCTCATGAGGACATCTCAAAGTAATGAATTAAAAATATACAAAGAAAAAAATTATGTAAATATATGTATTTTTAGCTTCAAATAAATACAGGCTTGTTTTTGTTACCTAAATTTTAACCAATTGAAATTATATATTTTCATAAAAAAATCAGTTTGTAAAACCAATGTTAAAGCTAGTATACGGTGTATTTAAATGGTAGAGTTATACTATATCAAAAAAATGAAAAGATCACCTTTACTGTCGTTATAAATGGCAGTATTTCAAACTAGATTAGAAATTTTTTATTGTTTAGTTGAGATGTAATAAATTCTTGTAATAAAACAATTACTTTTTCTTAAAAAATTTATTTACATATTCACAGTTTCAACTTTTGCGATTGATTAAGCAACATTAGCTGACACAATAAACTCATTACAACCAAATCACAAAGTAACTAAAGGGTCATGTAACATTAAAATATCTGATCACAAATGCTGATAATAAATACCTAACAATATTTACAAGGGAAATTCTATTTTATAAATTCTATACATTCATCTATTAAATCGTGCTTCAGTATTTAATGATGTCCAAATGTAGCCATTACCTCCTTCAAAAAGCAATGGAGGATAAGGACTATTTTTTAATTTATAATAATCTGAAGGTGCATGCATGACAAATTCCATATATTCTAATTTTCTAGGTAAATCTTCTTCTGGTCCAATAATATAAGTTTCAGGTTTAAATCCTTCTTCTGGAGGTGGACTGAAATGAAAAAAAAAAATATATTGTATGAATATCATATATGTTAAATAAGCAAATTGAATACATGAATATCATAATTTCATAAGTCAATGAAAATTAAAAGAAAATTTTACTCTTCATTATTTAACATTATTACCAACACAAAAATGTAAAGCAGACTTATTTTAAACATTTTCAATTATTTGCTGACATAATAATCAAAATATATCATATCCATAATTTCTACTGTACCTTCCATTAACATTAGAAAAAGAATGGATTTTTGAAGAAATAATATGGAGTTTTTATATAACTATGGACTTCTCTGATACCTCTAATAACATATAAAAATTAATATACCTTGATGTTGTGGGCAAAAGCCATGTGATTGCAGCGCTTTTTTCGCAATACTGGTCAGTCAATAATCCACGAATTTGAGCATAATAAATTCCTCCATCCACGTCTTGCATGGATACTATATCTCCAACTTGGAAGTACGAGCCTTTGAAAAATACAAAATCACTTGTCACTGGTGTAGCAGTGGCTGTTAAGGACTTCATGGGCTAAAATGAGAAAAATATTATAAGCTAAACATTAAATAATTGATTTTGTATGTGTTATTGTATGAGTACTCTGCTTACCATCTTTTTAAATATATGCCTTCGTCCCTTTCCTTTTCCTGTAGTTTTAAGAGTTGGCTTACATCCAAAACGTGTAACTCTGGTACTTTTTCTACCAGGTTTATGGCTAATCTCATCAGTACCAGCATCTTCAGAACGCTGAGGATGATGTCTTGGTTCAAGACAATCATTGCAAACACTTCCCTTTTCAGTGGCATGCCATAAAGGGCTTTCTTTAACTCCACACTTTGAACATTCAGGTTTCACACCAAGCGGCATCGTCAAGTATTTATATAATACAATTCTTCAACTAAATTACTAAGAGTTAATTAATATTAAGTTTATTTAATTCAAGTAAAATAAAGTACTGATTGGAGGTTATCATATGAATAGAAATACTATTTGTGATCTGTAAACACTAAACTGCAGTTGCAAGTGCAATTCACAGCAGTCACAACACAAGTTACAACTTATTTGAAGTCACACCGATGCCATGCACGAATAAGAGAGAACTGAAGTTTGAACGGGAGACTTCGATTGTATCGATATAAGTACCGACATCGATATCGATTAAAAGTATCGATACCGAAATCGATTGAGAAATATCGATGATTCATCCATTCAAAAATTAAATAGATATGCAAATCAAAATTTTTTTAAATAGTATAATAATAATTTACATCGTAGAATAAAATTTTTTTCATACCAGCGGCCCGAAAGTGACTACTTCCCTGCCGCTGCGCAAAGCAGGAAGAGCGATTTTGTGTTTGAAAAATAGTATACGCACCTATGAAGCGAAAAAGAAAGCCTCAGAGCACATGTTTATCAGCCTCGGCTTCGCCTCGGCCACTACTTACACGTACTCTGGGACTTTTCTGTTTTTCGTGGCCTAGGGCAGTAATATACTATTTCATTTTTGAGTGAAACTTATTTTACACTTTATAAGTATACATTTTTAAGCAGGTGTACTTCTAATAGTATGTGTTTTTAAATATTTGACATGATTTCTGCACATTAATCTGAGTTAAACCCTAAGTCAAAAAGTTTAAGATTATAAATAAATTCTACTACAAATCCTTCATGTAGGAGATGAACCTGTGAGACTGGGTCAGCTGTAAAGTTAACTAACATTATCTTGAGAAAACTGTGTATGGATTTATTTTAAAATTTTGGCATCACGGCTACCAGTTTGTGATATCAGCGGTCAAAAGTATCAATTTTTATCTATCAAACGAGGCCACAGTTTAATCTGAAAAAAAAGATCAATTATGAGAAATCACTCGAGCATAAAAAACCAGTCGTGTTATTATTCCTTACCTTTTTATGTCGTCAGGCAATTTTATCATCTTCATCACTTAATTCACTTTTTATCGATAATTCTTGATAATACTTTTTGACCTTGAAAAAAATAAACGTAATAATGCATAAAGATATTTTTCAATAAATTAAAATCTCTTAGAAGTGTAAACGCGTCTACCGAGACAACGCCGGGGGGTTTGAATTGATATGCTTCCCGTACAATTTATTGGGGCGTCAAGCCGCAAAAAAGGTCTGTCCATATCCGCAAATTTCGCACAACCAGTCGTAAACCCTTCAAAATTGATTGACCAGGTAATCAGCTTTTGCGCTAGATAAAACACCTATGTAGCTCATATATGGTCTCGGCTCGCCGGGCTTTGGCTATGAAGTGCTCACCACGAAGGAGATGATAATTAAATCCGACATGCTTCTAAAATAAATACGTGGATCGCTTCATCAAATAGTGTCGATTCTAAAACCCACAAGGGCAATTTGTCGTGAATAAATGAGGATATGGTGATCGTTCGATGCTCGAAGTTGGTTGATCCGTAGTTTCAATCCTCCGTAATATGACAGTACGAATTCTTGCCGTTGAAGCAACGCTCATTCGGACGATCGAATATCTCTACGAGATTCGACCGCTTGCGATCAGGGTGGTTGCAGCGAGGTTTAGTGGCAATTCTTTCGACGATATCACCAAAATTTGGACCAAGTAACATGGAAGCATAATTATTATCTAAAATTAACGTTTTTATTATTTTTGTTTAATCAACGTAAAAGTCAATGAATATCGAAAGTCAAATGTAAAAACGACGTTTTGTTGGTGAAAATGTGCGATCAAACACTACAAATAATGAGCTCAAATTTTGCGACGTCTGGTCGCAAAATCTGTAACGAAGGAGTGGAAACTTGAAGATACGTTAAAATATTTGTCGGAAAATCGTACTCTTGAGTTACCTTTGAGAAGAAAACAAATTACTAAAAACGCTAAAAATAAATATAAGTTAATGAATTTACCGCCGAGTACAAACTATTATCGTTAGAAATAACTCAAATTAATTTTAAACGAAATATCCTTTCTTTTCACAAATACCTTTCTTTGTAAAATATCCAGTAAACACAAAAAGTAGACGAACTGTTTCAGTCGAATGGTTAAACAAAGCATGTTTTTCCTGTTTCAAAACACAAAGCATCGATTTACTTCTGAGAATTTTTCCCCATTTTTTCACGGAATAGCAACTCTTGGCAATACCATCTTAAAGTAAATGAAAATTGTTAAAGCGATAGAGAAATCAAAGTAGCGAGTTAAGGTAAATTTTCAAATTTTTACCGTGAGTATAGGATCGCTCGATGAAAAAGAAGTTCTGTAAGTTATCATAGGTATTTGATGATAATATATAGCTGTACGGACACTGGCACAGCATTGAGCACGAGTGCTGATACGACGACCTGGACGAACACTTAGGACTCGGAGCGCGAGCGAGGTTAGCGCAAAGGCGACAAACACTGTCACCACATTGGACCATTGAAGGCACAAAAGGCGAACAATAGCCGCACCACAAGTATAGTGGAAGGGATCAAGCAGACTCTTGGACCCACGCTCACGAGTGACAGCTAATCGCAGTACGCCACGAAAAACTCTCAGATTATTGCTCTCGCGGGTTAACACGTCGAAAGAAGTTTCATCTCAAAATTAAAGAAATGATCCCTATTTAACATCTTAAAGTCATGCTATTCTAAAAATAAACTAAAATAAAATTCCATGACTTTTGTTTTTTACATTTTTTTGTTGACAGTACTTGACAAATAACTCAATTCATTTTGTTGAAAATTTGGAGATATATTTTTCAACAATCAACGAAGACTGATTACATTTAAGAGGTTGATTGTATAGTTTCATTTTCTTAAACAGATTTTCAGGTCGTTTAATCAAAAGATGAAACTGTAAAAACATGAATTTTTACCATCTACTCAAGGCTTTTTATATTTCAAATAAAAGTATTGACCAAGCTCATGAAAGTGTAGTCGCAGCGGTACTTGAATAAATAGTAACATTAATAGCTTTTTAATTAGGTATGTCGCAGCAAAGACGATCTCGGACTAAATTTGAAGTCCAACTTTTGTCCACAGAGGGAATATAATTCTATAAATCGTAAATACAAACACGATAATTTAAAAAAATAGATGTAGCTCTCAATCGCCAATGATTCTGAGCTTTTTTGAAGATGATACTAGAATTCTGAAAGGGCATTTGCCACTTGGGGGCCCGTATCAACATTTGTTTCTGAATGCCGAGTATTATACCTATATAGCACGTCAGAATAGGCAATTGTCGCTTTATATACGGAAATGCAGCGCGGCCTATATCGATTGGTCGACGGCACACGGAGGCGTCGGCAGGCGCACATACACGATAACGAGTGTGCAGGCAAAGGGGCGCCGCTGGCCCCGCTGGCGCTTGCGCCGACCCTCCGTATATACATTATATACACCGGCAGATCTATAGACTCGGCTCGCGTCAAGCTCGCCTCTCGCTCGCGCACACGTATACCGCACACACACTTACGAGGAAGAGAGCTTCGGCACACAAAAGCTCCGCGGCGCAAGTCTGCGAGCCTCCAAGAGGCCAGTCGGGCCTAGCTGCGCGCTCACTGCGAGTCGTTGCTCTTTTCAAGCTCCAGCTCGATTCTACATGTAAATACGCCTCTTGCTGCACATATACGTACATCGGGCTGCCGCTCACAAGCCGGCAAACGCCGAAAGTTCGCCTTTTTTCACCACGATCGGATTTTGACTTTCATCTCTGGCCTTTTACGATGCGCCATTCGGAGCTTCCTCGTTGCAACTTGAGCTGCTTATAATCGTGAGTAATTTATTTACCGATGCGCATCCTCTGGCTGTTTTACGCCTCGATAAATGCGAGTTATTACGAGGGCGGAAACGGCTTAGAATTTGTTCCATGAGCTTTTTCAAGCACGCGTCGATATTTCAATACATAAGCTAGCTGCATGCGTCCACTGCATAATTTCGCATTGTATTTCGTATGGCTCAAAATTTACACGTATGATAGATAAGCCTTCGCGAGTTATATACGTGTAAGCCTCTTTGTGTCCTTCAAATTCTTCGACGCTGGCGTTACAGCTATAGAACCGTCAAAATTTAATTTTTCATCGTAATATTGAGCCAACCTTTTTTGCGAGTCGGCAGTTGCACGTAGAGTAAGTACATGTGTCCTACAGTAATTTATTAACAGACTTGTTTGTTATAATTTTAGGCAGGTTTTTAACATTTTTTGCGTCCTTAACACTTATTATAAAATAGAACTCATTCATTTATAAAAAAAAAAAATAAATAAAATATTATCATTAAGAATTAAAATGAAACTTTTTTTACGCTCGATTAGACTTATTCTATATACCATTTTACTTACTAGTTTATTATTGAAATCATCTTGACGCTTTTCAACGATATTCGTTATCAAGAACATGGATATTTGTGTCATATTAACTCTTCCAAAATGATTTCATCGAATGAAAATTATGTTTGTATTTTGGACTAGTTCATAAAAAAATCACAATGCTCGATAAATAGATTGAAATTATTTAAAAAGTACTGTTTTACATAGAGGTGAGGATAATACCGAAAGAAGCGCGGAGACTGGCAATTACTTCACATATTCAGTGCGCTGCACAATAGTCCTATAAACAGGCTTCGAATCGATGGTATGTTATACATCAGGCATATTGTAGCATATTATAGACCAAAATTATACAGTGACTCGTGGGGCTTGCAGTACACGTCAGTAGCACCGGATTGGGAAACTAAAATTCATTATTCACCACTTTCGCTTGATATTTTTTACAATCAAACGGCCAGTATGTAAGCCTGAATATACGAGCTAAAGTTATCGTCGTCGTTGAAAAGCTTTAGGTAGTATTTTTTTTTTTTTATTTTTTAATACGGTGAATGGAAATTAAAAGTCCTCTCGAAAAAATTTCAAAATATTCAATTACAATTTTCAATGGCACCACAACGTACTAAATTTGCGAATTCACGTGTATCGATATGTGTAAAAATAAGATCGTATTATACATGATTTGATAAATTTATAAATTATAAATTTTCATTGCATTTTAAAAATATACTGGTGATTAAATGTGTATCAACAATTTTTTAATTTCTCAAATTTTGAACGAATCGATAAGTTAATTTATGCAATTATTAAACGTTGTTAAATAAATTAAACGTTGAAAATAAATCAAGGTGAGAATGAAGTTTGAGCGGAAGCAAAGTCAAGTTTTTAAATACACGTGTATAAACTTGTCAGTTGATTTTCACTTTTTAACGCAACTATACCCATAATACTATAACATTTATAATCGCGCACGTAAATTAATATTTGGTAGACGCTATAGAACATTTAAACCGCAATACCTCCGTAGTTCGAAAGCCTTACTTTGTCAGGATTCTTTTTTTTTTTTCAAAAATCGATCAGCAACAGAAACGAGGTAGCTAGCATCGTGTACATTGGCCGGGGTTGGTCGTTATGAATGTTTGCACGCTGTAAAAATAGAAAAAAAGGACAATTACTAATGACTTTCTAATGACTGTAATAATGCGTGATCCATTGGTTGCGCTACATATATATGTGACTTGTGACGACAGCCAAACGAGCATTTAAAATTCCTCGTTAAAAAAATACAAGGCCAGAAGAGACACACTCGAGTGACGTTTGAAAATTTTTGCCCGTACGTTGCAGAGGTAGTATGAGCCATAGCGTCGTCGTAGCTTACGCGCAGCAGGCAGGCCGGCAACGATGAGCCAGTACACGGCCGACGTGCAGGCCTTGCAGACCCTGACCGTCCACACGAGCGACATCAATTCCGTGGACTTTGCCGGCGACAGTATCCTCGTCACCGGCTCCGGGTCAGTTGCTCAATTATATCTACAAACAACAACAACCCCGAAAGAAATTTCTTTTCTTTTCTTTTTTTTGTTGACATTTTAAAATAAACACGCCCTGCAAAATCATTCGAGAGGGTAAATTTTATAAGGAGCATGAATAATTCTCGCGTACAGGGACAAAAAAGTTCGAGTTTGGGAATGGCAGCAAGGTCAGGGTTTCATCGAGGCGGCCTTCTCGCCGTTCATCGGACACAAGTATGGCATCACGTCGGTCAAAGTCAGTCCGCAATCGACGATGCTCGCTTCGGCCAGCATTGACGGGACCACCCAACTCTGGAACTTGCGGGTCAGTATTAAATGCCAACGAGGCGAGTATTCTTGTATCCGATTGATTCTCGAACGAGACACTTTGTTTTTTTTTTTTCATTCAGTCGGGATCGAAGATTCACACTCTGGTGCAGGCGGGCGGCGAGGCCGTCCGAGTCTGTAAGTTTTCACCGGACTCGTCGCTGCTCGTGACCGCCGGCGACAATGGACAAGTCTGCCTCTGGGATCTGGTTCGTCGTACGCTCATCAGGTGCGCAAATAAAGTCGAAGTCGTCGTTGACATTTGTCACGGTGTTGGGTCTCGTTCGCAGATGCTTTCAGCGGCACGAGGGCGCGATACAGTGCATCTGCTTCACGCCCGACTCCAACTGGCTGCTGACGAGCTGCACCCTGGGCGTACTGCAGCTGTTCTGCTGCAACGAGATCATCGAGTCGTGCCCGTCGCGCAGCCAGTTCATCAACACGTACGCCCAGGTGGACGACGCGCACGACCTCGGCGTCGTCTACTGCGACTTCTCGCCGGTCCAGGAGGCCACGAGCAACGAGCCCTTCTCCAAGCTCTACCAGCTGCTGACCTGCGGCAACGACAATCGCGTCAAGCTCTGGGAGGTGAAGGTGATGCAGGACAAGGTCGAGGCCCAGCCGATGAGCGCCTCGATCGAGCTCTGTCGCGTCCTCGAGAAGCACAGCAGCGCCCTCACCTGCGTCCGCTTCAGCAGCAACGGCATGTACGCCGCGAGCAGCGGCCTCGACAAGACCTGCGTCGTCTGGGAGATTGTGAGTCTCGAGCGACGATGGACCGTCGAATCATTTTTCACAATTTTTAATCCCGATCGTTTCCATAGGGGACCGGCAGAGTCGTGTCCGTCCTCACGGGCCATAGTCGCTACGTCGCCTGTTGCGCTTTCTCCAAAAACGGAAACATGCTGGCCACGGGTGAGTCTCTCGAAGCTCGAAACATTAGAAATAAATAGTAAACCGATTCCGATCGCTGATCGTAGGTTCGAACGACAAAAAAGTCATCGTCTGGGACCTGACGGGAAATCTGAGTCTGGACTCGGAGGTGCTGCGTCATAACGGAGGCGTCAAGCTGCACAACAGCGAGAAGAGCTTGATTCAGGAGACCGACGTGGTGAAGCACGCCGAGACCAGCGGCAACGACGTCAAGCTCATACAGAAGCTCGACGAGCACAACGGGGCCGTCAACTCGGTCTGCATGTTCGGCAACCGACTCGTCGCCTCGGCCTCCAGGTGAGTCCTAATATGCGTATGGTCGCTGGAATCGTCGCGAATATTGTCACGATCGAGTAAATAATTTGGTGTGCGACGAAGTGACAAACTCGTGCGCGTCTGGAGCGTCAAGTACGACGAGGAGGGCGAGTCGATGGACGTGTTCCAGGAGATGAGCTACAATCCACTCGACGGCCACACGTTCAGCGTGAACTTTGTCGAGTTCAGCCCGTGCGGCACGAAGCTCGCCTCCTGCTCGATGGACGGCAACACCATCATCTGGGACATCGAGACGGGCACGCAGGTGCGTACGTCCTTCGTGAACTCGGGCACGGCGGTGCGGGTCTGTCGCTGGTCGCCGGACGGCAGCAAAATCGCCACCGCCGGCGACGACGAGAAGACCATCGTCTGGGACTTGGAGACCATGGACGAGACCAGGTTAGCATATTCGCGTGCTCACACCTATTGATGTTCGCAAAATCTGTCAAAAGCATAAAAAGCTCGTCCGTGCTTTGCCTCGAGAAAATTATTCGAATTGTCGATAGAAAATTTAATTCGATCGAACGGCTCGAGCGCGGACGAGCAACAGAAGCAGCTTCGCAGAGCAGTTTCGGTCAAGCTTAAAACTCCCACTTAGCGAACCTTTCAGCGTGTTGGAGGGCCACGCCGAAGCCATCACGGCGATCGCCTTCACGCCGGACTCGCGCTACATCGCCACGGCCTGCAACGAGGGCACCTGGCGCCTGTACGACGCCCGAGCTCAGGAGCCGGGCCCGGCCCTCCTCTGCTGCGACTCGAGCCACGACCTCGGCGTGCAGAGCTGCGACTTCAGCCCCACCACCGGGCCCTTCACCATGACCGGTAAGAGTTCGTTAATTCGTCGTCGCATCGAGATCGCATTGTACTAAGCAGGATCGTGTTGTGCGCAGGATCGAGGGACGCGAGCTCGGGCGCGGGCAAGGAGTGCTACCTGCTGGCCAGCTGCGGCAACGACTCGCTCATCCGCCTCTGGAAGATCATCGCCATCGACGAGGAGCTGGCCCAGCTGCAGCAGGCCAACTCGGCCGGTGGCAGCGGCAGCAGCGCCAACTCGTCCGAGCGCCTGACCTTCAGGCCGAGGCGCCAGTTCGCCGGCCACGGCGGCAACGTCATGTGCGTCAGATTCTCGCCGGTGCACGGCGAGATCCTCGGCAGCGTCGCGACCGACAGGACGGCTCGACTTTGGAGCGTTGTGAGTTTTCCAATTCGCCATAGTCGATGGCCCTATAGCCGTAGGCTTATTTAACCTTCTTCGGCAAAAAACGCAACAGTCACCCTCGAGCTCTCTCGACTCAAGATTCAATGAAATATAGATCGTGTAGCTCGTCGATCTACGAATTCAAATATTGTTCGCTAAGCTTGAATTAACATAATTCATTTTTTAAATCTAAAAATAAACAGCTACACACGCAAAAATCGATGAAAATATGCGTCTTCGCACTGGCATACAAATGGACGGTCTTATCGCGTTGCTAATCGTGTACACAAGTCGACAAGCATACGCTGCTCTACACGCCATACATAACGCGCACAGATCGATAAATATGAATTATTAAGTTGTTGCACTGTAGCTTCGTACATGTGCATATGCACTTAAATATACACTCACACACACATATCTTTGGGTTGCGAACTACGGCAGCGCATTATGGATTGTTAAAAAACAAAGGCCTACGACGAGCATTACACAGTCATTTTGCGAGGACTTTAATTTCGTTTGCTCGCGTAAACCTTACTGGGCGTATATTTATAAACACGTCACGTAATAACATATTTATTTAAAATAAAACACAATTGCATTTTGTTTTATTGTAATTTTTTTTTATTTTGCAGCACACTGGGATTTGTCTACATGTTCTCGAAAACCACGAAAGTCTCGTGACCACTTGTGCCTTTTCCGAAGATACCTCCTTCTTTTTGACGGGTAAGAATTAAAAGTCTAGCGAGTCACCAATGAAATTCCAACTATTGCTAACCAAGGTTCGTGCCATTTATTTTTCCAGGGGCCTTGGACAAGACCGTATTGATTTGGAAGCTTCCGGATCAGTTGGTCTCCCAAAGTATTCTCATCGATCGCTTGAGAAACACTAGAAAGAAGGTAAAATTCGACTTCTTATTTTTCTTATTTCGCAACCGAGGAATAAATTGATCTAATTGAAAATTCGTCGTTACAGGTGGCAGATTGGGCCGTTGACGACGTGGCCAAATGGTTGATCGAGGTAGACCTACCGGATCTGGTAAAGAACATCCAAGCGCTTTCTATAAACGGACGGATGTTACTGCGGATACCGGTCGAAATAATTGTCGCCAAATTACAATTCGATCACGGCGAAGAGGTAATCATAACTGGGACCGACTGGATTATAAAATACAGGGCTATTTTGTAGCATTACGTACTTATTCTTCATTCAGGTGCTGGAAGCTTTTCGCAAGCAACTCTATTGGTTGAAATGCGAAGATAGCAATACATTCAACATCACCGACGAGACCGAAATTCCGGACGAATTCCTCTGCCCTATAACTCACGAAATAATGCGGGAACCAGTTCAATGTTCAGGTAAAATCCAACACTCCTAGCCAAAAAATTATCATATACTTGAAGAAAATTAAAAATTTAACGACGAATCATTTTTCTTGCAGATGGATTTACGTACGAGCGAGCGGCGATAAACGAGTGGTTCCTCTGCGGTAAATTTACCAGTCCGATGACGAACGAGCCACTGGCTACCACAGGCCTCATGACCAATGTGCAGCTCCGAAACGCAATATTTACTCTTTTACACGGCGAAGGTCCTAATGCGGGCTAAGCTATATATGTGAATAATTGTCACGAACACGTTCATATACTTAATGGAATCGCATTTATACTCGAGTTTTTTCATCAAACGGCTGTGCTGATGCGCGACCAAATGCCGAATGACATTGCAAAAAGTTTATTCGACCTATGCGAAAATATGTAAGTAGTTTTCCAAGAGCCCTAATCCAACTTCTTGTTTGCATTGTATTGTGATGATAGTCTGTTATATATCATGCAGCTTAATTTTACAATTGATTTATCACTAATCTATTTATTGAATCCTAATTACGTCTATAGGCAAAGTATTTCTATTTCTAGTATTTAAAAGCCTCGTGACATGAATATTATTCTAGACCATTTTTTTAATGTCAATATCAAATACTTGACAAACCACTACTATAAAAAAGCAAATAAATTATCTACAAATATTTTTGATATGCTATATTATATATGCACAAAGGCATTCAAATAAACAAAAAAGTTTCATTAAAATCTGAGCACCAATCAAATTAAAAAAATTCAAATGTGTGGTAATACCATATAATTCAATATCTACCGAATAAAATGTACTTGTTGAAGAGCTTTTAAAACATTCATTTTCTTTTTTTTTTTTTTGTTTCAATTTTTCACAATTTAATTACTATCATTTCCAAATCTATAGAAAAATCTATCTATCTATGAAAAAAACTAATGATAAAATGTTATTGACTGTAAAAATTTTATGCTGTTGTTGATCATAAATTGAAATAAATATAAATCCAGATACCTGATGCAGAGCAGAGTACAAGTTGATAAAAAAATAACTCTTATAGTCTATAAGTTCTTTTTGATGTGTATGAAATTATACATGCAACTATACTATTTATAATCACTGATTTTTTACATTACTAAACAACTATTCATAAAATAGGTGTAAAAAATATTTTAGTCCAGTCTGAAAACATGAATAAGTATATAAAACTTCTGACATATGATTTTTATGGGCTATAATTATTATAGTAAAATAAGACTAAAAATATTGATGTGAATTTTCCTAATCTTATACGATACAATCAAAATTATTAGTATATTAAATGATGATTAAAATGACACGTCGAATAATCTTCGATCGTGCATACAACGTACCAAAAAATGTATTTCTGCTATTAAAATATAATTGAATACCAAGCAATGTATTGATCATATTAAAACAAAATAATAAGAAAAAAATAACGCTAATAAGAGGGTGTGTAATGTTTACTACGATCACTCTTTTACACGAAACTAATCTTCTATAATGGATTTAATGATTATAAATATGCGCGATGAATAAAAAGCATTGCGTTAAAAAGAAGCATTTTTACGTATTATACACCTTTTGAAATTGTACATACGAACGGTTTCTAGTTAATTGATTGTGATACGTAAGCTAAGTTAATAAAAATAGAATTATTCATGTGTAATAATCACTTTTTACCATTTCTTTTTAGTGTACATGATAAATAACGAGCTGCTAGATCTGAAACTAATGGATATTTACTATTTTCAAGTTTATAATGAAATTAGATTAAAAAAATGAACGCATTAGGCAATTATTACACTTTTTCAGTACCGTACAGTAAAGTATCCAAATTAACAAAGCTTAACATTAAGGAAATTTCAAAAATAAAATAAAAAAGGCCTTCATTTAGTTGCTATTTGGATATGCACGAAGCTTCTAAAAAAATCAGTAGAGATCTGCGCTCTTAAGTGTAGAGATCTTAGCAAAAATAAACACGTTTGAAAATTTGTATTTTCACTCTGGCCTTGGCAACCCCATAATTGAACTCGCACTTTAGTATATAATACTGCCAATTCGTTAAACTATGTAAATGTAACGACTGTGAGTCGTCCAAAATTACGATTTCTTCGTCTAGCATGATTTGTCACATATACTTATTATAAAACCAATTTACTCTTGCATATAGTAATTCAAAATTGTACTCTTATGTAGAAATGAAATAAATTTTTGTTTAAAATAGTATTCAATTGCTCGATATAATTTTGCAATCATACAAGTTTAAACACCTTTGAATATTTTGCACTAATTTTGCGAAAAACAATGCATTGATTCAAAGTAATTTTGCATACATTCGCTCATTATGTAAATACACCTCTTTTATTATATTTTTCAATACTCACGCAGCTGTATATGACATTAAAAATAAAAATAAAATAAAGATAAAGATGTTTCACATCAAAAAGTCGAAATTACAAGTTAAACCCTTTTCATTCGCTGTCTAGTCGATCTTAGCAATATATCAGGCATTCGCTATGAGTCAAATGCAAAATAAAGTTAGCAGTTCAAAATTGGCGCTGAACGCATGCAATGAATGGATCGCAAGATTCGTAAGCACTAAGCAACATTTGCAATGTTTCTAGCTCCGTGAGTTTTGACACTCTACGGTTATTTCTCGTTTGTCACGAAACAAGCCACCGAGTCAGAATTACACAGACGTACATGTAGAACAGTCTCCGCGCGAACGGTGAATCACAATCACAACAATAGTACACAGGAGTGTATACACTTCGCATAGCATAAGAGAGACGGAGAGCAACGGCGTATATATACGGACCAGAAGTGCCGCCCATCCTCGATACACAAATATAGTCATCTCCAAATCAGTCTTTCCTGATCTTTCTGCCAGGCTAGCAGACTTGGTTTTCTCACGAGCAAACCCGAAAATCTCAATCTCAGAACGCAATGGCTTCCTACACCGAAGACCAATTGGCCGGTAAGTGCACCAACACACTTCGCTTCATTTGCTTATGTAAACCTGCTTCTTCTTGAACGTCGTCCTGCTGCACGACGAACGCCAGCCAGTTGCTTTTAGAGCCTTAATGACAGAAATGCATTCGATAGACAGAAAGAGGGGCATAACGTTAAAGTCCGCCTGCAGACACGTACTCGTTGCCGTGTTTACGTTATGCTCCTGAACTCCTTTTTTTCGCGCTTGTGGCCCCTATCCAGGTCAAGACTATTTTGCGCACACAGCAGCTAACCACTTACCTTTTATGGTGCGTCATTTAAAAGTGAACGTTGCTCGCCTTCTGTATTGCCCAAGTATGAAGATGCTTACCTCTTTCAACTCCTTATTCCTGCACCCGCCATAAATCGCTGTTTCAGCAGAAGCCACCACCTTCCCACATTTCCACATCAATCTTTAATGTACTTTCTTGCTAGCTTGCAAAGAAAACACATGCCTACCTCAACTTCTTTGAGATTGCTGCTTAACTTCCTCGATAGAAAAATTCATTTAAAATATCTGTAATCATTGACCTTCGGCTGATTGAGTGTTTTGTATTCGACATCTCATAATTTCATTTATTTTATCTTAACCATGTACGTATTCACTTATCAAGAACTCACAAATAGAATGATGTCATCTATGGATGGTAAATACATTTTAAAAATTCAATGTTTATTAACTTGTGTCTTAATATGTGTATTAATTCTGTAGCATAAGCAACATTCATTTACTTGATTCAGTTAATTTATATTTTAAAAATTATCAAAAACTTTAAACATAATATTGTGAAACTATAATAATCATTGAAATATTTTTATTGCAGAATTTCAAGAAGCATTCCAACTTTTTGACAGCCGTGGAGATGGTAAAATTCATGTAGCTCAAATCGGAGATGCTTTACGCGCTCTGGGCCAAAATCCTACTGAGTCTGATGTTAAAAAGTTCACAAATCAGCATAAACCTGATGAAAGAATAAGCTTTGAAGTATTTTTACCCATCTATCAAGCTATCAGCAAAGCTCGTGCTTCAGATACTGCAGATGACTTTATTGAGGGATTGAGACATTTTGACAAGGATGGAAATGGTTTTATTTCATCAGCTGAATTAAGACATTTATTAACAACGCTTGGTAAATAATTGAGAATTAATTTCTGATACTTATAAAAGAATAGTATTATTAAAGAATTTACCATTTAATTTTAGGTGAAAAACTCAGTGATGAAGAAGTTGAAACTCTTCTAAGTGGACATGAGGATACACAAGGTAACATCAATTATGAAGACTTTGTGCGTCAAGTCATGTGCGGTTAAACAAATACTCAGAAATATGAAAACTAATTTATTCTATTTCACAAAGTAAAAGAATTACTCAAATTTTATTAGAAAATTTTTAGAGCTAGTAATTATGCACAGCCATCTCCTTAATATTAATTTTTCTTTTATTTTATCAATCGAACTGATAATCTTTAATTTGTACATGAATTGAAATAGTATTTAAAACATTTTTTAACCATTCAAAATGTATACCTGTTGTGCCTTAAATGTTGTTAAGTTATGTGCATTTAATTAGTTGCAATTGGAGACTTTATTACCGGATTAGTCTTATATTTAACCAACATAATGCATTTTTGTGCAAATACTTTTAGACGTGACATATTCTGGAAATAATTGAACTATAAAATGCGCTGTCGCTGTTTTATAGAAAATAAACTGAAAATCGCACAAAAATTTTGATGGGGGTACTTAATTTGATGAGAAATAAAGAGTTGCATACAATTTTATTAAATCATTTGATTGATTCAGTAAAAACTCCTTTAAAAATTATAAAATAAGTAATATCCTAAGCTCTGATAATTATAAAAAATTTTGAGAACTTCTACAATAGAAATAAGTATTTATTCTATTGCTTATATCCAATTTCAAAATAGTACTTACAAAATAAAAAATCAAATCAATAAATAAGATTATATTCATAGGATCTAACTCTCCTAAGCTTTATGTAACAGTAGAATTGTAAAAATTATTTTTTGTAAATTATATACATGAACTTTTCGAGAGACTTTCGAAATATTTATTGTTTTATATAAAGAATTACAAATACATGGATTTTTAACACATTTAATACTGAAACTTGTTCATTTCCATGAATGTTAAGTTTTTGTAACTTTCAGTAAATTCAAAGTCAACTAAACAAGCAGTTGATCAGGTGAAACGAAATCGTTGAAAGTTTAAAAACATCTAGTCTATAAAATTTCGCCTGTTGAAGTCGCAGACACAAATTGATGGCAATTGCATATAGTTTGCCGTATACAGTGTGCACATACACATCAATTGGACATTTTATAATCGCTAATAAATCTTTTGAGACAAAAGAATTATCTACTCTGCTGCCTGTATGACGCAATTCCGCTACAATAAACCTCGATATTTGGCGTGTTTTTCGAACTTGAAAAAAAAAAAAAACAAACTAAGTCTACGAGGATCAATGAATATACCTATGGTACGTGAACTCAGCTGTAAGAAAAATATAAATGTATCGATCGCTGTTTGTAGTGAGGAAGAGCAATAGTGTGTGAGAAAAATGACACACGGCAGCATTCAAATTTTATAACTGTTTATTTTTCCAGAATTGTGCAATTTTCCAAGGTAAAAAAACCGTTAAGTATAAGCCGACGATGTCAATGAGTTGAATTTTTACCTAATTATTTTTCAAGTGCGTTTAACAATTTGATCTTGTTCAATTGAAACATTCGTTATTGTATAGAAGAAAATGTCATACGACGAGCGTTTGATAATCGTGTCTCTGAAAAAGTATTTCGTGTCAATGGTAATTAGAGGATAAGCTCGCACGAGTAAGATCGCAGCGAGCTGCAATTGCATCGTCGACGATAATGTGGAAATTCTAATTTTAAAACTCATGTGAGGACTGCATTATTTGCTCCTCGATTATAAATACTCGGCATACACGGTAAGTCCGCAAGTCGGTTGTCTTGTTAATTTCGTTTTCACTGTGTCGTTGCTATTGAAGAAATCAACGACACTCGGCGTCACAATGGAAAATTACTATACAGCTCAATAGAATGTGCATCGAAAACTGGTTGCGACGCGCGCGGGCACGTAATCCAACTCCGCATCATTCCTTTGAAATAAAAAAAATCTCGCACTAAATTTACAGCATGTTTATTTTTATTATAATTGTAATATGTATTCCAGTCGTGATTCATGTAATATTGGATATATAGGCAACTGCACATTTGCCGTAATATTAAGTCCGAGTCATCGTGCTTACGAACAAAGATTTTTTTGCAACGTGATAAAAGTTTTTTACCACCGTTAAAAAAAAAATACATGAAAATCACGTAGAGTATTGGCTTCAATATGAATATATCTCGGCTCTATTAATCGGGGGTATATCACGACTATTTGTCATCGCGCTCGCAGTTGGCCGTATTGAGCTCAGGCTCGTATACACTTTCATTAAGATAAAAAAATATGAAACAAGCCTGCCAAGCGGAGCTTCTTTCGTTATCTACGTAAGTAGCGCTACTAGAATTACCCGACGCCGTATAAACAATCAATTTTTATCCGTATCTATATCATATGACCCATACGCAGATTGGAGCGCGAGCAGTAATGCACGTAAGTAATAGCTCCGAGTGAGAAACGACCACTGCTGCACGTATAAAAACACGCTGATATTTAACAATTTTTTCATTGTTCGACCAAGTATCGCCGAAAACATGCTTTCGATGAATAAAAAAATAGGAGAACTTGTAGAGTTTGTTGGGATCCCTATAATATGATTGCAGTACGAGCTGTTCAATAGGTTCGATCGATGTCTTATTTGACATATAAAATGCGAGATAAGTGGCACGTGATCGAATCGATAAGCCCAAGGAAAAATTGCGAATTTTTCAAGTTTCACCTATGTTTATAGAGTTTCAACTTTTCAAGTGTTGCACGCGAGTTCATTGGTTTATCATTTTGAAGAATTTACTCAAAAAAGTTTCATCAGATTAATTTTCGAATGCATTATACTAATACCTGTACTGATCAGTAATTCGCCTAAGGAAGAAAATCCTGCAAGTATTAGTAGGCATTTCGTTGAATAGAAAAAAATTATTTGATTTATCCTATAAGAGTGAAAAAAGCTTTATTTTGAAAGCAAACGTTTGAAAAAACGTTGACTACGGAGGCGGGCGGATACATTCGTGAACGCGACAGGGTCGGCACGGAATTAGACTGCCTAGCTGAATCGTTATTAGTTTTTGCTATGAAATCAAGGACAAAGTTGCGAAGAAGCGAGTCGCAACGACGAATGTCGCCGCCGTCGCTATGCTTGCGAATACGTGCGAAAGCGCAAGCGTGACTCAGCTGATGATGGGCCGTCGTCGTATACAACATACGTCGTACGACGTCGTATGGACCGATAACGAAGATACGACGACGCTCGGCGTATTATGGACTTGCGCGCGTCATCATTGGACACTCGCAACAAATCGCAACATCGTAGCCTGAAATCGTGCAGCATGGACCTATCCACTCTTATTATTATCATGACAGACGACCCAAAGCAGCAAAGTTTTCCATCTCTTGGGCGTCCGCTGTCGCTCGACGGTTAAATTTGCGCTTGGCGTTTATTAAACGGCAACGCACAAAAGCCCACAAAGCAAAAGCCAACGCCGAACGCACACACGTATAGGCATCGCGCGCGCACACATTCAAACACGAACGAGCGCCGACGGGGCGAGTGAGAGGCGCGCGCAACACGCAGTTTTGGTCTTTCGATAAAAGCTGCTGCTGCCGCTGGCTTCCCGAGTCACGACTCACGAATAGCAGTACAGTACCGTCTAGCTTGTTACTCCCATAACAAGTACGCAGAGCAGCTATAGGCATATAGCTACTTGAGCTTCAATTCTCAGTTACATATCCGACATTTCAGTCAGTGTTTATTGCCCTCGCGAGCAGTTGACAATAAAGCCGTCAAGATTTTACGAAAAAAGAAACACCATGAATCCTAATTTGATATTAAGTACGGAGTTAAGTAAAAAGCAGCAAAGCGTGTTAATGTCCAGCCATTGGTAAGTGAACCATTAATATACATTTAATACATTTGAGCTTATCGCGCTGTCCGTCTCTCTTTCTCTTTGTCTCGTCCATTATACGTTGGACAATTGAAATTTCTCTGATAAACGTCCGATCGACCGCTCGAACACGGCAAATCATAGCCTACGTACTGTATATCGATTGTATAGATGTGAAAAATATCGGTGTGTTATTGTCGCGACGTAATATTGGTCGTAGACAGTTCGACAGTCTAGTAGCTGTGTATAAGCTATACTTGTATCGCTTACTATACCTATGTATGTACACAATTGGGTATATAGTTATACCGAGGTTGCATGTGTAGGTAAACTTGCTCGAAACAGCACTCAGCAGGCAGAAAATGGTTTCAACTACTGCCATGCGCACGCATTGCCTGTACTCTCTTTCATCTCGTGCACGTGTGTGTGTGTATGCGTGTGTCCGTGTACTTTGCGACTGGTGTAGGTAGCATAGGCTAGCGTTATGTATACACTTTCTTTCTTCTCTCTCTTGAATCGCCGTACTGCAGGCCGAGAGATATCGGCCGCAGTCGTCGCCATTTTGCGCATTTGCATCTCCAAAGCGGCCTGCTGTTGCCCGTCTACATGTAATTCGCCCGTATATGCATCGTGCTGTACGTCGCACTCGCACAGCTCGGCCAGGCTCTTTTATACAGGCGTACATGCGTGTGTCACCTGCGCCACATTTCGTCGCCGTATATAATACACGTGCTCTAATGTGGAGCTACGGAGGAAGAGAGAAAAACGGAGCGCTCGATAAGTTAATTCATCGGGCGTTGTTTGTTTTTGGGGTTTTCTGCCTTGAACCAAGATACGCGCTGGATATATATAAAATGCAAAATCAGCTGCTTACTTTTCTTACTCGAATGTGTGTGTATTGCCATTGGATATGTAGAGCGCGCGTGTGTGCGACCGTCCGATATATATATACATATCTGCCTCGCATACACATGCGACAGAGAGAGACGGATATTTTCGCGTGAATGCGAGAAACATCGGAGCATGGGTTCGAGGCAACGACGTGCCGTTTCTTCGGGCGGAAATGTCTGCTCGTCGACGTTGTACCTACTTTTGCTTTTGTTTTACTTTCGCGTCCATCGTGAAAACGTCGCATTGCGATCGTTGCGATTCGGCACGCGTCAGCTGACCAGAGTTCGGAATTCCTTTGCATATTCTTGACATGCACTCTGGAATTTCTCAATTTTGGCATAATGTCCGTGTAGCATACGGAAAGAATCCAGTGCGTTTTATGCATGTCCCGAAGCTTGTCGGTCATTTTTAAAGGGCATCTTGACATTGGTATCAGAACAAGGCACCATGTCTAGTGCAATGAGAATACACGTCTTATGTAGCCATCGAAACGATACGCAGTGTAGGTTTAAATTATTTCGACAAGAAGCCAAAAAGGTGATTGCAGTGAAGTAGGGGCGATATCTGTGCCTACCCTCGTAGCATCGTTATTATTGTCGTGTATCTTATACACGCAGAAAATCCTTACTACGCAGTATTTATTTTTTTTGCTTATTACCGAATTAATTTATAACTAGTGTACCGCAGATCAATTGGTATTTTCTATGTCTCATTAAAAATTTCCCGGTATTGAAGTAATGATGTAGTTTCATTTACGTGAATTCGAGCGGTGGCGTATCTTAGTCATTCGTCATAGCTGCCTGACGACCACTACTGATACGGCAGTTATATATTTTTATACATTATAACAACGACTCATCGTTAAATTTTTATTTGTATAATTGTACACACACGCGCCTTTATGCGAAATTTATCGTATTAGATTTCAATTGTGTGCCCCTCGTCATATATATCGAATAACTTGAACGCGTTATACGCCATGCCGTACTCGATGATAAGACATGCAATAACCAGCGCGACTTTCGTCTTTCGACGTGCTCTTAATAGTCAGACAATTTTATAATTTGTAACGAAACATCAATAGGCTATATTGAAATGCTCGCGTATCATCGAGGAAGACGTTTTTTTATTGCTATCAATTATATCGACGAAAGTATTGACGAAAGCTTCGCTATACGTAGCGCATGTAGCGTTATAATAGAACGGAGCAAAAAAATAAACATATAGCCCGTATGATAATGATCAGCAAAACAAAATATTGAATTCCGTCTGCTCCGAGTTCCGAGTAATGAGCGATGCGTATGTGTAGCAGTAATGTCGAGGGATATCGCGATTATTAAATATTACATATGACACTCTAAACGTGAAAGTAACAATTTTGTTAATTAAATTAGGTGTTTTCTGAACAAAAGCTTACTTATGCCAAAAGTTAATTCTAAGAGAAAACCTCCCGTAAAAAGTTGAATTTGACCAGAAAAACAATTTCAAGCCCTAGCGCTTCTTTTAAAAATGATTTTAGCACGAGTCTCATGTTTTAGAAGTAAATTCTGCGCATATGCTATTTTCATGTCAACAGCACAGTAATTCAAAAGAAATGCATCCTCAGCAGGGTTTAAACAAATTTGTAAATCCTGTCTGGTAACTGCGTATACGTTGCCTAATGAGGAGACGACTCGCGCCACACTCGCGTCAATTTGTTATCTTGTGTTGCTGAAAATAATGAAATATTTCAAATGGATTATAGATGGATTTACTCGATACGAAGTTTCATTTAATCAACGTTGAAATTATATAAATGAGCGCGCGCGAGCTTCATAAATTTTTCTTTTAACTCGATTATAATCTCTCTCTCTCTCTCTTTGCTAACTTGACTTTTGAATTTCGCTCGTTAGTTTAATTGATCAGGCTGCGCGCGTCCTCGGATAGCTTAACGTAGATTTAACGCAGTAAAGTCATAAAAGTTACGCAATGTAGTACAACAATGATTGGTGTCGCGAATTGCGCGCCGATGGAAGGCATAAAAGTACAGGCGAGTTCATTGCTCATTTGGCATCGTCCAACGTAATAATATGACATATTTTTCATAATTCATTTCATCATACAAAAGCTGCGTCGCGTTCGCGTATTATACAGTACTTTTTTTTACACGGCGCGCTGGGATAAGCTTCATTTTGTAACTCGGTGTATCCGCGGGGCTTCCTCGTCGGACTCTCCACAAAAACAAGGTGCACTGCTGTATCTATGCCCTAGAGTGTCGTGGTCCTCTATTACGTGTGTCGCACCGCGGCTCTCTTTGTTCTAAATTTAATTTTACACGTACATGTTGCTCGCTTTGACTTTGACCTTTGCTGGAAGCTAGCAAAATGTTACATAATATATAACAACTGTCGCTGCCAATGAAAGTCAAGTTAGAATTAGAAAGCTTTCTTTTGTTCAATTTTTAGTGAGACTAAATTACTGTGGCCAAACGGTAGCTGTCTCATAATTATTCTGCTTCTTTTACCGATTAGATCGACTGGTGATTCAAGTTTATCTATACTCGTTTCTTATTTTTCTTGTTTATTATCGTTTATCAAAGAACAACGTTTACCCGAGTCATTGTAGTGCAGTTCAATGTATAAATACACACAATGTTTTTATCGTCGAAGCGCAACTACTTTACGCGCTAAACTGCGCGAAAATAAAAAATAAATAAATGCACTGGTAGCGTTCGCGTATTTGCTCTCGAGTGTTCTCATTAACTTTTTTTTTCGTAAAAAATCGATACCAACAATCGCGATAATCGTGCACACTCGCGAGTAATTTATGGGTTGCATTTTTCATTCACCGTATTGATGCACTCACTGCTCAAGAGTATTACTCGAAGAAGATACACAAATTGCGCATGCACCTAATCTTTACGACGTTTTCTCCATAATTCTTTCAGCGACGTGGTGTGGTCGTATTATTAAACGATAAATACATCATGAAAACAATTCCATTGCAACCCCCATACACTTAATTTCCATCTGCGTCAGCCATCCGCTTGGCTGTACGTCTTTCCGCTAGACGATTAATTGGATTAAATTGCTGCACTATCAAAATATTCCACCAGACTTGCTATAACAAGTGTCAGCGTGCGAGAAATGAGCTGTGCAAGTCAAAACACACGTCGTTGGGCGTCGGATATAGCTCAAAAACTTAAATTTGGCTGCAAGATTGACAATAAATGCAATATTATTATTTTGCAGCTGCTCGCTCGCGCGGGAGTTAAGATTTGTGAAATGCCCGTCAAACGAAGGTGATTTACAGAGTTGTTGAATCGGGCTAGAAACCAAACAATTGTATGCACGTGGGCAATTAATACGCATGTAATCGATTGAGATTTCCAACGCAAAAATATACAAAAATATATAAATGAAGCACTTATTTGGCGAAACGCCCGTTTAGCGCGCATGACGTTCCTTATGCTTCTCCCACCTCGCTTTGTTCTCTTTGCAGTTCTCGCACTCTTGCTCTCTCTGTCTTTCTTACATGTAATATGCGAGGCTCGCTCTTGTTCTCGCAGCTCCGTCTCTCCTTCTGTTGACGAGAGGAATAGGTATAATATAAAGTTAGGATCTCCGCAGTTGTAGTACAATATCGGCGCGGGCAGAGAAGCTTTAATAATTACATATAAAATCGCGCGAGTCTCCCGCAGTCGCTGGTCAATCGGCTTACCGTGCGCGTGGCGATCGACTCGATTTCTAGCCCCTTCACGGGCATTTCTCTGCTCGCTCTGTCAACTTTGCACATACGTTTTTCACATACTTTTACACTTTTATACATTACCGTATACTTTCGTTGACTTTTGTACGCGAAAGAGAGGAAAACTCGTTGGTCGGTTTTGTGTGTTGTGTCGGACGTCGAGTGCGCGACGACCCTCTGGTTTTTTACGGAAGTGTTCGATTGCAAACAATTGATGAAAGTTATGGCTCCTTATTTGAGGTAAAAAAACAAGCCTCTCGATGTGTTTGGCAAGACGAGATAGTGCTTTTAACAGTTATCTGCAGTCGTTTGCCCATACGGATCTGTATCGATCGAATGATTGAGTACGTGCAGTTGCGTTTGCGTGGGAGGGGACAAAAAGGCCTTACCTACCTTGCCATGCATTGTAGCTCCCATTAGCTGTGTAAACACATGGATGGTGAATCGTACGAGAGATTTGAACGAGCGATTAATGCGTTGCAAATGTACACCTGCGTATGCAAAGAAAGTACAGCGCTATAACATATACCACTACCAGCAGCATCAGCGATGACGATGTTGTGTTTTGGCACGAAACCGTTGTTGCTTTGCCGAGAATTTGTCGTGCGTCGCGAATAATTGGACGCGCGGGCTTATATTGTTGACGCGCGTTTCGCGACGTGGAGCTTGACTACTTGAATTATCGACTCCTCCGTAACTATAATCTCGAGAGGAAAAAATAGCTCGCTTAATTAGATCACCGTCTAATCCGTTTTATCCTTTTTTCTCGTTGCAGCGAAATGAACAGCAAGTGCGTCGACGAGGCCTTCGAAGAAGGATCCAGGGCCATGCAGCACTACTGTATAACGCTGGGTGTGGGGCCTCTGTGGTGGTCCTGATGCGCCCCATGCCGCATTGTCTGTTTCTACAGTCAACACAGAGAGCCGCGGCGTGGGGAACAAGCAGAGTCAGCTCTCTGTGAGCTCACATATTGTACAAGTAAGTTGACATTTTTGCTCTTTTTGTAATCCAACAAAAGTCTCTTTCGTTGACTCGGTCTTGGATTTGTTCGTATGTAAAATAATCTTCCTCGCGTTGAGTCGAGTGCAGTCTCCATCATAAATTGACACCACTTGAAAACATTTTACAAGCTCGACTACTAGCCGAGCTTGCATAAACTCGTTCAATCTGGAACATGCCTGATTCAGAATGTGTGCAATACCAACGTTGCCAAAAAACAACGATAATATGTGTTTTTTTTTGTGGCTCTCCACAGGAGGATGAATTGCTGAAAGCATTGAAGACCAACGAATCGCTGCGCTTGACCTTTAATCTGCAACTGACCGAGAGCACCTCGGTGGAATGGGAGACAGTGGTATGGCGCGGCTGCATGTATATCCGCGTCCCAAGCTGTCTGCTTCCCGAGGGCTCGAAGGAAGGCTTCGTGTCTCTTCTCGAATACGCCGAGGAGACACTGCACTGCACCAACATCGTGTTGTGCCTGCGCAAGGACCGCTCTGATCGAGGTATTGACCGATTTTTTGGCGTCGATATCGCCTTGTTCGACAAGGCCGATCAAGTTGTCAATTCCAACGCTGACAACGACAACACCATGCTAGATTCTAAACATTATCGTTTGTCTGACAATTTAGCGATGCTGGTTCGTACCTTCATGTTTTTGGGCTTCTCGGTACTGCCTCCAGACCATCAGCTGGTACCACCGGGTAGCGATTCTGGCAATCTCTATATGCTCTATGCCATTGAGTAATCACCACGCTGCAAGCCAAACATCTCTTAAATTTAACGCATAGGTAGTTCATCATTACTTTTTAGTTTTTCTTTAATCTATTCATAGCTTTTATTTGTAAAATTTATGATGAATCAATCACTCATAGTATCATTGTATTTTTCAGGTTTTAATCATGATCATCCAGACCGATCGATCCATATGTATTCATTTAAAATTGAAAACACTATTCTTATTCATTGGATGAAGACAACTTATCATGGTTTATAATTTTTCTTTTTAGTACTCAAATTTATTTTTGTACTAAAAACAAACTTTGGGGCCGTTACTAATATTATTCCAAGCTGCAGAATTTTTTAAGAATGAGCTAAAGATAACATTCCGATTAATTATTTGTTTAGAAAAGTTAACTATAAAAATCTTAACATTCAGTTTTTTAAACGCACATATTTTTCATTCTCGCAGTTTTTAATAATAACAACGGAAACCTAAGCGTTAAAATTTAGAGATGTAACTTGAATGCAGGTGATTGCCAGATGAAATAGAGTCATGTAAGATTAGCTATTTTAAAATCAATTCATTCTCTAAATACAATATTAAAATTTATCTCGTCAGAAATAAAATGCTCACAAAAGCTTGTCCCTCGTATTTCTAAAGTATTTAGTGGTTTTGAACATTGTCTATTATCATCAAGACTTGACAAAACTACTGATGTTTAAGGAAATTTATTATCGACAAATCTCCGTGTTAATTAGGTGGCAGATTGGGTTTAAACTGTATATAAAATGTTAAAATGCAACTTATTATTGTTTAAAGTGCGTATATTATAATTATTAATAGCAATATCATCTGAAGTTTGTGTTCAATTATTTAACTGGCTTTAAAAGCATTATTAATGATCATTAGTATGTAGTTTATATATGTATTTATGATTACTTGAAAAAGTTTGAATGCATGATACATGCAACCTTAATTTTTAAACTATTCTCTTTTCAATTTATTGGACCTGCTGAAATGGCTGTGCTGTACTTAAAACTGGTTACTGGCATCAACTAGAAAAAATTGTTCATCTTATGTGTCACTCATTTTTTTACTTGAAGTTTGGACAAATTTCATTATAACGGATTGTAATTTTTGCTTCAGTAATCAGTTCAAAAGTGTATTAAGTATTATTATAATATGTTTAAGATATTTAAGAATATGAAACAGCACTTAAAAAGAAAAAACTGATGAACTAGTTAGCTAATACAACCTTTTGACATCAATGTAAAGCAGGAAGCCATAAAAAACCAATATTTATATTTGCATAGTTGATATTATTCTATTCGTAAAGCTATTATGATTTCGTATTTTTAACATTAATATCATTGAGTTATTGTTGCAATTGCACAGAACATTTAATTCGAAAAATTACATAATCTAACAAAATCCATTAACTAACAATTGGATATCCCCTATCAGATAATTCCCAATCAATTAACATGTGAGAGTTTTTGTTAATAAATGCGCTCTTAGTGTTGACAAGATCAACAGACTGTAAAATTTTAAAAATGAATAAAAAAAATTTAAAAATAAAAAAAGTGTAAAAAAAAATGAAATGTTAGTAGTTGGTAAGGCGTAAAAACAGTAATGAGTAAACAAAAAAATTACTGTGTTTAAACTGTTTTGGAAAAATGGATCGCAGTAAGTGAAAGATAAAGTAAATAAATAATTGCAGATAAATAATTATCTTTTGAAAATTACATTATTTAAAATACATAAATTGTATAAAATGTGATAGGATAGACCATTAACAGATAATGGCTACGTGCACTTGACCTATGAAAAAAACATTTTCTGTGCTATGTTAACATACATTTTTGATTATTAAATAAATATTCTACAAGGATAGTATTTTTATAATTATTTTTCACTTCTTAAGTTTGATTGCAAAAAATATTTATGCACATTATTTAATCACTCAAGTGTGTCACGAAAAATTGGACTTATAAATAAGTTTCATAACTTAAAATTATATGTATTCTCAGTTTAATAAATTATATATTAATGGAATGATTACATACTACTTTATTTCCAAACCAATGAGTTATAACTCATGTACTGACTTTCAACTTACTTGGAGTTATTCGGGCAATCGAATAACATATGCTTTAAGCATTTTCGTGAATTGATTAATTCAAATTTTAACTGATTTACATTAATTAATATAAAAATATAGTACGTAGTTTATTGCAACGCCAACAAATCCATAAAATCAAATTTTATGATTCATTTCAGTTCAGGAAATTCATTAGTAGAATTGAAGAGAAAAATCGAATTTACAGATTTGTACAATTATCATTTTACATTATCACTAAATTGTACAGTAATAATCGCTAGTCATTTCTCTTCTAAATTTTCAGTATCAAATATAAATTTATGATCTTATTATTTTTTTTTTCGATTATACTTGATTTTATTTTTATTATTTTGCTTATTGTGAGTAGCATTTGGTACACTGGATTTTTGATCAGATACGTGCTTATCACTTAAACCTACTTCAGGTACACTTTTATCTGAAAATAATATTTGTAAAATATTATTTCGACGTAAGCCACGATTTTGATAAAAAATCAATATTAATACTCATGAGCTTATCAACTCACCATTATTTTGATCGAATTTTTCATGTCTCTGATTGTTGTAATCGAATTCATTTTCAACAGAACTGAAGTGATTTTCTATAAACCAAGAAATATACAATTATTAATTTGATCATTTAGTAATTATCAAAATTAATGTGACCCATCAATAACTTACTACTTTCAGGTTTTTTAGAATTAATAGAATTACTGTTAGTGGACGAATTATTAATAGCTTTAACAGGGATCTTTTGATTTCTGCTGCCATTAATTTCCTTTTGCGATATAAGTTCATTGTTTGATTCTGCGAACTCCTGATTATTTTTTTCGTCAATATCCATTGACCCCAGGGGTTTTGCAAACTCGTTGTTGATTTCGGATTGTTTGACCGTGTTAGTGACCAACATCTTCTGCGAGAAAAAACAACTTGGTCAATAAAAGAATACTTATATAAATATTTAAAAAATGGTTTTATTTATAAAAATTCATTAATAAATGATTAAAAAAGGGCTAATTCCTCTTAGTAACAAAGGTAGTGCTGAAGTAAGGAAATAGAGCATAACTTTGACTTATAATCCACTTTGTAATAAAAAATAATGTAGCCTTCAACAATGATTTTCAAGTCTTATAATTTATTTGAATTATTAAATTTCAATTCAAATCTTTAATAATTATTGCAAAGTTTGAAATGCATTGACTGTGTTTAAATATGACAGCCAATTTTTAATGAATAATCATATCTTTTGAAGTTTTAAAACTTTAAATATAATTTTCAGTAACATGATAAATATTTAGTTTTTGGTATGATAAAACCAATTTCGCATATAAACTACATAAAATAAACGATGGGTATGGTAATGATACATTTTCATATCATTATTTCAAGGATCGATATTTTTTGGAAGGAATTTATTTTGGTTAGAGAGTTGTAAAATAAAAAAAATCATGTTTTATTACGAAAATATTCAATTTTATTACAATTTTAAAATATACGTATTGGAATAGACATTGAATAACAAATTAAGAAAAACGAGTCAACTATACATTAGTTTAAATCAAAATCACTAAAAAATGATTGTTAAATAATCACACATTACTTGCTGAGAATGCGATTATTGATCATAATAAGTACATGTGCTTACAAAACATGATGGCATGAAAAAATCGTCGATTGTTTAAATGCGCTTATAATAACTTTAAATTTACACATCTATCTTTGAAGGTAAAACATCATTGGATCTTCAAAAAACTCATCCTTCAGCGCCTCCAGCCCCTCTTTCAAGGTTGTAGAACTCAATTTCTCGTCCACACGGGAAATTAATATTGGTAACTTTATGGTTTTTATCTAAATGTTCCTCTCCTGAATCGTCTGATTCTTCCATCGAATTCTCTGAGCTAATATCAGACAGATTATTGCTTTTATTATTTATTTCTGCAGTACTTGTAACTTCAATATCAACTTTTTCTTCAGCTTTTGGTAAAACCTAAAATTAACAGGTTTAAAATGAGAACATTTGAAAAACCCATTTTAGTATTTTTTTCAAGCTTATCCATAAATTTCGAACGTCAAGAACAGATGATTTTTTTCAACGTGATACATGGTAAACATCACGATAGTTTTTTTATTATTCAGAGACTGCATTTCATTTCAATTTCCCAAATACACGAACGAAATTTTTTCAAGTTAAGCACAAATAATAAAATATTAAATATGATCTAATGACTAACTGCTACTCCGTTGAGTTCATCATCTAATACAGCTTCATCGTCAGATTCGTCAGTTTCATCCACTGAATCGTCTGAACACATATCAGAAAACTTCCTTTTGCTATCATTTACTGCTGAGCTTGTGACTTCAACTTCAGGTTTTTCTTCAGCTTCTGATGAAACCTAGAAGAATGAACTTTGAATTAAACATTAAGTTAAAATAATTGTTTAGTCTTATATTATTTGAAAATTATATCCATGAATTTCGAACACCTACTAGAGTAATATTACATTTTTGAAACGGTTCAGCACTATAGTGATTTCATATTTTGAAATACATGAATAGAATTTTTTCATGAAGATGAGCATAAAATTACGTTAACAGCAAATTTTAAAATAAAATTGTGGAGATGGAGGAGTATTGTGTCGAACATATAGAATTAAAAACGATAGATGATTGGGATGTTGAATGAAAATGAAGATTGTTAAGAAAATGTGGAAAGAAGAACTTACCGAGTCAAAAAAATTAGAGACTCGAATTTTAGTCGGGGGCGGCGATGGAGGCATCTTAGTTCCGGAGTCCAAGCAAGATAGGGTGGATAAAGTCAATCTTAAGGACTTAGCCAGGCTCTTACTAGCTTCTCTCACAGTCATCGGTTCGTCCTACACCCACCATCACCGTACGAATTTATCGAGTTTTTCTTTAATTTGTTTTTTATCCGTGTAAGATAAAAATCGCGTGAAATTGATCTTTTCAAAGTTTATTCGAATAAACTCTCAGCTTATACACCGTCACTTATTTTTAATACAATCAATTATTTTGACTCAATCTATTTTCGCTGTCGCTAAGTTTTATAGGTTTTCATGCAAAACTTGTAGAGTCTGTTAGTAGTACAAGTTAGTGTTAAAGTTTGTTAAAATAACAAGAAAGGAATAGAAACAAATATAAGTTCTACTAAGTTGAGAAAAAAAAAATTCAACGAAATTTCAGCGATTAAACATTTTGATTGCACAAATCGTAAAATTTATGAAAATAATTAATTTGTTTGCATCTAAAAAATATAACTATTTACCTTAGTAGTGGATCCTTTATTTAATTTCATATTTTTCATGCCAGTTGATTTGATAGCTTGGATACGTTTGCGGCTTTTTTGCAAGACTTGAATCTACGAAACAATGAATATTGTTAATAAATTAATTTTCATTATACATATAGGAAATGCTGATTGAATAGATGAAGAGTTACCATGTCGATAGGTTCTACTTTTGGATATCCCAAAACTGATGCTGTCAGATTAATGCTAATCCTGACGACTCGCAAAAAAATTAGAGTGGGCAAAAACAAGATCCAAGGAAGCGGTCTGACGAAATCAACTTCGCTGGATGGTTTACCGTTGACTTCTGGAATATTGAACAAGTGGCGATGAGTTACAGGCTTTGGAATGAAATCGATTTTTTCGATCATGAAGAATAATTACTCACCCATACGGACGTCTGTCGACGGTAAACTCCACTGTACCGACTTTTCAATGGTCCACAAAACCTTGTCGATGGCCTTTAGAATTGCTTGTCCTATAGACATCTGTGCGGCCGAATCGACTCCTGACGAAATTAAACTGCTTATACTTTCCACGTTCACCATCTTCGTAGAAGTTCTCCTATTGTTTAAAAAATTTGATTACATAATTGTTATTATATAGGATATATTTTTTAAGTTAGTGTAAAACTAAACGACATCGTTTTCTGACAGTTGTAATAAATTGGATAAAAAATGAAGCTCGAAAAACGGAGCTTCTTACTCGCATATGCTGGCCAATGACGGTGTACTTTGTCCAGGCATTACATTGCAGTTTATAAATAAGTATAGTATAATAATGGTTCCGAGGGATAAGGGGCACTCGTCGATTATCGGTATCGGGAAAGCAGCACGACCTCGTGGTATCAATCGTTACGATGCATCAATCCATGTACGAGTTTGCGCGTTCCGTAATGACAACAATTTAAACTGACATTACATTACATTATTATTTCCATTATGCGGATTAATTTGAGCTCGTCAAATCAAAGATAATTAAGTGAATCGTGCAATTGTTCTAACGCGAGATGAACTGTTGATATCCGCATCCACACTTAACAAAAATCTATTTATTTCTCGTAATTATTACGATTATTGCATCCATTTAAACGTTTACTCAAGCGTCGAAAGCATTACTCTTTCTAAACCCTTGTAAATGCCATGAAAATTTCGCCTTGTGACGCAGTGGTATCGCGAGCCCTTCAACTTAATCAATTAAAATTAGGATACTTATTTTGCAAGCCGTACCGAATCTTTTAACTAATATTGCGTCAACCAGTTTTCAACGAAAAATTACTCATCAAAAAGTCGTCGAGTTTCATTAATAATTAAAACTGATATACTTTTTAAAATAAGCTCGGCAAGATAGTGCCTTTACGGATGCACATACGACGATTGTCTCGAATATTGAGGTATTGGTATAAAAGGAAAATAACGACGATAGCGACGAAACGGTAAACATCATCGCGGAGCGGATGATAATGTGTAATTATAAGCGTGCATATGCAAAACGAAGCAGTAAAGAAAAAGATGAGCCAAGCGGCTCTCTCCGAATTGATACATTTTTGTAATTATTTTGCCATCGACGGCTGCCATATTTCGCAGCGGAGAAATTGACGCAGAGCGAATGGAAAAAGTTCTGGACGATACTGCTGTCAGTGGAAATGCGGCGAATCGGTATACGTACGAAGATCGGCCTCTATCTGCGTGCTCAGTTGCATATGTGTAAACGTACATAGACGTACGCAGACGTAATACAGAAGCGAGGCAGACAATGAAGATTTGTCACGAGGCATAATAGATTTGTTTATCGTGCACAACTTTTTGACCACGCGACTATATTTTATCGAAATTCCTAGGATCCTTTGAATCGATCTCTCTTGACTCCATCTCAAAAGCAGTAACAAATGCAGCCCGCGTTTATCGCGAATTATAATTAGCAGCATCGGGAATCAATGTCAGCTGCCTGTTAAATTACGAATGTTTATAATTGTGTGCACTAGACACAGTGGACGAGTACGTGCAGAGGCGCGATATATATGCATTATGTTGACGAGAGACGCCGAGATTACGTCAAATTTTAATTCGAGTTATTATTAAAATAATACCGATGCAGCAGTTTAGTCGAAAGATAAACTCGCCTCTTATCGTACGAATCGAAGACGACGGCTTTGAATCATTATGCGGTCGCCCGTCTCGACGTTTTGGGCGTCGAGAATCCTTTTACCAATCGAATATCACAATGAAAAATCTGACTTCTGTATTGAGCAAATTGCTCGAAGATTGCTTAACAATAGCGAGCACGTGTCGGAAAAAAATAATATAAATAATAAACCTTGTAACATAAATATATATCAGAGACATTTTTTTCATCATCCAGTAATTGTACGATATAAATCATTAGCAGATGATTAACGTTATTTAAAATCAATTTTTCCCTAGTGTGCGACATTGTCAACTATATCTGGCATACGTATAGTATTGCTTGTGTTACAATTTATACACTTGTTCTCGTCGTAGTCAAAGCAATTAAAAATTAAAACTTTCTTGAATACGCGAATGTGTCTTAATATTACTCCGCGGCGATAAGATGGCTGTGTTGTAATTATGCAACGCGCCGACTCGTCTTCACTTGGTGATTTTATTTCTTTTTCTTATTTTCTTTTTTTCTGTATTAAAAAAAAAGTATAACTATACATTGAAGATCTGGCTGCACTGCGTTGCGTGCGCGGCACCCGAGAGGGGTCAAAGCTCAAGTAATTTTTTAACGTCTGCGATCTGCGAGATCCCTGCGAGAAAAATGTAACGCAACGACGCTTCTTCGGACGCAGCGTTAAATAGTAAATATAAACAATTTTGCATGTACGTTTAGGCGTCGGAAATTCAAACTGCTGCTACCGATTGGCCACGCGTACGCACATACAGACGGACGCCCGCAACGATTATATATTTGGATAAAAGCGATACTCGATCGAATCGCTCAAGGGCGATCGAGCCGAGATCCAACGTCGCGTATGAAAACACACACCTCGATATATTATAAACAGTCGCCACGAGACATTTGCACGCTCGATCGGATAGCTCAAATCGCGAAGACATTATACGTACACGCATAATCGAGGTAAACAATATTATACTTCGCTTGTATATCAGAGACAATCGAATATCTTTCTCTCGCACACACGTATGTGTATACCTACGTAGGCTCGCGTACATTAAATTCGATACCGTAAGATATTGTAGGCAGTCGTGCGCGCACTCGACGATCGCTAATTTCAATTTCCATAAATAACGATATAATTGATCTATCGGAACGCGTATTCGCCACTCGAACTGTGAACTGACTCAACGGCGAAACGCGTAAGATAGGTACAGGTGAGAATGCGGCGCTCGCGACATGTTTGAATGAAAAGCACAGGAATTCGGCTGAAAATGGGGTTGCAGCGGTACGGATTGACACGTGCGACTCGAGAGAGTTACATAGGTAATATACCTGTCGAGAAGTGCGCCTGTATGAAGAATCACTTGATTGCTTATTTTTCAAAGCCGATTGAGCCAATGTGTAGTCAGCAGCGCGAGCTCAAGCTTGATCGATCGAACATTAAATTTGCACTCGCAGTTTGAGTTGTCGTCACGCAAGCAATTGAGAATTGATAAGAAAGAAAGAAAGCGAGAAAGAGAGCCGCGCTCAACGTAACAGACAAATACCTTGGTTTATAGCGAGCACAGTCGTCGCGAGCAATGGTCCTTTGGCAGCTCGCTCACTATACTAAAATCCTCCCCCGCGGTTGCTGCTACTGCAGACTTTTAGCGGCAACAATTGGACTCGATGTACGCACCGCACGCGTGATCTATACAAGTCTGGGAGATGGGGCCGCCGTTGCAGTCACTTGCTGCTTCTGTATTATGATATTGTGTGTGCGTGTGTGTATAAATATGTATACAGTATACGTGTGCGTGTGCAGCTGTCGACTTGCAGCAATCGGGCCGCGCTAGCGATCGACTGGCAAGCGCTTATAATAAGCCGCGCGCTCCGAGGCTCGCACATAGCATTTTAGATGCCCCGAGAGCGCGAGCAATGCTGTTTACTGCGGCCAAGAGAGAAAAACGGCGAAATCGCCACACGCCAAAGATAAGAGGAGAGCTCGCCTCTGATGCTCGCCTCTCTCTCCTTCTAGCTCCCTCGACACTCGTGTTTTGTCTTACAATTGCGTTTCGCCAACGATAAACCTTATTACGAGTTACAAACGTTTCTTTTTGCCGATCGTCTTCGCGCGCCTTTCGCAATTCGCGAGACCCGTGACTTTCGGAGCGACAAATTCGCGCGTTTTTTAATTGTTACAATAAATAAAATCTATCACACTTACTGCGGCTGGAGCGAACTCGCTAGCCGGCATGAGCACTGTGTATTGTACCCGCAGCAGCCACACGCACAAGACGCACTCCCCGATTCACAGCGAGCGAGAACCTATTATTGCAGAGTATGCGCCGACTGCCACCAACTGCCTCGTGATTTTCGCGCCGAAACTTCCCCTCTTCGCATATTGCACATGCCGCAGACGCATGCAGCGCACGATGCCCGACAATTTCTCCCCTTCGTTCTTACCTTTTGGCCGTTAGTCACCCATGTCTTCCTCTCTTTTTTCGCGGACCCTCGGCAATTTCGAACTCCATTATATACTTATTCATATTCTTAGAATACGATCCAACAGTTTCTTCATACGAGTCTTGGATTAAATCTTTAGTTTGATTATTTTTTAGAGGAGGATGAAACGAGCTTATTTTCGTTTGAACTGAATTAATGCATCATTTTCAAAGATTAGTTTTATTAAACATTAGTTACATCGTTAAAATTTCAAGTTTCATAGCATTATATACTAACTTTTGCGCTTTTTCATAACGTCAAGTATCTCATTATTTAAACGATTCATTCACATACTCCCAACGTTCAATTCCGTCAGAGCGTTTTGAAATAAATAAAACGAAAATTGATCTTCTACCAACCTGTTTAAAAAGTTCATTTATTCTCATTTTAATTATGATTTATTACTTCTAAAGCTGGTACGTTACTTGAATAGTTTTTAATTACAACACCATGTACATGTAAATACATTAGGCTAATACAGATGCTATTTCAGAATTTATCAATTTTCCTTTAATTTCATGCGAGTATTTTTTGTTACATTTTTCTGTAAGAGTTCATTTTTACAATTACAATATATTCAATAATGATCAACTTTTTAAAATACTCTCAACTTCTGTACAAGATAAATTCTCATTTTACAAGTAAATAATTGGTCATGCATTATTATGATATAAAGGCCATATATTGAGATTTAGTTAATGGAAAATTACTTGTTACACTTTTGTATGATGAAATTTTATCAATAACACTTTTTCAATTTAAAATTTTAGAAAATAATTAGTAATTAAAATTGGTATTAATTGTGAGAAAAGGATTAAATTACTTTGACTCATTTTTTTATGATACCTAATCAACTTTTGATTTATGTAAAAACAGTATAAAATACATTGTCCTAATGAAAGTGCTCAATTTTTCCGCAATTTTTTCACACAATCTTTTATAAGGTCTCATTCGAATCTAATCACATTCATTAAAATTAACATGAGAATAAAAAATAGATGCAACCGTATTAATAATATTTATTTTATACAATACAATATGAATAGTTTAAACACAAACTGTTAAAAAAAGGACTATTCTTACTTGAATGTAAATCAAAGTAAAAGAAAACAGACTCACAACCACATTCACAGATGAGTACAATTTCACTTCAAGGCAGCGACACAAAATTCAATAATGCGCCTAACAATTTTTGTTCATTGGATCTGTTTGTTGTGTAACAAAATTGAAATACAACTTTCAAAAGATTGATAATAAATACATCGCAAACATAATTTACCGAATCATATGAAAATATAACGAAACAAAGAAATGTGCAACCATTCAACAAGTTGTATAAAGAAGTTTAGTAATGCTTTTTGTCAAATGTGACATTAGACAGCTTTTACTTCATATTTCGATTTCACATTTTAACTCAGATTGGTTATTAGTACTTATCATCATCTTGCTCATCTCCTTCAACTTCATCTGGAGGTGCAAAACCATCCTGAAAAATAAATTTAAAAAATAGTTCAGCTTCTGTTTCCACTTAAATTATAAAATTATCAAAGTACATAATCCATCATTACCTCAGTAGCATACAAAACTTCTAAAATTTTATGAATAATTGGAGGAGTTTCACTATTATCAGATTCTTGGCACATAACTTCAATGTCTCTCAGCTTTCCAAAGTAGAAATCTCTTTCTTTCTCCAACCCATCAACAGTTACTTTAAGGTCCATTATCTAAAAATAATTATAAGCAATTTAATAATAATCACAACTACAAATGAATTCAGTATAATTACCTGACTGTTAAGTTCTTCAATTTTTCCTGTGTCTCCTCGAACTCCCATTCCTCCAGTTTTTGGTATTCCAACTCTAGATGCTGGAGCTTTGTTAACTGTTTAATTGAAATATATAATTTGTAATTAAAATAATTGTACATTTCTTTATTACACTGCTACCTATAACACATAATACATGGCAATTCTTATAGCAGTGAAAAAATTGTGCTAAGTTGTGAGAATAAAATGTGTCAAAATTTTATTCAATAATAAAAAGTCAAACCAAACATGCAATCTGAAGCAACACGCTTTTTCGTGCATTATAATTTTGAGAAAAAATGAGTGGATGTAAGTACATGCATATTGGAAGAAAAATTAAAATCATAAATTAAATTTGGATTCTGAATATTAAATATAATAATTACAAGATCTTTGAACATTTTTTGCAGGTAAATTGATAGAAGTTGTATATCCTTCGCCTAAGTTAAAATCATATATAATAGGATTAATAACTATTATCAGAGTTTTTTCTCAAGAATATGTGATGATTTCAAATTTTGATTTTAATGTAAAATTTGTAATTTATGTTTATTTTTGAATGCAATAAAAATCTATTTTACCAGAGTATTGATTATTTTGTGTTATCAACAATTTTTAAGCAAAATTGAGTCAACAATGCAGATTTATTAATCTTTTCAGAACATTATCCAAAAGACAAATCTTTTGGACATATTTTGATTTTTTTAGAAAAGCATTTACTTCAATTATTAAGATACTTGGTATTGAGCGAAAAACAACAGAAAAAAAATTTTTTTGACTGTACCCATCCTAGCAGCTGGTTTTGATGGCACTGGGGCAGTTCGTTTTACCATTCCACCACCTCGTGGTACATTATTGCCACCACTGCCTAATGGTTCACCCCCTCTCATAGCAAGAGCATCATAAACATCTGTTCCTGAATAGTTTGCATCAAAAAATTTCTTGAACCATTGTAAAAACTCAAAGTTGTCTTGGAACCTGCCTTTCACCAATTTATCGATAGGTACAATCTGTAAATGACAGGTGAAAGATTGCAGGGTAAAGTACATCAAAATAAAAAAAACTGAAAAATTATGCAAATAAATGTATATAAAAATAAAGAATTTCTCTTTTATATTGGCTCAAATGCAATACTGTTACTGCTTAAAGAACACTGAATAAAATAATTTGAGCTAAGGGTTATTTTACAGTGGCATTTTTATCACATCTATCAATGTAACATACATGGAAGCAGAATTGTTATTCCATTTTAGAATATTATGATAGTTCTACTAAATGAAAATAATTGTACCAATTATGAATTTAAACCATAATATCAAGCTAATAATATTTACTTCTAAACCTGTAAAATTTTATAAAATTTTGCAACTAATATTTACATTGAATAATACAGAGCACATGCTCTGACATATGCTTTAAACTTGTGTTGCAAAAAATGTTGCTCAGTGTATAATGTGTTTTGAAGTGCTGTTCATGTGAAAAATTTAACGAAGTGAAAACTGATTTTATAGGAGTGTACAGAATGCTATTGAAGAAATTGATAATTTCAGCATCTATAAGATGTCATGCGCCAGGCAGTGCACAAATTTAAAAAAAGGGGGTTGAAATTAGAAATATCCATGTACTCATTTGATGTCGAGGTATTGGATTTCTCTGTTGAATTTGCTTAGGTGGAGCTTGTTTCTGCACCAACTGACTATTGGAGTAGCTATGTGGGTTATCAATTCCAGAACCCAAAGGAATATATCCTCGAGCTTCAAAAGCCTCATATTCACGTCCGTCATAGTTAGCGTCAAAAAATTTCTTAAACCATTGCAGAAACTCAAAGTTGTCTTGAAAACGTCCCTTAATAAGTTTATCCACTGGTATTACCTATGTCATTTTGGTAGGACTCACGTTATAGCATATTTTATTGTTGGAGATAGAAAACAACATAATGCATAATGTCTACTTGTCATTTTAAGTTTTGCGATTACTTATAATTAAAAATTTTTTTTTATAGTAGTTTTTATTACCTTGTCAACATTCGTTTTTTTGAAACCAGCTTGAAGTAATTTAAAATTTTGAATGTATTCATGTTCAAGATTAGTCTTGAACTTGACTCTTTTCAAAGGTACTGAATTTGGGAATAACATGTCCATGAACTGGCAGTATGCGGCACCAGTGCACAGCTCTTCAATCTTGGTAAAAGCTGATTGAAGGCAATCATTAACCCAAGCAAGCATATCATGCCGACTCAAATTTTCAGTTGTCACATTGGTTGCGTACACATTGACAGCCATTGTCACTGTAAAGAAATAAGTTAAAAATTTGTAATGCAAGTTTTATATGTTACAAACTTAAATAGTTACTTATAGATGAATGAATAAATAAATAATAAGAAGCAGGAGTAGAATCAAAATGACCTCCAACGTGTTTTGTTTGGAGACAATTTAATTTAAGTATTAAGAACAACACTTACAATATGTAACATTAACGTTAAATTTACAAATCTTTGGTAGATTAGCGAAATAATCGAAATTTTGAGTAATGACTAATGAAATAACCGTAAAAGGTAATCGTAGATAGTGAAATATGCAAATATTGAGGCGTAGGAGTAGATCGTTCATATACCTGACTACGAGTCACAAATTACTTTCAAAAATATATTTCGGTACTCCAACAATCACTATAAATTGTAATGGTCTGCAGGTTCGTGAGCAACTAGTTGGCGAAAACTGCGGCATCAAAATAATGAACAAAAAAGAACGGAAGCACGATGCGAGGAGAAACGGCGAAAGAGAGGCAGGCGCGATGGGCGAGAAAATAGAGCGTGGAATTTCGCTCAAGAGCTAACTCCCAGACGACGGTATATATCATTGCGTTTTATATATGTATAGAGGCATGCAGGATGTGAGTCGGATGCACGCTTCAACGCGGTGTTTATCAAATTCGCGCGAAGCCGAGGTCGCGGGGCCCGATCCGCCGTTCCCAATGTAACGGCTTTTAACGGCTTTTCGAGCCTCGCCAGATAGTTGAGTTTTCGGAGTTGTGTTTGGTCGCGCCGGTCTATGACATATTTGTTTGGACGAATATACATAGATACACAAATATATCGAGATGCTTACCGGGTTGAGCTATTGGGCTTTTCTCGTTGGCACTTGGCAGCTAAATCAGCGGCGAGATAATCGCCTTTAAAAGCGAAAACACCGAAAACTATGCCGGATTGCGATGATCCTTGTGGGATCAGTCTAAAAAACTAACTCACAATGGAGATCGAGCGTTTAACTTTCTTTGCGGACGTATCGCGAGAATTTGTCTCTGATGTAAAAGTAGCTTATACAGACGTGTATTTTGCGTGCCTCGCTGCCTTCGCTTCCAGGCGCAAATGATTTGAAGTTGGCAGTCTCTGCGAACTCTCGATACAGGCCGTATCGATTGAATTCACGGACTCCGTGGGTAAACTTTCGTCGCACATTTAAATATTATATCCGAATATGTATATTATGTTTATTGAATTAAATGATTTTTTTCATGTCACTCACATATTACAAACTTTAAAATATTTTGTGCCAATAATTTTTTCATTTCAAACTTCCAATCGAATTTATGATTTAAAATGTTTTCATTAGATTTCAGTGAATACAACAGTTTTTAAAACTTGTTGACTATTTCTGTCAGAAACATAAATAATTAAATTTTTATGATTTACTAAAATGAATGGCTTTATTAAAAATTCTTACATTTTTACTGTTTCACTTTTACGATAAGGCGCCTTTAAGTAGACTGCTATTCTGCAGCCGGTAAAATTTCACGATTCAATATATGTAAGATGGCTTCTACCCTAGAATGACATACAGTTTTCGCTATCGACAGCGACTGTACGCACCAATTTAGCAGATAGCTCATTTAAACCTGTAGAAAAATATAAACAAATATATAAAAAAATATGGAGTGCCTAATAGGAATCCAGTTCAATGATTTTGTCCTTGTTGCGGCTGACATGACCAACGCTACATCGATTATGGTCATGAAAAATGGTACGCGAATTATTGCATTTCATCAATTCTAACCTTCTTTTGTATTATTATTTTTTCACAACAGAAAACTTTTATTTTAGAAGTATTTTACTATTACAATAATCAATTTTTTTTATAATAGAACCATTTAAAGAGATTGTAAAACGAATAATCATTTTAATCTCATACTAGTAGCATTTAATACATTCATGAAATTCAATGTATTTACACCAATGTGTGCTTTTTTCAGATGAACAAAAGATTCATAAATTGGCCAACAAACTTGTCATGGCTGTTTCTGGTGAAAGTGGAGATGCCACTCAGTTTTCAGAATATATCAATAAAAATTTGCAGTTGTACAAAATGAGAAATGGCTATGAACTGTCCCCTAAAGCAGCTGCTAATTTTACCCGGAGGAATCTGGCAGATTATTTACGTTCTAGAACTCCATACTTTGTTAATATGTTGATGGCTGGTTATGATGATCAAACTGGTCCTGAATTGTACTTTATTGATTACTTAGCATCATGTGTTAAAGTACCTTATGCTGCTCATGGATATGGAGGTTTCTTTTCGCTCACTATTTTAGACAGATATCATAAAAAAAGTAAGTTTTTTTCCAAAATATTTCAGTTTATCATTCCCTGATTATTGTTTCTAAACTTTAAATTTCTATTTAGATCTGTCAGAAGACGAAGCTTATATTTTAATGAAGAAATGTGTCAGAGAAATTCACAAACGCCTCATTATTAATTTACCAAATTTCAAAGTTCAAAAAATTTCTAAAAATGGAGTTACAGAATTACCACCAATTACTGTCCAAAGCTTAGCAGTTGAAGATGCTGCCAAGGCTTGAAGACATTATTATAATTATTGATTTTTAAGGTTTCTTTGTCTCTTAATAAATCAGCAATTTTGAAGTATCATACTGGAAATTTGATTTTGTTGCTGTAATAAAATTTTGTTAAATAAAATGGAAAATTTTTATATTACAAAGAAAAAGTACAAGTTTCTTAAATTATTTGATTCTACATTAATTAATAATTTTAGTTCATTTAATAAATATTCAAAAATATATATCACTTCAAAACATTTTATTTTTAATACTATTTTTGACAAATTAGTTACAAACATTTGAAATGCTTTGAGTTTTAGTAACAATAAAACTATTGACAATGTTGCAAAATATTGAATTTTCATGTTGAGTATTCAGTATTGTAATTATTTTTCTTCAACAGTAATACAAAATGTTTGATGATTACATTATTTGAGCTTTCATTATTATGTTTATGGATAATTCAATAGCTTGTTGGTGTAAATCATTTATAAAAATTTTTTTATAAATTGTATGTTCTTATAAGCTAAAAAAGTCAAATTAATCAATTACCTTGTATACCCAAATGAGTATATTTGAAGTAGAATATAAGCATATTGTAAGAGTGTATTTCCTATTTTTGTTGGTTTATAAAAAATGAATTTTTTATGCTATGTCATTTATTTAATATACATTCTACTCATTTACAAAAAAACATTAATCATACCAATAATCAAAGTTCGATCAAGTTCAAGTTCTATAAAATGTTTTTATTCTTAGTTAATCACTGATACTCACATACTTTAAGACCATTTTATTAAAGCACAGATTTGCTTCACTAGTTTCAGTTACATTGTTAAACCCAAAAAAATTAGGAGAAGCAAATTTTAATATTTTACATTTTCTATATTCAAATAATAATACTTTGGCAAAATATTAAGTTTTTATCTTGTATCTTTTTGTATTAAAATGTACTAAATTAATTGATTTTTGAACAATTATTTTTTATCAGAAAGGGATTGATAGGTTCGTGTATCCTAATAGAACAAGAACCATAATTTAAAAAAATTAATTGAATGAAATTAATTGTAATAATAAAATTTATATTAATATAAACAAAACCAATTGTTTTGGTTGAATACCAAAAAGAAGCAACTTAGAATCACAAGGCACACTCAAATCAATTTTTTGCACTACTTTATCTAATGGTAACAATTTCAATAAAAAAGTTACAATTTTAATAAAATTGTTACCATTGCAATAAAATACATTTTACTGCATTGCTAAAAAAAATAATATACACACATTCTAAAAAGTAAAAAATGCCTAAGATTCAAAATATTTCTTTTACTGCATCTAGCTTATACATTTTCACGTGATCTTAGACATTCTTCATTTTAAATTGTGAGAGATCTGACATAATATTTATCACGCTTGTGTTCTCAATAATGTATGTATCCATTTATTCATTAACATCTCACATGACGTCTCATTCCTTTAAAAATAAAGGAGGTTTTTATTTGTCTTTTTTAACTTCTGTTTGAGTAGTTTTTGTAACAGATTTTTCTTCAACTTCTGATGGATGATCTTCGTACCTGTGAAAAAAAATTTAATAATTCATTTAACGTTTTTTTTTATTTATTAATAATTAAATCGAGAGATTAAGCAAATTTATTGGAAAATACTTACGAGAATAGAGCTTTTAAGTCTCCTTTAATAAGAGCAACCAGAAGTGGTGTTCCCAAACAAGCAGGAACTAGGTAGAGCAGAGCCGGTTGTGCATGGTTAAAAATTTTCATAACAAGCAAAGTTACCAGTAAACCCATAAAATAGGCAAAGAAAGTTGTATAGAAATAAGTTTTCGACTTCCTTTTGAGGCTGTGATCAAACCTCAGCAGAAGGGCAATGAAAATTCCAGGCACAACGATATCACCTAATCCTAACATGGCAAAATTTTTACCATTGAGTCCACTTTCTAATAAATCTTGTGGAAATACAAGCTTAATAGGAGCTTCAAATGATTTAGCTACAGTCACCATGACATTAGTGCCAAAAACCCAGAATATATCATAAACAAAAAGTCCACATAATAAAATACACCCTGTGATGACTTTATTCAAGTGAAGTAATTCGACTCCATTAATTGCAAAAGCAATTCCAAATAAATTGTTGGCAATCCAGTGCTAAAATAAGTAAAAAATAACATTAAGTACAAAATTAATCTTGATTGGAGAGTAGAATAATAAATTAATGAAACATACTTTTTTCAATAGGTACCAAGCTCCAATTATTGTGCAAATTGCTAAACATACAATGTCATGTGAAGTAAATTTATAATTTATTAGATCTTCATTGTCACTTTTAAGACGTAAGTGATAATCCTTCTTAGGAATGGCCGCAGGCATTAAGGAGGTAATGAGTGGGCTGAAAATATTAATATAAAAAATAATGGCATCTATTTTTTATATATAAAATAAACATTTTAAATTGTTCATTGAATTTTTAAAATACCTTGAAATATGAGAAAGGGCCAAAACTCCAAGGAAAAAGAAGTATCCAGTTAAAAGATAATTGATGTATTCTTTAGAAAATACCTAAAAGTAAATGTTTAATTTATATTAATAAGTAGCTTCACTATTAATAGAAAAGTAATTTAAGATGTGATAATATTCTAATAAAAACACATCAGTGATGTAAAATATTACCTGGAAAAATATGTAGAGTCCAAAAAGTGCTGCACTAGAAATAAAAGGAAACATAGCAGCATCTTTTTGACTCATTGTCTCTGGTTTTTCACCACTCCTCTCAAAGTGTTTCTGCAATAGTAAAAGGAAAGTGAAATTATACATCAGAAAGTAAACAACAGAACATATGGAACTGTAGAGTATTTTTGTAATCTGAACTAAATAACAAGTGAAAGATTTTAAAATAGCAAGTTTTACTATGATAATGACTATAGCGTATACAATTATGATGAAATAATTGAAGATAAGAATGAGCATAAATAATGTGGAAGAATCAGGAGCAGCTGTTGGAATCGCGGATAAATCATGATGTGGTGTCTAACCTGCTGTTCACGTTGATGTTTGACAGACCGGTAGGAACCGAAGAAAATTGGCAAAATAGCCATTATGACGAGGCTTCCATAGGCAATAGCCATACCCTCGGTCGAGGCCGGCTGATGGCTGGTCGCATTTTTCGCGGCATTTTCCGTAATATTTTCATTGACTTTGGCGACGATTTCACTGACCGTATCTGCCATCTTGACTCGTGAGGCGCACGATCACGACTGAAAACTTTGGAGTCTGGACGGAGAGGCGAGAGCTGACAACACGATATAAGTATGGTATACACGATTCAGTACACGAGTTTACTGCTTAGTGGGACTTTGAGCTGCCGAGCGCCAATTGGTCGACGGAGTTGAAACGTAATTTGAAATTCAAGTCTAGGCAGCATTTCAAATGGTAGTCGCTGACAGACTTTTTGTCGCTCGTGTTGCGTTCGACCAACTCAGCAATTGTATACACGAAAAATTGTATCCTAGATTGAGGCAAAATTTGAGAAACTTTTAGAGTTGCTACACTATTAATTTCACTCTTGTTCGAAGTGCGATCTTCCTATAATTTGAATTCAACTATGCAAACGATGATCGCAATGAGTTATTGACTTCGACGCAAAGTATATATTATGAACTGTACAAGATGTAAACGAGGACGGCACCAAATGCGCTCTGATTATTGTTTTCTTGTATGTTTTATTTCTATTTGATTCACTGTCAAAAATGACAAATTTCAAATCAACAAAAACAGAGGCAATCTTATAATCGTCACCATCTGCAAATCTTGAGAAGGAAAAAATTGTGTAAAACAAATATGCAGTAGGTACTTTTCATTGTGGAAATATTGCTTCGCCGGGGATTACGGAAAATTAGTTCGAACGAGTTCGGAGGAAAAAAAGTTTGCATTGCGAAACTTTCATTTAAAAAAAAATCTGTAGTTAAAAATGTAATTTTGCACGTACAAAAAGTATTCAGCTTCCGTTGAAATTAGTAGACGTTTTTATCTACTTCCGTACTCAAAATTTAACTATTATTAATTACGGCCCAAGTTAATGAACTCAAATACTTTTCAGACTTACTCTTTAAATCGAGGATAAATTATCTATTTTAATTAGCTCAGTAAATGATTACTCTTTAGTTTTACAGTAGATTTGCCGAAATGACACGCGGCAACACAATGTTTCGGAGCGCGATTTTCTCGGCACGCTGACGTATCAGCTGATGGCACATAGTGCAATTCAAAGACGCGTTCGTATTTTTTTTTGTTATTCAAGAAATTATCTTAATACACCGAAACGATGATAAACAGCTCAGCTCGCGTATGCGTTGGGTCAAAGAGTCATGGATATGACGATTTGCATTATGCTATTCAAAAGTGATTTCTCTCTCGCCAGTGCAAGACGCAGCTTGCCGGTGCTCTGATTTCAATTTGATCGATTTTTCGAAATTCGTAGAAAAAAGAAATTTTAATCCGGATCAAAATGCAGATGAAAGACAAGCGAGCCCTCGTGATCGGCGTTTCCAACGGTCTCGGGGTAGTTTTCGGAAAAGAGCTCTTGCGTAACGGCGTCGCGGTAAGTAAACACGACTCCCTTTTTCCCTCGCGGCGATCCAGTAAACATAAGTCGGGTCTTTTCAGCGGGTCTTGATGATCGACCAGCACGATTCACTCTGCAAATCGCAGCTCGAGCAGCTCAACGAAGAATTCGGTCGAAATCGAGCGGCCTTCGTCGGTTGCGATCTGACCAAAGGCTCGGAATTCGATAGTACGTGAGCTTGAACCCGTAAACTCGAAATTCGACAAAGATCATACATTAAGCCAAATATCGTTGAAAATATTTCAGATGTCTTTAAAGAATCGGTCAAGGAGCTCGGTGGTTTGGATATAATAATCAATAACGCAGCCATGATCGACGAAAGAAACTTCCACCAGAGCATTGATACAAATGTCGTAAGAGTTGTCTTATTGTTAAACAATTTTTCACCGCGATGCACCCTTAACACGCGAATTATGAAACTCAGACTGCCGTGTTCCGAGCCAACATGTTGGGAGTACAGTTTATGGGCAAAGACTGCGGGGGCCGCGGAGGAGTCATCGTCAACGTCGCGTCGATTCTCGGTCTCGAAGCTTTTCCACAATTGCCCGTTTACTCGGCCACCAATAACGCCCTCATCGCCTTCAGTCGCTCCTTCTCGGTGAGTAACTGGACTTTATTATCTATGTATGTATTTCGATGTTGATTATCATTGTGCCCGTGTTCGCGCATCGCAGCAACCCTATCACTACCAAAGGACGGGCGTGAGGATTGTGGTGCTGTGTCCTGGACTCACAGATTCCAAAGCCTTGGAATGTTTGAAAAACGATAAGCTCGTAACGAGACTGGAAGATCTATCGGAAGCCATGAAAGACATTCAACCTCAAAGGCAAACTCTTTTCTTTTCGTCCCTTAAAATGATCGAGTATCGTTCAATAACGTCAACGCGATAAATGTTTTATATCTGTTGTAGACCTGAAACTGTTGCACACGCGGTTGTTTATGTCATTAGGTGTGCACAAAATAGCAGCATTTGGATCAGCGAAGACGATAAACCAGTGTATGAGATTCAGTTGCCGGATTCTCTGCCGGTCAAATCGCAATGAACCACTTTTTTCAGCAGACATAGTAATTTTATAAGTTATAATTAATTCATACAAACTTTATCACATACGGATCAATACCAATGAAAAGAATTCAACAGTCAATAATTTTATTCATAAAGAATGAGTGAGGAGAGGAACAATCAACAAGCGATACACAAAATTATTCAGAGTATTTGTACTAAGTTTATTCGATAAATAAAAAGTGATTGTACAAATCAATTGCAAAAATTATTCCTTATGTATAAACGCGTGGTCTCACAATGCTTTATTTTGCGAGGAGATTTTCATCTAATAGTTATTTTGTGAAAAAAATCCTCCCACCCAAAGCGTAAAGCTTCACTTTTACTTCTCCTAAATTACAATCAATGCCCGCAGTCGCATACAATATATTTTTTCATCTGATTACACAGTTTTTTTTGTACAAATATAAAAATAAATTACAGATTTTAATTCCGTCAAATTTAAACACTAATTTTTTAGACGCACAGAGTTGCGAGCGAGATTTTTCGAGATCTTCTGTTTTCTCCTGATTCGTTATTTTAATGAAAAGAAAAGTATAGCCATCATATGATAATAGAACATTACAAACTTTGTCAAAAATTTTTACAAACTAAAATTACTTAAACAAAAAACTACATTACGATGAACAATGCCCTTGAACTAATAATGCATGGATTGTATATTGGGTGCGTAGGGAAGGGAGTTTTACAAACTGGGTGTTAATAAGAAAAATTTATAAATATTCAAAGGTTTTTCATAATTCGGAAAAACTAGCTTATCGCAATCGATTCGTCAATACGAAGTTTTACTATTCAATATAGTTATCAAATATATATTGAGCATATAAAAAAAGATTATTCTGTACTCAGAGGAAATCTAAGATATGACTTTTTCTACTTTATATTTAAATATCAGATTAATAAAAACTGGAGTAGTGTATAAATGCCATGATAAAACAATCTCAATTAAAATATTGAACTAGTGAAATTTGCTTGGCATCATTTGTGTATAAATTTGTTTTTCATTATACAATTAAATGATTTATTTTTGTACAAAGTAAAAAGAACACAAATTAAATTTTGATTTTTTAAAATAACAGAAAGTTAGTTCACAACATGTTCTCCAGCGGTTTCAACTACGCTAGTATTCCTAATTTTTCTTGACTAACTCTCAAAAAGTGGTATGGAATATATGACAATCTTGTTTTAAAAATTCTAGCTTCTAGATTGAGAATTTGAAGAAGTTCTAATATAAGAAGCATTTTAAGTTACCTTTAATACAGGTATTAAAACATTTTAAATAGATGTACAAAGATGTAATTTTATATTCACATAACAGGTGTTATTAGCTTGTTTCAATTGAAATAGAAAATGTATAGTATTTTTCTTATACACGAGGTAATGCGGACTATAATTGTTTCGTAATTTACGCAGTGTAATAAGTAATAATATAATGATAGTCTACTTTTTTAACGAACTACTGCAGTCGATGAAGGGTGGTTAAATTATGCGAAGGAAAGTATACCATTTTTATTGCTTATTTACAAAATCTTTAGAAACTTTAGATTTCCACTTTATTCATTCATTATTTTTTTTTCATTCAAATATCTTTATAATTCAATGTTCAATAATTTACTTTCAATCGCAGCGATGGCTTTTTCAACTTCAAACTTGAATGTTATGTATTTTGGGTAGCTCTTTACAATAGCGGGTACTATTCTAGCGTTGTTCCATTTTTATAAAAAAGAAATATTAATTATCTACGAGTGGTTTCAACTGTTCAAGTATATACATGAATCTTGATTTATTTAAAGAAGGAGTTATTTTACACGCGGAGAAGTTTTGAATTAAAAAATTCAAAATGATCAGTAAGTAAAGATTAAGAATAAAAATTAAATATAACCTAATTTTTGAATTAATAAAATTAATGCTGAATCTTAAAATACTAATATTAGCTTCATTGTGTACACAATGTTTACAACGACTTGAAACCACTCGTTGGATTATAAAAACCGTTAACTAACATAAAGAAAAGCTGGAGATTGAGGAGCATTTGCCTGTACTAGTATTACTGACGATGGATTTATTTGTTTGATTTTAGACATTGAAAAAATATGATCCCTTATGCTTATGCTTATGTTTCACAATCATCTTAGACGAGCGGTTCGGATAAAGATTTTGCTTGGTTTATATAGATGTTTCATAATGATCTTATGAGAATCCAAGATGTAATTTTCGTTAGAAAACGTTACGAATGGATCTTTGGCTCGCCCGTTCTCTCCCTCTTTCTTATCCATAATTAACGGTACTCCTTTAATATGCTTGATCAGAATTCTCGTGCACGCTGTAAAAAAACGAGAGTCAATATTAGTACTAACTTCATTTTTAACATACTTGAAAATTATTATATTGATTTAATTTAAATTATCAATCAAACATATAATTTTTCTTCAATGGATCTAAAATTGCATCATGTTTTACACTGATTTGTTATGTCATTATTAATTATGCTAAGCATTTGCGAAGAACAATGGTTAGTTTTCCAAGACAAGCGAGATCGGTAGCAGGTGTGAACACGACGATTATAAGCAATCTTTGTAGGAAGATTAGTGATTTCTTGTTACATCTGGACTAGAACAACAAAATCACTAGTCTTCCATACAACGATACTCATACATTTCGAATAATTTCAAAATGCACTGAAGAACCCAAAGATAGGGAGTTGAATCACTTTTCCATTTCTTATTTTCTCTTCTTCTAGCGACTTATAGACTGTTAGTGTTTACATGTTAGTATGCATGATTTCATCATGAATAAATAAAAGGCAAAGACGTTAATATAAATACTAGATTTTTAGTATTTTCTAGAATTTTTTTAATTTAATAACAAAATAACCGGGTAATGGTTAAAACTATTAACAAATTTTAAATATTGTCTTCGACTTTTATTTTACATTTTCAATTCGTTAGTTCATTTTTTGCCACATATTATGGTTTAGGCACGTGACATTTCAAATGAAAAGCATTAAGATCATCTTTTAAAATATTATTTGTAGGATTTTTTATGTTACAAGCAAACATTTAAAATTGAAAGAATATTTTCACAATCATACAATTCATCATTTTTACTTGATACACAGGAATTTTAATCACATTAAATTAGTGTTTTAGAAAAATGCAGTTTCATTATAATGTAGTTTTAATGAGAAATATTAAAAATTAAAGGTGAGGTAACAAAAATATTATTTACCTTTGTTGCAAGAGAAACTGTGCCATTTGTATCTGGTTTGGCATACCAGTAATTGTGATAATGCGGTCATTACTACCAGGCAACGGCATATCGATAGTTATACCAGCGCCGCTTTCAGTACGAATTTTGCGGATTCGTGCACCTCCTTTGCCGATGATGGCTCCAGCAAGCTATAATAACGAGAAAAAAACGATAAAAATATTGTATTGAAAATTAAAAATTGGAGAAAAAAAAGTATAAAATCTTACATCAGTGGGAATCGTGACTTGAGTGCTGGTGACGTTGCCGCCTTGACCGCCTCCTTGTCCGCCACCTTGACCACCAATTCCACCTCCTCCTCCCATTCCACCGCCGCCTCCCATACCGCCGCCACCCATGCCTCCGCCACCCATGCCTCCACCGCCCATGCCTCCACCGCCCATGCCTCCTCCGCCCATGCCGCCTCCGCCCATTCCTCCACCACCCATTCCACCGCCACCCATTCCCATGTTACCACCGCCACCTCCCATGCCGTTGGAGTTTCCACCACCCCAACCATTTCCTAGAAAGATATAAAAGAAAGTTGAATAAATTTGTCGAATTTGGCGTTAATTAAATTACAATTGTTTATACCATTGTAGTTTCCACCACCTCCGCCTCCATTGCCTCCATAGTTAGGTGGAGGTCCACCGCGGTTGCTATTGTAACCTCCTTGGTTTCCACCACGATCTGGGCCGCCATAACCGCCAGGTGGTCCGCCTGGACCACCACGTCCACCGTAACCACCACGGTCTGGACCACCTGGTCCACCTGGGCCGCGGCCACCTGGACCGCCAGGCCCGCCGGGTCCGCCGGGTCCACGTCCACCCATGAAGCCTCCGCGGTTCATCGGAGGTCCATCAGGTGGGCCTGAGGGAGGACCTCGGAAATCTCCGCCACGGTCGCCTCGTGGTCCGCCACGGTTCATGCCACCTTGGTTGCCGCCACGGCCACCACCGAAACCTCCGGGCTTGCCACCACTGCCGCCACCTGCAGGCTGACCGTCGGGTCCAAAACCGCCGTATTCTTCAGCGAAGAATTCTTCATAATTTCTTGGGTCGTAAGGGTTGTTGATTCCTTTCAGCGGGGACTACAATAATTTTATAAACGTTAGTTTAAAAATCCTAAGGCACACATAATTAAAAAAAAATGTAACCGTAATGAACGGGTGCTTACAGTTTTGATGGTATTGATGAGTTCACGGATACAATCCATGACAACCTCAGCTTTGCCGGACACGCTGATGACACGGTCCGAGCTATGGGGACAGCAGTTCGAGTAGATCTTGATTCTCGCTCCAGTTTTCTGTAAATTAAAGTTAAAAATTCCTTTAGTTCATGTCGAATTCTCGCTTGCTTTTTATGAGGGATATGTTTCAAAAGCTTCAAAATTTCCTGAAGAAATGTTCGATGTATATAGGCATCGCGTGAGATTTAATCGTTAACTCGAATGAGTTTATAACAATCATTTTGTTCTTTTTATTTTTATTTTTAGTACTCCCTGTATCTTGTAATCAACTCCGCGCAAACTCACTATAGCGATTTAATAAGGGCTTGGAATTACTTGATCCACTTTTAATAGCTGGTAAATTCGGTTAAGCGAGAGTATAAAAAGCAAAGGAAAAATAAAGACTATCGTGGTACACGGTGCGCATAAACCTTAAGCATAAAAAAAAGAAAATTAATTTCAAAGGATAAATAATCCTCGTGATCTTCAGCTCAGGCGTGACGTACTCGCCGAGCGGAAAGCAATCGACGAATTTTGCGGGAGTTCATCGACATCGAAGTCGTGTGTTACGCGTTCCGCATACGCGGAGTTTGTATTCGCGACGATGCCGTCTTCATTGTAATTGCAGTAGCCAAAACCTGTACGCAAATCCTGGCTTCGTACGTAGGAAAATCTACTTGGCATGCATGAAACTTTGCAAGCCTATATATTTTCCTTCGGCTAAACGTTTCGGCAACGCCTATACGTCTTTGGCCTTATACTCCTCGTTTGAGAGTATCATAATGCTAGGTATATGGAAAGTTCACACATTCGTAAGACTGTCTTTCTGTGCAAATGAAGAGATCCGCTCGCAACATTGTAAGCTCATGAATTTTTTATGAAATTAGAACAGTCTCGTTGGTTACGGGAGCTTTTGTCACTCTTTTTCTCCGCAATAACATTTCAGTAGGTCGTTATTTTTCGAAGCAAGCGGTCATCTCGGTCGAAGCACGATTAGAGGACTCGCCTACGACTTAGTGCGTCGAGAATATAGTTTGTTTGTTTCAGCGATACCGCCATGTGAGTTGGTTTCAAAAGTTCATTAACTTTTTTTTTTTTTGACCTGATTCGCGAGATGAAAATACAAAAGGAACGGAAGTTGGTTGTTTCCGAGCAGTGGCTTTCGAGAAACTGCTCGGGTTTTCGGTATCGCATCGCCATTAAAGTTGCAATTATCACGTTTATTTTCACTGCTGTGCACTTGAAGCTCAAACCGTTTCATCATATTTTACCAAAAATGCATTCGATTCAGTTTTATCAAGGTTTTGCAGTGAACACCTCGCTGCTGCATCCGGACATTTAAGCAGTAAAATCAATTCGGTTCGTTTCCTCTCAATCGAAGCTTTGAGACGTCATTTTTATTAAATAAGTCTTAGTGCGACCTATTTTTACAGGTTTCTGTGAGTGCATGTGCGTACGTGAGTTTTCGTATAGGTGGTGTTTCATCAAATGCAAGTCTCGATAGTGATTGTGTAAGCGAATGCGTTTCATTTGTAATATCGTTCGATTTCTCTGTGAGAAAAAAGTGACTTGCAGCTTGTCGCGGCGCACGAATCATTTTCATTAACCTCTCCGAATGCTACTAAAAAATTACAAAAGTCCAAAAACGTTCAAAAATCCCCACTCGATTATTTAATACACCGAAAATTGTGGATACCAATGAGTGCTTGATTGTTAGTTTCAGTGAATATTGAAAAATGACTCGGAAATACGCAGTCAGCGAGGTGACAAAACACAACAATGGCAACGATTTGTGGATAGCTTTGCACGGCAAAGTTTACGATATTACGAAATTTCTAAAGGAACATCCCGGCGGCGAGGAGGTGCTTCTAAATCTTGCCGGTGCCGATGCTACCAAATGCTTCGACGAAGTCGGTCACTCGCAGGTATACTTTACAAGAATTTGTTCACGAAACGATTTATACATAAAAAAAAAAAGAAAAGTCATGATATAAGAAAAACATGTTTTACTTAGGAAGCAATACAGCTCAAAGACACGTTTGAAATTGGACAACTCGAGGGAACTTTTGAGGCCGAAGGCGCTGCAGCGGGTCCATCGATCGACGACGACGATTGGGAATACGAAGAACCGAAAAAAGAGTCCTCGCCATTTTTACCTGTATTCATTGGATTAGGTGTACTAGTTTACGCTTTTTTGTTTTATAATTTTTTTTACTGATTACAACAATAAAGTGGCGTGACTCGTATACCCTGTACTATATAATCAACTATCGACTGAAGTTTTTAGTAACTAATCAAATTATTGTATGCATGAGACTTTTTCCAGGATGTGTTTCAATCGCAAAATGTCAATAATGAATTTTTGCGTTGCGTTTAAGCTCGATAAGTTTGTGCAATAAATATTTAAAAATCCAATAAAGAATGAACTATTTTTTCATGTCATTTCAATTAAATCTTTGGCCATAATTTCAGTTACTTTTTAAAATTTCCTGCTGTATGATTCAAATCAGAAAAAGCTTTGAGTGCTTGGATAAAAAAAATAAAAAATAAAAAAATAAACGCTAGAACCGAGGAAACTAACATAGGATCGATTCGCACCGTGATATACATAGGTAAGTGATGAAATAGCTCGTGCATGTTTGAAACTTTTAATGCTTTTAAAGGCCATTTAAATGCGCCAAAGCGTTTGGGAGGCAGTAGTTGGCGCGCTAACTTTAAATGGAAATCGCTTTAATTTAATCATTACTTTCGGTCATTTAGATTATGTCCATTTGAGTGTCGTCCGTCTAGCTCAGTTGGCCGATACGCTTTTTTTTTAAATGCCTCATCATCTTTGTGAAATTGCCGAAGCACAGCGATCGAATAGGTTTGTATAGGCAAACAGGAAACTTTGAACAGCAACAATAAGTCTTTTTTTTTTTCAAGTAACGCAGTTTATATATGGAAAAATATGTTTACGTAAGACGAGAGAAAAGCAAGTTCGAGTAGCGACTTATCACTGACGTACATGACTGGGTGCGTGAACGAGCGAGCCACCGTCATTTCAATGCTAAATCTCATGGTAGGCTACCACGCGCATTTCAGACCTATTCTCTATAAGAGAGTGTGTTTCTATATTTTATCCACCCGGCGTATAAAAATCGAATCTCTGGAAAAGCGCACGAACGCGCATAGACTCGGACTGAGCCGCGGCGCAATACTTTGCCAAGTTATGATTGTCGTGCGCTCGGCTGACTCTCTTCGGTTCACTCGCACGCAGCAGCTATTACAAGGAGAATTGCATTGGCTGCGAGCGGTGCCGAGCGAAATATAACCACGTAATCGGCAGTTATCGATCACCTTTTCCGCAAAGCTGAATAATAATCGCCTGAGAATTGACTTTGGCGCGCGCGTGTGCGAGTGCTGCTCGCACTCCAAGGCAGATAAGCGTGGCAGCTCGCGCAGGCAATGTCAGCTGCGGCGCGACGCGGAGAGCACATTGAGAATCGGCATGTACGTACGATTGAAATAAAGCAGCAAGTCGTTGTGTCATGCCTCGTCGGTCGAGCAAACTCTCAGTCCACAAAGGTGGGAGTAAAAGAGGTTCAATCGCGTCGGGTGCATTTGCTCGCGCGAGTTATATGTGTCGTCGTCGTCGCTTCCATACAACTCGCAGCCGGTCCCCGTAGCAGCAGCGCTAGTCTCCATATTATTACGCCGAGCAAACTGCGCTACTGCCGCTGCTGCGGTAAGCCGTTCGGTGTATACTCGCAGAGATATATAGACGTATACGTAGGCCTCCGTCAGTCTCGCTTCTTCGTCGCTACAGACGATACACGTAACACGCGCGAGTGTGTACAAAGTCAGTCAGTCAATCGGTTGCTCGTATTTCGTTTTGTCGCTTATTTGGCACGATAACTCGGTAGGTACATAGCATCCACATCGTTTTCGCTGCATACGCCATAAGAGACTCGATATTCATTCATCTTAGCCCTTGTCCGGAGCAGGCCGCTCGAGTCGCCCGAAATCGAATAAACATTCCGTCGTTTTAGCAGACGCGGGTTCGCAAAGCTCCATCCAGTTTTTTTCATCATTACTCTAACGATCTTGAATGACGATCGCGACTAAAAATATCAATCCGGAAAATTGAGTCGAAAAACGCGAAAAGTGTCAACTCATGCTTACAGATAAAATTTTTGATAATATAAAATGGAGCACATCGCGCAGTATCAGTCGTGTGCAGTGCGTGTCTGTATACGTGTGTGCGTGCCTGCGTGGGGTGGGGTATGTAGCTATAGTATACACGAGCCAATAACGCGTAATTTGTACGATAGCGCGTGCAGCACTACATTACGTACCAGCACGCGCGTCTCTACCTATGCCAACAATTATTCGTAATTATGGAAATTAGACTAAGGTTTATCAGCTGCCGTCGCCCGAGTGCAGTTTTAGGAGTTAGAAAAGCCGACAGAGAGACGATTTCGTTCGGTCTTCCAAGCTTACATTTATATTTAGCGTGCTTCGAATGCGCCGTACAGTACAAAGTCGACGAACGAGTATATAAACACGCAGACGAGCGAATCGAGCACGATGGAATAGGTGACTGTCGTATACATTTGCCATTGCGACCTTGGTTCTAGTCGGCCGAGAGAGAGAGATGCACGGACGATGCCGGCATGCATTTTCCATATATATAAGTACCATATGCAATATGCATGCAGGCAACAAGACGCGCACCGATCCGCTACCGCATTAGCATGAGTTTTTCATCGGTATATAAGAATTATTATACGTGCAGATCTCCGTCGTTCATTTGACAATTTCTGCCTCGTCATAATTGACAATCTCTCGTTGTAACTGGGCATAATAGCGCGACCTCGCTTTTTTTATGTAAGTAGCCTTTTTTTCTAACGCGCAGAAGAACATTATTGCATTCTTCTGCTGTAAAATCATCGAATAATAGATGCGAAGTTTACGAAAATCTAGAACGAAGAGTACAGATCGAAAAACATGGCTTCATTTCTTGTCTTATCGTGTACACAAGAGACGCGCGCACAATATGTACGCCTTAAAAGGCGCACTGCTGCTCTCGCTGCTTTTTGTTGTTCCAACGAAAGAGCATGCCATCGTTGACAAGAATCAGCCGACTGATCTCGGAGTTCGTTTTTTTACATCGAGGAAACTACGCAGGCGGCGTCGTTGTGCAAACGAAGCTCGAGCGATGCCTCAATATCAAGGAAACAAACTTATCTAAGATTAAAACGAATGATTAATAACTGCCACACGCTCATACTGCGCACTTTTCTGCGATTATTTAATCGCCGATTGCGCGCACGCGTAACAGTTCGATCATAATAACGCGCGAGATTGGCGTTTGATAAACTTGTCCCCACCTCGATTTGCTCCTTAATGAAACTACTAATTGTCGCCTCGATAACCTAGAAAAATTGTACCTTGCAGGTTCGGCTTGAGAAGAGTCAACGAGACGCAAGGCATTTTACAAATAATCATTGAAAATGAGCGAAGAACAAAAAACGACGAGTGGCAAGAAGCAGTTCACTTTCGAGGAGGTGAAAAAAGCCAGCGAGGACAGGAAGCGCACCGTCTTCGTAATCAAGAACAATGTCTACGACGTGACGGAGTTCCTGAACGAGCATCCCGGCGGCGAGGAGATCCTCATGGACCACGGCGGCAAGGACGCGACCGAGGACTTCATCGACGTTGGCCACTCCACGGACGCGCTCGAGCTCATGAAGAAGTACCACCTCGGCGAGATCGTCGAGTCCGAGAGGCGGCCGGTCGTCGACAAGGAGAGCTGGGCCACCGGCGATCAGTTCGGCAAGCGCAAGGCCGACGAGTCCGAGTCGTCGTCCCCCGTCACCATGATCGTGGTCGCCGTCATAGCCATCTTGGTCTTCTTGCTCTACTTCTACAAGTGATGAACTAAGTAGCGTGTGTACGCGAGTGTGGCCGACGAATTTCGTCGTCCAGCGACATTTTGGAGCTTCTCCATTAACAGCAAACTCGCGCGGAGAGCTCCCACTCGGCACGATGGCCTCTCGATCGCCAGTCGACCAAATGTATTTGTATGTATTATCGATACGATTATCAGCGCGATTATTGAAAATACCAGTGATTTGTAATTGAAAACAGCCTCTGCACATGATATTCTTTTTAAAATATGTTCAAACGTATTAAAGTATCTTTCGAAGCATTTTGCAAGTTTATTAGCATGTTTTAACGAGAGTATAGTACATGTGCCAGAGTCAAGCTAGTGAAAGATTGTAATTTTCTGTCCAATTTATACATTTATACGTTGCAAATTTTCATGGTTTATACGGTGTATATTGATGTACTCATACATTTGTTCTTTCCAAAAATTTTACTACAAAAATAAGGTGTCGGTGGTGTAATGTTTTTACGACTCCATGATGAAAGAAACAATTGTTAAAAAACATTCCATGTCCATGTAGTTTTTACTCGAAATAAAATTACCACCATTGACTCCGTAAAAATTTGCTCACAAATAATTTAATAAAAAAAAAACGACGAAGCTCGTTATCGATGCTAATGTATCACATCGTGCGTTGTTTCGTACTGGCGCGCAAGGCTGCTTCCTTCCTCCATAATAATACATGCATACACAAATTTCATCGAAGCGAAAGATTTTAATAGTATATCGGCTGACAAGGAAGCACGCGACTCAAGTATACGCGCGAAATAATGATTTTAAATGTGAAAATATATTACGGATCATTGCAGCTTAGCGCAATGATCCTCTCATTTTTCTTCTTTCTTTCTCTCTTGATATTCTTTTTCTCCGGCTCCTTTCTCTCTCTCTCCCTTTCTCTACGTGCTTTCAAATTTTTACTCTTTACTCTTCGGAACCTTTTTCTATATGGGAAGAAAACGAGTTAGCTATTGTATTTTCTCGACGTGCATTGTGTATGTGGAAGCCTCCGTTCCGCGAGAACCCGTTTTCATTAAGAATCTTTCGCACGCCTTACAATGCGCTGCACTGGCTCAACGTGTTATGAGTGCGTGCGTGCGTTCGTTTCTTTGCTGAAAAGTACAGGGCTCGTTACAGGACTCCGCACGGGTAACGAGATTTTGAATTTTCAGTTTACTACTATATAAATAGTCAAGTGCACTTTTCGAAAAATCGTACGAATAAACATCTAGCGATAATACATCGAAATGAAATCTCTCATACTCTGACAATGGTAAGGCAAAATTTAGCCCTTATAAGACCGACATTGGAGAAAGTACTTTTTTCTGTAGAAAAATTATCTGAGGCCTATAACATTTCATCAAACTGATGGCAAATACTTGGAGTTCAACAACCTTACAGTACGTATCCCAGTTCGTCACAGTAAAAACACATCACTTTAATAAAAAATTTGAACTCCATATTTCTCCTATATTTTATATATCCATAATAATAGGGGATTGTTTTGCAATAGTGTCAGTTTGCAGCCCGAGCGTAGCGAGGGTTGCATTGACATCGAGTGCAAGATTGACAACCGCCTCAGTTGCGTATAGTACTTTTCATCATCGAGTGCAGGAAGTCGATTTTAAGATTTTCCCGCACGAATGATGAAAAGGTTAATTCCACAAAGGACAGCGGAATGTATGAATTAAAATTTATAACGATTTGATTAATTATCAGAAAGATCAAATTTAATTTTGATAATTCATACGCATAAATGTGTTATGAATTCCAATAAAATATACCTTCCTGTTTTGAACGTATGCTGCTTTATTAATATTTTCTGTAGAATTAGCAAACTGCAAAAATAAGTTTTGATTTTCTGTCACTAGTTGATAGCTGTATGCGATATAGTCTAAAATTGCCATGTACGGGAATGAAAATGTCTACGTGTACTCATTCCTCATTCTTTGTAAATTTACAATTTGACCGCGTGCACATCTGATTTTGTATTCAGCTAGTCTTGGGAAAAGTAAATGTGCGCACGGCAGCATCAAGCGGAGTATATGTATCGCTTTCTGAATGACTGACGCTTTGGTGCAGTTCATACACGAGTTTGCCCGGAAACAAGCGCGCGAACATGCGTTCTGGCATTGAGTGGGTAAAACGGGAAGCAGATGCTACGATTAACAGGAAGGTTATGCGGTCTTCCGCAGAGCCCTTTTCGCGACGGCGTAATATACGAATCTACACACACGGCCCGTTAATTGTACGCTGTGGTAATATTGACGCTCAGGCTAGTTGAAAGGAAAAATTGTTTCTTTTTTCCTCCGTTATGTTTCTTCTTTCGTCGACTTTTCGCCACACGCGACGTGATCAGAGAAATTGCGTATGATTTACGATGGGGGGTCATATTTTCATTTGAGTAAAAAAGAGTTGTGAATTATAAAATCAATGTACAATAGCACGGATGATTTATTCATCAAAAATGAATAAACTGCGAGATAAATAAATTCGTTGATAAGAAATTCAATGAGATCGACGATAGGATAAATCAGTGGAAATTATATTATTTCAAGCGGTCCTTAAAAACGTTGAAATTTAATATTAAAGATATGTAAAACCAAAGATACTTAGACATGCTAAAAATTCTGCTCCATGACTCAAAAGTAAAGAGGCGAAAAAATAGTGGCTCCCCGGAGGCGTTTTCGAAGTATAATATTCTCGAGAGATTTTCTAAGCAAGTAGTTCGCTTAAGGGTTATCACGTATTTTCAAACAACAGATGTTACATACATATAAACTGGTATTTTTAGTTTTTTATTTTTCAACTTAATTGTTTGCTTTTGTAATATTTTATTTAAACAAAAAAATGGTTAAAAATAAAATATTTTTTAAAGAAAATTAAATGAATCAAAAGAAAAGGTAATAAAAAGAAGTGGATTTTCCAAATTCTAAATAAGGATCATGGGATTAGAAATAACGATATCAGATTTTTATACGAGTATTAATTTTGAAAACATTTTTCTTCCGAGCTAAGACGCTGCAGCGAAGAGACGTTTAATGCGATCGCCCCTCTCTATCTCTTTACTTTGATGTATGTGAAGAAAGCAGACACAGAGCAGAGAGCCATTCACGTGCAGCTTTGTCCAGCTTAATTATGAAAAGGGGAAGAGAGCCAGATGTAGATAGCGAGTAAATGTGTATGCTACGTGAGACAGAGTGGCATAACGTAGGCGCGTTTTTTCATCAGCTGCTCTAGAATAAGTTTGGGCTTTTTCATAACATTACTGGTTAGAAGCTATCAAATCGAGTCTTTTTTGTTCCAAGAGAGAGCTTCGATGAACATCCCATCATTTGAAACACAGTCGCTCGGTTAATTTCCGAACAAGCTCGCGAGGTGCGCTGCCATTCAAGGGTTTTTCTCGCGTTTCACAATGCTTTTTTACATCGCACTCGATGCACGTGCACTGCGAGCTCGTCCAACTGTGCTGGGGCTATTATGCATTCATACATACAGCAGCGAGTTTTGCCAGGTTCGCATTTGCCACCGCACAGAGTGCTGAAGTCTTTGCAATCTACCCCTTTTTCAAACAACAAACGCTTATGGGAAAGAAAATATGAGGAAGGAAAGAGAGCGAGGAGTTCGTGCAAAATTGCTCGAGTTGTTAACTTGATGAAGTAAGGTAAATCGAGGGTAAACTGCATGTGGGGCAGTGTGTACATTTCTACACTGCTCTCAAAGCTCTCTCGACATAACGCGTAAAAATTTAATCGTCGTTTGAATAAGAAAAAAAAGCTCGCGGAGAATTTTTCGGAAAATTAGTCAATTAAATAAAGAAAGAGTCGATTGAATTCCAGAGGTTAACTCACCGACTGCCATGGCCAATGATCACGGCAGTTTTCAGTCCTCTTGTCGACTCCATGGAATCTTTCACTTGTGTTACTCGTTGTCGGTCTACAAAGTCGAGACCGTACAAACAACAAAGAACGAAGTTAACTCGGTCGCAGTTGCTCGTCAACTGAGGCCAAGTAGCATGCGCGGCAGGGCCCTTAGGTCCCTACGGACTCTCACAGCAGGTCTGACCGAGGGCCTTGAGGCCACGGAGTGGGGTGTGCAAGCTGCAACGGAGCTACGCACATACACACACACACACACACACGCACGCACGCACGCGCACATGTCGACAATTTTACTGCTGTATTACATAATGTTTCTACTGGGCAATGTTTTAACTAGATATTATCTACTTTTTCGTGTATTATTTATTTTTTTTTTTATTAAGAAATGGCTATTTAAATTTGATTTTCAGACTCTTAGTGTGTTTCACATAGATACATTTTCAGTAAAGCCAGTTCTTTGTCGAAGCCAAATTGAAAGATGTGTAAAAAGTATCGCGGCAAAAATAGATACAAGCATTGTGTGCTATCAAAGCATACAGTTTTTGGTAATTACAATCATTTTTCAACTTGATCATTAATAACAAGAAAATTAATAATTTTATGAAAACATTTGGTTATACCCTCATTCATCATGTCAGCGGGCATTGTATAAAGTCCCTCGTAAAGGTGTGCGCCAGATATTCGACATAAAAAATGCCTCGCAGCATTCACAAGCATCCTTTTGCACGAATGAAACTTCAACGAGTAAAAAGGGCTATTCATATACAAATAGGCCATGGGAATCGTCCGAAGAATGAAAAAAAAAATTCGAGTAAGAAGTTTCACGAAGTCGCTGAGTGAACGGATGCTCGACTTTTGTCTGTCCGAATCACGTGAATCGACTACTGCCACCGCTGCTGCTGTTGCTCTTTTACTGTAATAGACAGTACACAAACAGAAGCGCGACTGACCCTTCTCGAGTCGTGTGATGTTTACGAGTCTTTAAATTCAACAATGGTGCTGCAGCTCCATTTATGAACGAATATCGTACTTGACTTTTTTCGAAAAAAATGAATAATATCATTTATCTATAGGGTACAATTTATTTATACGATAAATTATAAAAAGCAATTAAAAAACGTAACCAGAGTGATTAAGGAGATGGGAATTGCATTATAAAATTATTGAGATCGGCAGTAAGAAATTTCGGATGCTTGCGTAATGCAAAAGCTATGAGAAAAAAAAGTAAAAAATCCATCAAGATATATTTTGGAATAATCTGAAGCAAGCGATTTCCTGCTTCGCTATAAGGCCGCTAAAAGCGTATTATTCAAGATGCCGGCTGCAAGCGTCTAGCCTAGAAGTTGGCATAACAAAGCCACGACGGAGGAACCAAGAGAGCGAAACGAGAGGGAGGCTACAGACTTCAAGGAGCCTGCGAGCGTGTGAGTGTGTGCGGAGTGGCCACTGTGCAGCTCGATGAAAGACGCTGCTGCACGCGCGCATCATCCTAGGCATGTATACAGGGGAGACTGCTGCTGCTGCTGCTGCTGCACGAGGGAAACGAGCCACGCGTCTAGGTTTTTTTTCTCGAGCCAAGGATGCTTTATTACTTTACACTCTTATGAAAAAGATCTCTGATGATAGTGAACACCTCAGGGACGAGACAGATATTGCTCCAGCTTTTACATTTCAAAATTATTCAACTTTTTCATTTGTTGTTTCGTGTAAGCAAGAGGCTCGGCATTAATATAAAGCATATTAACCAATATACTTTCTACGAGTTTTCAGCTTGTTTAAAGTCCGGCGTTACTTTTACTTTGATAATGTGTATAATAAATCGTAGAGTTAAATTTAATAGACAGAAACGTAGAAGAACACGCGCGTTTAATGGTTCTACGGACCTTTTGAGCTAGCGACTGAAATGGAAAAGGATGTTAACCTACTTTTAAGTGAATCGTTATATCGTTCAAGTTTTAATCTTTTTTTTTTTAGAATTTTATAAAACTCGCCTTCAAGCAGTATTTATTCCAAGTATAATGGCATTTTTTCCTCAATAACAATTAACTTCTCGCTTTTTCACAATATTCGGTAGCAATCCTTAAGGCTCTTTGTTTAGTGATTGTTGATCGAGTTCTCGTATAGAATATTATATTTGTTAACTTCGGAGCCATTGAGCAATTTATATCGGCCTTGGAGCAATTCAATCAGTCACGAAGTACACAAGCTAAAGCATCTCCCTATTGACGTGAGTGCAGGGTCTATACATTGGCAACAGCAACAGCAGCAGCAGCAGTAACAACAGTCAGAGACGAAAGGCGGGCACGAGCACACCTGGCAGTGTAGCTGCCGGCAGCTGTTGCTATATACCGGCGCGTCCGTTACCTGAAACAGCAGCAGCAGCAGCAGCTCACATACACACGATGAACACTCATTTAATGCATGAAAGAAAAAGTTAAAGACGAGGGAGAACACCTGTTTGAAAAAGAGCGCGCGAGGCCACAATATGTCGTCGAGAATTCGCGCCAACCTCTACTGACCATGCAGCCCGTACATATATTATTACAGGCATTGGACCAACCATTCCTTTCTTTGCGCTGTATACAAATGTAAATAATACGTGCCCTCGTGTGCAGCATATTTTCGTAAGATTCAAAATCAGCTGGTTTGGAAGAGTACATAGAATTGGCTTACTCGTAAATGCGTCGGTAGAAACGATGTCCGAGTTACCAGCGAACGATACTTCGGCAGAGCTATCTTTTGCGAAGCTCGCCAATTGATTCGATTATTTCGTACAAATGTGTAATCGATTCAATTTGAATTCATGAGTATACGATTTCGCGGAAAAGCTCGAGATATATTCAGCTTATATGGCACAGCGCCAACCAACTGATTCGTGAAGAATCGTAGGCGTCGTTGCTGCAGATCAAAGACGAGTTAGTTTCGACCAACAAAGTGTTCATTCACTAAAATGTGCATAGTTCCACGACAGTCCCGCGCGACGTACACTAAACAAGTTGAGCATCACTCGCCAAATATATGTGTACGCACGCGTCGTATAGATGCTCTGGCGAGGCTAAACTGCACTCGCCACTCATTATTCATCTTTGAACGAACCGAAGACATCGCGAGCTGAGATATTCGTCGCCTCCGGGGCGCTCGAATGTTTTAAATCGTTTAGTCAAACGAAAATGCTTCGCTATTAGCTTAATTGAAAGTTTTCACTTAAGTAAAAATCGATTTTAGACTTAATTAAAAATTGTATCTAAAAATGAGGGCACAGCTTCACCATGATTCGACTAAGAATCTTAGATAATTCAGTCTTGGCTGTTTTTTGATCTTATTATCTTTGATAACAAAAATAAGTTCACTTAATTATCGACTGAAAACACTTATCCAAAGTGCTGAATAATGGAAAAGATGTGTAGCAAACGCGTTTGAACAAGTCTTTATGTCTGTATACTTTTATAGGCCTATGTACATAAGTACTATATATATAAATAGTAGAGCAGAGAAAAAGGGAGAGAAAAGAGAAAAAGTAAAGTGCAGCGGTAGAAAATGCACCCCCTGCATCGAAAGTCGAGCAGGCGGGCGCCAACTAGTCGTTCGCGTCGCGTGCACACACAGTTACCCGACTCACTTTCGTGGAATTGATTCGCCCTGTGTGTCGCTCTATACCTACTACTGTTCATGTTTATTACAAAAAGAGAGAGAAAGAAAAAAAAACATCAAGCACAAACGTATATATAAAGTAACGCTAGGATAGCGTGAAATCTAATTCTACGGCAAACTGGAACTCCGAGAGACATAAAGCATAATGAAAGGAATAAGTACGTTATAAGCCGAATATTGTCACCTCACGAAATTTTCGCAAAGGATATTCCGTGCCGAACTCAAATTTCAATCTTGTTGAATTTACCATCCCTCGTCAGCGCAGTGGCGGGCGGCGACGACGACATCGACAACAATTTTCTTATCACTTCGGCTTCCTAACCGGATTTCACGGCTGATCGACACGCAGCAGCGCGTATACACGTATCTCTTGTTCGTCGCCAACCTCCCTCGCGACGACGCCATTTCTTACCACATCTCCCTTTCGCGTCTGCATCAACTCCTCAAGATGATGACGACGACACCCAGACGGAGACAACGGCGGCGATGAAGGCGGCCCTATTACAATGGTCTATTTTGCGGCAATGTAAAGAAACTTTAACGCTTTTCGTGACCGATAAAATTTTCTCGGGGAAGTGGATTTTTTGCATTTGTAGTCGCGTCGTATCATGTGATCAAATTTTAATCGAAAAACGCTTAGCATAATATAAAATCATATAAAGAAATTAGCATTATCTTAACAGTCGAAGCCATTTCCGGTATCGTTCTAACAACAAAAGCTGAGATATTTCCTATACATTTCGTCTTGATACTATAAAAGAGTGTGAGCTCACGCGATAGATTAGACCACGTACAACGTGACTGAGTAGCTGCAGCGCTACTTTGTACTTTCATATATATATGTGACCTTTGTATCGAGTTTGTCTCGATCGTACAATGACACCGTCGCTATTGTGCATTAGAATGCCTACACATTTAACGAGAACGAAAAAGTACAATTTCGAGAGATTTTATACTTTATTTCTTAAGAAGATCCGTACTTCAGCTGAAAATTTGAATTTTGAACTGGGGTACGGATCACCTTAAATTTATTATTGTTTCATTTCTAATAATTCGGATAATTGTATCTGAACACGAAGTTGCTCAATTAGTGGCAAATTACGGTCATTTCATTGTTTATTCTGTTACTACACATGTAACATATGTTTAACGAGCCTTTCTACTCTTTTATATATAAACATAAAAAGTTTCGGCTCCAAGCTAACTCGAGGATTTACGAGACTCCTGGGTCCTATTTTCGCGAAACGTTACATCCTCCAAAGCATTAAGACGAAAGCTCTGGGATTTCTCCGATGGACGATATAAACTTGAACGACGTTCTCGAATTATAAAGCTCGATACAACATTTACCAATGCGTCAAAATTTTCAACAAATACACTTTTCATATTTATCTATTCAGAATTTTACATTCAACGGGTACAGGAACTTTTTGAAGCTTTTAGATTATTGCTTTGCAAACAGATCGTAATGTTAATTTTTAAACCTACCTCACGGAGTTCCTTAATCTTGCCGCCGCCTTTACCAATGACGCAACCAGCTTGGCTCTGATGTACCAGCATACGCAAGTCAAGATCAGCTTCATTTCCATTCTTAGGACTGCTCTGTATTTGGAAAAAGGATATTAGCAATTCAAATTCAATATAAAAATATAATTGTTAACTAAATTGAAATTTACCTCTTCGAGTTTAGGTATAAGCTCGTTTAGAATAGTAAGAGCCTGCTCCAAGTCCGAACTGATGGTCAGTATCCTAAAATCAAAATAAATCAGTGAGGTTTTTTTTGTCTGTGAAAGCAAATTTAGCGACAGGAGGTGATTTCAGGGGTCAAAGCATAAAAACTGTGGCGAATCGTCGAAAACTAAGCTTGTTGACGAAGTAAAAAATGTATACAGATAAAAAATTACTAGTGATAAAATTCAAAACCTTAAAGGTTGTTGGGAATACTCAAGATAATTTTTTACCAGTTTTACTTATAAATTACAAAGTGGTATTACAAATTTACCATTGGATCAAAGGTTTCGAAAAATTGTACGTTGCATATTAAAACAGGAGCATATGTATGTTACGTTTGAATAAGGTTTTGTTTAAAAAATGAACGGTAACTCTTAGTCTGTTAACGAGACTTGACCTCGGGAAACCTTTTTAGCTCTGTGAGCGCTAATAATGATCCTGATATCTGAAGTTGGAGTTAACTTATTCATTAAAAGGGCAATTTACTACCTCTGGTAAAAGTTTTAATTTCGGCGATATATTTTAACGTTGTATCCGTACAAGCTCGTCTGTAAAAATTCTTCAGAAGTAATAATTATTAGTCATGAATGAAAGTATTTTTATTTACTCTCGTTTAGAGCCATTCAATTTTTTATCATGCAGTTCATAAAATTTGCGAATGAAATAATTTATCAATAGTAAAAATACTTTCAACACATTTCATTTAAACTTATAATTAAAAACCTTAATAGTATTGTCTATAACATATTGAACTGCCTTTTTACTAAATAACCATTATGATTAGTGAATAATGAGAGGTTTACACGAAATTATGAGCATTCCGTTTGGACTGAGTATCATTAGCTCAAAGCTTATTTGCATTTATCGCATGAATTAGTTAATCGGTGTGCTTTTGGATTATTTACAAAAATAAGCAGTTACCACCAATAAACGCATACATAAAAATCGAGGCAGTTTGTCGTAAAACTATATTTGATGACTTTCATCAAATCATCTGGATAATAATATTTATATATTTTGTTCGGTAAGGGAACTTCATAGTTCGGTATAAATCTCAGATTGGAGCAAATCGCATTGAGAATGAAAGAGACCACCTTTTATTAAAAGGAAATAAAAGGGTGAAATCTCTCGTACCAACTTTTTCGACGTTTAAACTGAAAATTATGAGATACGCTATAGCTTCAACAAGTAATGAGTCAGAGAAGAAGAATGAGTTCGTAGATGCTGCATACGTATGGAATAATTTTTGAATTTGCTGCAAAAAATGATAGTTTTGGAGACCACAGAAAACTTTTAGAGGGTTTTTGGCAAATAAACCTGTCGATTGAATATTTATGTTACAGAATGAATCATTTGAGATCAAAATATTTCTTTTGAAAATTCAAGAGTAAGTGAAAAAGCAAGAAAGTATGAATCTACATCAATGCCTTATGATTTGTATTGTTGTACGAAAATTGAATGAACAATGAAATCAATTGTCCTGAGACCAGTTTCGTGGTAATATTTCAGTGTATTTTTTCGCTTATTTCGGCTTAAATAATGTATTGAATGAATCTTTGATAGATAAACATGAGTTAAAAAACATCGTCAAAGATTGAATAAAATATGTATGACTAAAAATAGACATCTTTGATGGAAATAGTTATCTTACCTTTTTAATTCATATTAAGAAAAAAATGTTTATATTTCCATCAAAGAAAAAGCTAATATTCGCGAACAATTTTTAAAAATAAGAAAACAACCATTACATATCGTAACAGCGATAATATTTTTTGTAAAAATCATAACATAATCGAAATCATTATTTAATCTATCTTTTCCTTATTAAAGCTCCATTACAAAAAAGAAAAAGTTAAAATAAAAAATCTAGTATATAATGATGTAAATACCATTGTATAATTGTAATATAATGAGAGAAAAATTAGCGAAAAGAGAATTAGAAACATTAAAGTAGTGGTGTTTTGGCATTACCGTTCGGGTCCATAACAATCGGGTACAGTGATTGAGGCTTTGTACTGTTGGGCACAGAAGTAAGCGACACATCGGTGGCATTGTTGGAGTGGCATACACAGTTGTTTGGTGATATTCATTGTTCATTGGCGTGGTAGTTGGTTGATTGGTAGTTGGTGGTGGGCGAGGTGGTTGTGTGCGTGGTCCCACAGTTCGGTTTTTTTCAGGCAGTTCAGGTTCCAGAGTTCAGGTCACAGGATACGGTGTTGTTGTTGGGTTCAACAACAACGCACAACCCCGTCGTTGTGTCGTATCAACAACACACACGGGACAAGCGGCATCATCGGGGTCATCGGGGCGGGGCCAGGGCACAAATCATATTCAACCAAGTTAGATAACCACCTCATACAGCAAGTAGTACAACGCCGTGCTCCGCAATTAAGTACAGAGACGCGCGTATGTTTTTTCTTTGCTTTTTTTACAATCTAAATTCTTGTATTTTTCTGATTTTCGTGAAGAACTTACTAACTAACACAGACATACCAAAGCAGGTTTGTCTTTTGCAAATTTTTTTGGAGATCGGTCGTTTACAGTTCTTTTCGAATTTCCATCTGGCAAATCGATCCAAATCAATTTTCCTATTAGGACTGATGGTTACGTCGCAGACTCGTATTTGCAGGAATGTATAAATATAGGCCTACACGGACAAACGCTAATTTGGCCTAACAACGCTTGGACAATATGGTGGTAATGCACATGTCACATATGCACATAATGCACTGATTGATGGTCAGAGTGAAAATAAAAACTGTTCAGGCAATCAGGACGTGTCAGGAGCCTCATTTTTTATAATCTCAACAGAAAATCGATTTGCATCAGATGTAAAATCGTAAAGTACTGTAGTTTACATTGTGAATAGACAATTCGACTCAATTATCAATAAACAAGTTCTTATGTAAATAAGTAACAAGGTCTAAGCTACAACATAAAATCTCTAAGTTTTTAATACAAGTGAAAAATAATAAAAAATGATACGTCAAGAAATAGTAAAATCCTTATGTAGGTGCTGGAAACTGGTAAAAAAAGAATGTTAAATGAAAATACAGGGAATTTATATTTGACTGTATGACGCAGCATTTTTCACCATTATAAACCGATCCCCAAAGTGATGAAAGTTAGACATATAAGAATAAAGTGCACGACGTGTTTCATTATTTCAAAGGCTCTCGTATAAAAAATATATATTACCACCCTCTACGATTCCCAGCGCTTTTCAAATAGGGGAAAGGTAATGATGGTTAGTGGGTATAATTATTTTTTCTCCAATATCGATTCAGGTGTTTTTCGTTTTATTTTTTGGCGAATGCAAATACGTGAAAAAATTTATTTTTCTCAAACGTCGAAGTATTATTGCACTAAAGTAATCACTAGAAAGCGGTACCAAGATTGTTATTTGAGGTATTGGAAAAGAAAACGAAAACGAAGGTGTGTCACCGTAATACTACTACCTCGTGGTAAAATGAATGCTTTGAAAAAGATACCAAAATATAATACGTGTTTATAGCTAGTACGAATTTAGTCATGTGTGCATGAGTGTGGGTGAGCGAAAATATACTAGATGTAGCACGGTGGTGCACGCGTGCTGCTCGTTTGCCAACGTACAATATGTCGATGCTTTGTACAAAACGTACATGCACCCCTAATATATATTATAAGTAGAGGCCACTTTGGATACTACCCATTATTGCACGCACTACTGTGTATAACTGTCGTGAGGATAATATCTATACTATTCCGGTAATTTTGCACTTTTTTGTTAGGTTGAAAAGTGCAATAAAAAGATTTTTGGACGCATGTGTCACGAAAGAAAAAATTGCAAAATATAGATTGATATTGAGTAAATGTAACGAAGAATGTGTGTACATAACGAGCAAGAATACACAACGAAGTATTGAGTTACGGTGAAATGGAAATTCTAATTAGAAATAGTCAGCACAAACAGGAAATAATTATGTAATGGTAGATGTTTTTATCTTTGCTATACAATTTTTGAACAACAATTTTCGTTATTTGTCAAAAATAATTATTATTAACCCATTTTTGATATTGCGCACATTTTCTTTTAAAATTTCTAGGAATCAAGGTTGTTTTCATAAATTACAAGTAAATATTAAAAAAAAATCTTCGATAAAAACAAAAATTTGACGTAACGGATTTCAGAAATCAAGCTATTACTTTTTGTAGATAACGGCCAATTTTTCATTAAGCGGAGAATCAATTATTGCAAATTTCCCGGAGTTCAAACATTAATCTGGCTTTACTTTTTTACAAGTGTTGTATCAGCTATATATGTTTTTTTTTACTTTTTTCATGCATTATACCCACACTCACGCACATTTTGTTTAAATAAAGATAAAGAATAGGAAAACTGGGGAAGGGTAGTTTCGTAGAACGGATTCAAGCGCTAATCAGCCTTATTATTTTTTTTAAAATCTTTGACCTTTTAAGGATATTTTTCATGATTATATCTAAGGAGAGCGATTCAAGTTAAAAAAAAAAATTAATAGATTCTTTATCTCTTTTTTCTTACCTGACTGCGGAGCTTGGCGATATTTTGACCTCCACGTCCAATTATTGATCCAGCAATCTGTAAATAAAGAAAATAATCAGCAATAAGTATATATGTCAAATATTTATAATTATAGAAAGTTTATAAAAGTTCGATTGAATGAGAATATAAAGCAGCCATACACCGACTTTTCTTCAACAGATGAATCCATAAAAAAGGAACTTAATTAGACTCTAAATCACAAATGGAGTATGCACAAGTAGAACTCTATGCTATATAACACAAGCTATGGCTCTTTGCAGAAAATACGAGTCGGTATTTGTATTAATAAACAAAAAACTAATGACTAAATATTGCAATTATCAAGATAATGTTTTAATTTTAATAACTTAAATTTCTTAGTGAAATATTTTTGAACTTTCAAAAATACGATATTTCTATATAAGTAGAGATTATATTATTTTAACAATAATTTTACCGAATGCAAAGTTTAACAAAAAATAAACATCGCATCAATACAAATTATGACGAAGTATGCAAACTTCAACGTTTTTATTTTTATTTTAAAGGTTCGTGTAAGTCGTCGCGCGAGTCGTTTAAGCTCATCGGAACTTACTGTACAGCGAATAGAGGTACAACAAACTCATAAGCGTAATTACTCCGATCCTCTATTCGCGATAAACTTCGACTCTGGGAACAGCCTGAATATTCTCTGTGGATGAATAGCACCACTGGTAATTTTTATCGATGTTACTTTTCTTTATAAGACCAAGGTACACAAATTGTAGTGCGACATTCAGGTCGTTCGTTATGTGTTATAAACACGAAACGGAAAATGGTCAAATGTAGCTCCCACACCTTTGTGACAGAGCCTTACATAAGTATCGGTGATGTAAGCCACGGTTACACGCCGTTAGACGTTTCGTCATGCAAAACAACTTGGGCGTTACATTCAAGTTCAATTGCTTGACGCATCTCTTTATGATCGGTCACATCGCGAAATTATCTTAGTCGTTAGAAATTTATTGTTTTGAAGTAACAATTTTTAATCTTTAAAGTGAAATACTATAAGTTGAATGTTAACTAATTCAATAATTAAATAAAATAAAAATATTTTAATTTTCACAAAGGCAATGATGAATATTAAATCATGAAAATTTAAAATAACAGAGTAACATTCAAAACAACTGTATATCGAGTCTTTGATCACGATTGTATGTATCTACGTAAACGCAGCATCGCAACGTTATAAATTGTATCTCTTTGCGCATTTGCACGCAACAAACTGCAGAACGAGTTTTTTTTATGTGTATTACCATACAGCAACACCATTAATGCCGTAACTCCGCACGCATAGAAATCTTCTGCAGCTATACGGTTTGTCTACCGTATTCGCGAGTCAGGATAATACACTATGGAATTATGTATATTTTGTACAACTTATTCAGAAATGCATAATGCAATTGTCGTTACAAACAGAAGATTACACACACGCTGGTGTAAAATTTATCGTTTCTTTCTGCTGATTTATAGCTTTGAAACGATGTCCCATACTCAGGAATGCATCAAGCACAGAAAGAATTAATCTGACAGAGAATATAGCTGTCAGAATTAAAAGATCGAAACGTTTGCTCTGTCGAAACTCTAATGTTTTGATATTATTTTCACGAATGCACAATTTACGAGGAACACTGAAATTGGCAATATTACTAGCAAAAACTTGCATACATACCACGTGCATATATCACCAAAAAATTATTCGGTGCTCTCTGCTTTTTCCACCGCGTATCTCGGGTATGTACACAAATCGTAGAATCATTCGATATGTTCATGGGAGCTTTAGATGCTTCGTGAAACTTAGAAGGAAATTCAAATTTGAGTTCAGTCAGTCGACATGATTACATAATATTTGTAATTTTGGTAATGCTCGGAGAGAAAAGTTTGCAGCTCTGCAGATATCTAACTGCAGTCAAAGTTTTTACACTCGCTTTCGAGTTTTGGAATATAAGCGAGGCTTGTTATAATATGTGCAGAAGCTGCGAGGCTAGAACGTCTTATTCGATAGATAAAATCGAAACTCATTGTTTCCTCCGATGAATTTCCCGCTGGAGATCTCTTTTCCTCTCCTTTGCGGCTCTGAGTCTCTCGAGAGAAGCTTGCAAAGACGATCGCGAAGAAAGAGGTAATAAAAGAAAACGTGTGTTCGCCTAGGAAATGTATAAGTCTTGTGGCTCACGGTATCGCACAATGACCGGAAGTCAATACAGCTCTGCTGGGTCTTGAGCTCATGTAAAAATTAGTACCGTTGCATCGACGTTTTCTGCCTATTATCATCTCATCAAAATTCTTATCACTGATACTATTGACGAACTCTTGAAAAAAAAAAGGTCATGCAAAATCACTCGTACAAAAACTTATTTGGCTTTCGAGCATATCACTCGACCTCTTATATTTACAGGCAGACTATTACTGTAGCGGTAGAGGGGGTGTCAGCAATTGCCATTAATTGAATAAATCGAAAAAATCAGCAGGAATAATTTTGAGAAGCTCGAAAGCCCACGAAGATTGAAACGTTCAAGAGCGCTAAAGTACCGAAATTGTGCGCAGTGCAATTGTCAGCGAATCCGAGTCGAGTTGACCTGTTTCGAATTTACCGAGTGAAAAAAAAGTGCAATACTCACTCTGCTTGGAATAAGGAATCTTAATTCCTCATCGCCCTGTCTGTAGCGCTTATTGGGAGCGGGGCCTCCAGGGCCACCTCCGGGTGCATCTGCCTCACGCTTCATTTTTCTGAAACACAAAATTCCAAATTATTATCATTTAAATTCTAACAATCTGTTTCAATTACTTTTAGTTGGAAAAGTTAATGAGAAACGTCGAATATTTAATCTAGTGAAAATGATAATAGAATTTTTTTTATATAATATGCATCTTTTTTTATAATCTTAATATAATACATTTTAAATTAATATGAAATGCACAAGCATTAAACTGAACATTTAAAGCATGGGACTTATTTGAGGGTGAGCACGGACGTGTAACACGCAAGGAAATAAATCCTTGATGCTTTCAAAACTTTTTAAATCGATTTGAAAATTTCCAACTGACACTATGTAAGAGCCAAAAAAGATATGAATTAACTTTGCAGTGAATCATAATAGCTATCATTGTTGTAAGTATGAGTCACGAGCACTGGGTATGCAAATATGCTATTTGTGAGAGAGCTATTATTCTGATAGGGTGCAACTGAGAACATGGTTGACTACATGTGACAATTATATCAAGTGGTGTTCAAAAAGAAAGCTTGGAAATTCGTAACAATAGTTCACGAAGATGTATTTCTCTCGCTTCGATGAAACTTATTAGCGTCAATCAAAACGCCACTTATCGAAGAGTCTTGCTAAAATAATTGCATTATATACCTCCAAGTCTTTGGCCATTAAGAAAGTGTACAGCTCTCATTAGAGTCTAAAACAGTAGAAAAATCTAACAGAAAGAACGAGAGAGAAAGAAACAAGTTATCGGTGCAGAAACGAAGCGAAAGATCCCCGCTGACTGCAGAAGAATGTATAGACGAGAGGAGTCACGAAGTCGCACAATGTCGATGGCTCGACGTCGACGACGACGCGGACGTTCCACTCAACGGAGCGTGCCATTCTACACTACGCCTCTAGAATACAACTCGAGCTTATAGGTGTTATCAATGAAACGAACTTTTCCATTCATTGCGAGAGAAAAAGAGAAGGATGGGGAGGCAAAGTGCACGTAAGATCGGGCTTAGTTCAGCATTTTTTATCCGCAGATTAGTTATAAATTATAATTTTGTTTAAATTGGCTACAATGCGAGCACGACTACCGCTTAGAAGACAATTTTAGATTTGCGTTGTAGTATGAATTGATTTTAGTTGAACGTAAATAGAACAGGGCAAAATGACGTTCGTTGTTAATATTATGCTCGTTTCTTATCTGCTAACATAGAAACTGTTACGAATCGACACCACGTCGCGAGTCCCTAATTCAGTCATTATATTATTTTTGCCGTTGCTGCTTCATTTAAGCTGTGAAAAGAAGAAAACAATTGGACGCGTGTAAACGGAAAAACTTATATCGTCTTTGTCTGCTCGCACATATTGTTTTGGAACAAACGCGCAGCTGTACGTGTGCTACTATAGTTGCGCATAGAGAAGAGTTTAGGCGCACGAAACCATCGCGATAACAAGGCAAGTATACATTGCGGCTGGAAGTTTTTGCATTTTAAGCGCGGCGACGACGACAACGGGCGCAGTCGAGGATAGCCTGAATAGACCGTGTGGCTGTAGCTCGTGACACAAAGAACGCGAGCGCTAAGTAACGAACTTGCAACGGGCTGCATTACGGCCGCGCCAGAGCGCGCATATATATACGAGGTAAAAATCACGCATTGTCGTGTTGTCGCTGCGATGCGCCCAGGCCATAAACGTCATCGAGATACCACGTGAAATATGGAAAAATATTGAATTGACTTTTCCCGATTTCACATGTTGCCGTGGCGAGCATTTTCATCATCGGATATTTTAATATTGCCAGCTGCAATATTTTGGATGCCAATCCTCTAGTTCGAAGGCTTTTAGCCATCCCACCCATCGCATTGTTATGTCGAGTTTGCTTTGTTTGACAAGTTTAACGTACCGGAATTAGTCTCAACGTTGTATATACATTTCGAGACATTTCCGTAGGATTTGCTTGTAATTCTCGGTAGATTTGGTTATGATCACCTATCGATGTATAACCCTAGAACTCTGTATGTCTGTTTCTCTGCTTTTGGAAGGCGTTAATTAGTGGAATTCCGAAACTTAACTCGATGATACAGGTAATCTGAAGTTGTCAAGGAGATACCGAAACCAAGGTTAAAATGAACATATTCAAACACGTTTAGTGGTACTTCTTTTGAATTTATTTTTTTAAACTTACATAATGTCTTTATTTTATGGTTTTCCTTATATTCTTGTAGTTATTTTTCAAAAATATTCTGTGGAAATACCGGAAAACGCGTTCAAAAATGTTTATTTTAACATTTGCTCCGGTATCTCTTTAAACTTGAACGTACAAATTTCGAGTTCGAGCTTGACAATGAGAATTAGTTACGTATAGTCGGGCGCGAAACGCAGTGAAGCAACCCGGAATGCAGAAGCAACATTTTTCTGATATCAATTATTGTGGATGCGAGGAGAATATTCGTCATATTCGCAAACAAGAGGCGTAAAGTCAGCCTATACGAGTTAATATTCCGAATACAAACGCAAGTGTACGTATCAGTATTAATTCAAAACTATGGCAAAGCAGTGTCGATAGAAACTGCAAGAATTTACGTAATGCTCTAGACTCTAGGTCTCCTTCGAGCATAGTTTAATCGCATGAAACTCCGACAGCCACACAGGCAGGTACATAATGTTTGTGTGGTATTACGCATTTCGAGTTCAATACCGTTTCAACTCGTTTGAGGACCACTAGAATTGCACTGTCTTACTTGACAACTGAGAGCCTGGCGACAAACCTCTACATAGTAGATAATAACAATTGAAATCGTACAGCATAATTAACTTCCAAGAACCGATTGAATTTATCTGCGTAGTTAAGGCTTTTCAATCGGAGTTAATGCAAACTTTGAACGCTGCATGATGTAACGAAAAAAGTTTCAAAACAGTAACTTTGAGTTTTTAAAACAATTATTTCGATAAATAAGTGGCTCAATTCATGGTAAATTGTTCACTTAGCTTTTTTGAGAAATTACAGTAGAAATCTTAAAAAGCTTTTTTAAAAATTTTTATTTCGATTTGAATTCGGTATCGCAGAGGTTGTATAAAAATCCTTTCTCATTTTTCAACACATTATAAGTCGCGTGAAATGATTATAATCGAAGGTCGCGGGAAAAGGCACTCGCGCGACAGTGCAGTGCATACGATTGCGATCTTTAGGCCGTACGCGTCGGTCTGGCGCACGGATCATTGAATAATTTAAAGTGTACACGCGTGGTAACGACGATTTCGCGCCTGACGCGTGCGGAGAGCTGATTCTCCCGTTCATTTCGTATGTAATATGCATAACTTCGGCTGCGACAATGGTCCGTCGCGGACTTGGATCGATACCTGTGTCATGACTGCACTTGACGTGCAGAGGTAATTTTCTGAATGTTCGAGTATAAGTTGAACCGAGGAGAATTGATTATTTGTACATTTTGACAGCAACACAATTGTGTCGATAATAATCATTTTATAGAATGAATTCTTTTGCAATCGTCGAGAAGACGACTAAAAAGCTCAAGTTAACGAATAAACAAAGGATGAACAACCACAGTGTCATCTCGATACAATCCAACGTACACACAAACGAATTGGTTTGTGCACGCAGTCAAATGCTCAGGTGCCTTTGATCGCGGTCACCGATAAGCTGTATGCACGATCAAGCTCAGGTATCAGAAGCAATGAGAAATGGGTTTGCTCATAATAATATGTAAGGGGCTATATGTGGGGCGGTGCAGTATTGGCAATCTCAGTTGACGTTTCAACGATCATGCCGATTTTATCGCGCGCGCAAGATCCGACAAAGTGTGTATGTAACATTTGAATCGTAGCTTATTCAAGCCAAGTTATAAGCTGAGCTATGTAGATTGCAACGACGACATAATGAGCTTAAACGATCGCAGATTCAATCTGAAACGCGAACGATATCTCGAGAAGCGGCGAGCGAGCAGCAAAAGCTCTGCTGGCAATGCTTTAATAAACTTTCTTTGTGCATCGCGCTAGAGCGAGCCTGTTCAAACAGCAGCGTCGGCAGCAGTGGCGCATTGTAGACATATCACACGCACGCGCTCACGTACTGAACATTCAAATTCACAACTCCATTAACGTCAATTCGCGCACTGCCATCTCTCGTGCGCTGTTCATCTTTCCCTCGTCTTTCTTCCATGCCACTCGGTTGAAAAAGATTTCGTTTTCGATGCCCGCTCGCAGTGGATCTTACAGTCTGCACGTGCTTAAAAGTGCCGTTTACGCGAAATAAAAGTCAATTCCTCATTTAATTGTCCTCAACGTGGCGTTCCAACGATCGCGCGTCACTTTTCTTGATCCAGTCTCGCCGCGGTACTAATCCCGAATTAAGCTCCGCGCGCTAATACGATTACGTAAAGCGAGTCGACTACTGATCATTAACCCGACGTTAGAAAATTAATGCTCAACCTACAGAAAGCATTGTTACATTTTGAGTACTTTGATACTGCGGAAAGCGTCATTTCGGAATTTTCAATTTCGTTTCATTTGGATTCTTACAAGTTGAAATTCGATAGGCTCTGTATCATGGCCTAGTGCTCGCGTACAAATAACGCGACGCATGTGTTTAATACAGCTCTGTTTCTGTATAATCTCGTTAATTGGATACGCAACGAATGCGCGTGTCCCAAGCAAACGCGGATAATTAAGCTTCCTACATTCAATATGTAATGCAAAGCAATGCTTCATTACGTAAATCAAAATCAATATATATACATCCGCTGAATTTATCGAGTATTTAAAAACTATTGATTGGAGTATTTTTGCATTTCAGAGAACGAGAGAACAAATGTTATTAGAATCGCGACATATAGAGCAAATACGTCCTAGTAATCAGAGATTTCTGTAAAAAATGCTAAAAATGCTTTTACACACGAATATCGTAGGGTAAGTCATAATAAGCTAGGCTCGTTTTACCAAAGAATTATTGCGAAGAGAAGAAATAATACTCGCGGATGATGGATCGGAATGTGTTGAATCGCAAAG